AACGTTAATGTCAGCAGCAGCAGTGAAAAAATATAATGAAGCATTTACCCAACGTTGATGAAGTTCACAAACGCGTATCCAACGTTGCGATTGCGCTTTAAGTCGAAATGCAGATATGAAAAATCGTATATTCCGCTGTGTGTGGCGTCAAGGTCCTCCTTTAGCATTTACTAATCCAAGCATGAGATAGAATAAGAAAGAAAGGTCTGTTAGGAATTTGTTGAAGATTAAGCATAGTATGTAAGCACAGAAGATGGAGATGGATTGCAGTGACAATGAGAGGGTTTATTGGTGGGGACGAAACCTACCTAGGTATAATTGTGTGGTATGTTACATATCATTAACATTGTTCGCATATCCCTTCCTAATATTGGAATTTGGGAGCAAAGTATGCAAAGACAGTCAATGAATGTGGGTAAGAGGACAAATCGGCTTAGCACTATAGAAGTTACTATCCGAACTTTTTTGATTATCCGATGAATTTAAATTATCGCAAAAATAACAATTGAATTTTTTTTAATATAAAAGATAATTCCATTAAAGTTTGATTAAAAATACATTATTATTTAATTTCAATATGGTCCTTTTAAATGAAGATATTCTTATATGCCAATCTTCTATGCAATGTTCTATAAAAAATATTATGGAGCAAGTATTTCAAAAATATTTTGAAGATGAAGGTTTATGTGAGCAAATAGAAAATGAAAAAATAATTATGAAAAAAATTATAAAAGAAAAAACTGAAGAGATAAAAACAAATATTTTTTGGTATTTGAGTACCTCATCAACAATATGTACATTTATCCATAAAAGAGGAAAACGAAAAGGTTATATGTGTTGCTGGAAAATAAGAACAAACCTTAATAATGGAGATTGGTTGGTATTTTAGATACTATGAGAAAACTGTCAATTGAAAATATTTTGTCAACTTAAAAAATTATAAAAAATGGAATTTTTATATTATAAAAAATAAATCAATCAAATATAATTATAATTCGTGAACTATTATAGAAGTAACAAAAACATTATAAGTTGCCTCAATAATATCATTCCCTTCAATAAAAATAATTAAAAAAATAATTTGAAAAAAGACTTAAATGAAATGATGAAATTAGAATGTGATTATTTTTTGGATTTCAAAATTGTAGAAATAATAAATAAAAAAATCAATAATAAAATTAATAATTTATTTGATTCTGACTTTTTCATTTATTTAAACACTGATGCAAATCATTGTATTTATAAATATAGAAAAGGTAGAAATGAAGATAGTTTTTGCTTTAAAAAAATAAAAACAAATTTACCTAATGGGAAAAAAGATTATATATGTTGCTCTCATTCTAAAAACATATACCAAAATAAAAAAAACATAAAACTTCATCACAATTAATTGATTTATCTGTTAAAAAAACTGATATAAAAGGTTCATTTGAACCTTATGAATTTCAATAAAACATAAATGTTTTGCTAGATGAACCTTCAAATGAAAATAAAATAAAAAAGATGTTAAAAAAAGAAAAAAAAGAAAAATAAAACAAAAAAAGATATATATTAGAAATGGAGGGTTATTAAATTTAAGAAATATTACTTAATTAATTTATCAATATAAATAGATGGGCTATGTTATTTTATTTTTAATAAATAAAAAAATTTAAATTGTTATTATATATATTATAATAATTAATATACTTAGAAAAACAATTCTTTTTCTTTTTTTCCTTCTGGAAATATTTTTAAAATTTTAATTTTGAAATATATTTAGGCAAGGGGGGTTCCATTACCCCTTGCTATATACAGGTGTATAACACCCATCTGGTATATATATTATAATATTATATTAAATTAAATAAACATCAGCTCGCTACCGCAAGCTTTTAATACCTTCAGGTGTGATGTTTATTATATCTAATGTTATATTTAATATCAATTAAGTTTAATATAGAAATAATATATATGTAAAAGAAATTATATTTCTTTTATTATATATGACTAAACGGGTCTATGATACTGGAAGAAATGGTAATAGAGCCCCATTTCGTCAATAAACAGTAAAATGATACATTTTACTTTTATTTATATATATTTGAAGGATTAAAATCTTTCTAAATATATATTAACCAGAAGGAAAAGAAGAAAAAAGAATTTTTTTTGATTATTTTGGGATGATAGAATTATTATAATTTTATCATCTATACTGAATATTATATTTATCAACCAGACGCCTGACTAGATAGGTCAGGAGACTGGTTGTTATATTAAAAATTGTGAAAAAAGTAACAATTGAAGAAAATTATATCAACTTAAAAATAAAATAAAAATTGAATTATCATATTATAAAAAATAGATTATTTATTATTTCCAATAAAATGGTTATCCTTAACTCATCTTTACTATTAAATAAAAATGATTTAAAAATTAATTTAAAAAATAATATAGTAGAATTTTTAAGTATAGAATTAGAACTTCATTTAGATGTTAATATAATAAACTTTATAAATAAAAAATAGAAAAAAAAATATATGATTTATTTGAATCAGATAGTTTTATAACTGAAATTTTAGATAAAAATTTATGTATATATAAACATAAAAGAGGTAAGAATAATGGAAAGTTTTGTTGTAAAAATATTACTAAAAATGGAGATAATGAAAAATATATTTGTACGAACCATAATAAAAATCATATTCCAGAGAAGAAAAATAAGAAAGAATATAAAAAAACAAGAAATAAAAATAAAATAATAAATTTTTTAAATATTAAAAATGATAAAGAACATATAAATAATAATAATAGACCCTCAAATAGATGTAACATTTTGCATTGTATAAAAAAGAAATAGAAACAATTTAAGAAAAAAAAGAATAGTAGAATAGAAAAAATTTATATATGTAACGGAGGAAATATTAACTTAGGAAAGATAATTACTAACCTCACTACATTGAATTATTAAATAAAACAAAAAACAAAAAACAACAAAAAACAAAAAATAATATTATTATTTTTTATATGCCGAGAGTATGCCATTTTTTCTTCTTATTAGGAAGGTGATACACATCCTTTGTGTTATGCCTTCCTTATATTATAATAATTAATATATTTAGAAAGAAACAAATCTTCTTTCTTTTTTTCTGTCTGGTATACATATATATCAAGGATTTATAGTTCTTAGATATATATTATAATATTATATTAAAATAAATAAACATCAGCTCGCTACCGCCAGCTTTTAACACCTTTAGGTGTGATGTTTATTATATTTAATATTAAATTCAATTATAATTGGGGGGGTATTGATGATGTATTGTATTTAACCTTTGGAAGAGGTAAAATTATATATGTAAGCAAAATGGAATTGAGCTATAATAATTCAAAAAATTAAATCCCAGGATTTTTATTTTTATTTTCATTTTTAAGAAATTTTTTTAATTATTTCGGGATGATAAAATGATTATAATTTAATCTACCTAACTGAGTATTATACTTATTAACCAGACGCCAATGACAAACAAGACTATCTTTGTACCTCACATTCACCAAACTATAAGCCTAAAAAAAGAAAACAAAAAAAAATAAAAAATAAAATAAAAGGTTCATTTGAACATCATAAGGTTCAACAAAATATTAATATTTTGCCTAATGAACCTTTAAATAGAACAAAAAAAAATAAAAAAAGTAAAAAAAGGAGAAAAGAAAAGATTAAAATAATTTTAGGAAATCCATCATTTTTATTATTTTTTGATATTTTATAATTATAACAAAAATTATGAAAAAAAACAAAAAACAAAAAATAATGTTATTATTTTTCATAGGTAGAGTATCTCATTTACTCTATTATAATAATATAGTTAATATATATATTGAAAAAAAAGAACATTCTTTCTTTTTTCCTCTTCTATGTAAAAAAGTACATATATTTTTACTAGTATTTTCATACTAAAAGCGATAATTGTTATTCTCATTATCAAAGATAACCATATTAGTTGATGTTTTATTTAATAAAAAAATTCAATGTTTATATTATTATATTAAATTAGTAACATAGCAATAAATGCATTTTTTAAAACTATTATATTACGGGAAAGAAACAATTTCCAAAAAAAAAATATATCACTATACATTACTTTTATCTTAAGCTCTAAGAAATATGATTTTATTTATTACTATAGTAACTCAATTTAAGGTTACATTTATGTATCTATTGTAAATTAATTATATGTAGATAATGATAAAATCTTTGTAATTACAACTTGTCCCCTAATCAAGACTCGATTACATACTGTTTGGGCAGTGAGTGGTGGCAGTGGAAAGAAAAGAGTAAATAGCACTTACTACTGCGAACACCTTCGATAAGGAGCAAGTTATCCCGGCTTTGCAATGTCGATGAAGAGGTGCTTGTTGACGAACTACGTGAAGTAGCGAGAGGGCGACGGTGATGTTCTTCTACATCTTCGCTTGCTGTTGGCATTGTTCTAATGCTCGGAGAAGGGGTATTGCCAGATCCATGCGTCAATGAATTGTTACAGTTACACAGTTGGATGTGATGAGATTGTTCTTCAAACCCGAATGACTGCCCACTGGAAATTAGCCTGGATGGCGATATTGCTGCTGGAATGGGTCTAGGACTAACACTGGAAGGAACGGTCATAAGAGCAGTGGGTAAAAAAGCACTAGTCGGTTGTAGATGATGGTGTTGACGTTCTGGATATAACGGTGGAAACGCTGAGGGACCCGGCAGAAGATGATGTGGGGGGGGGGGTGCTCAGTGGTCATTTGTAGCTATTCGTTTGTAGATTGTTGTTGAGCGTGGACAGTACTGGAAGGATCAGGTAGAGTGAAAGCATTAGCACTAGTAGCACCAAGCCTAGCGTTGCCGACCTGGAAAGTTACACCCTGAAGTTTTTTAAAGACAAAAAAAAAAGGTTGGTATTGTGAGAATAAAATTTTTTAGGGTCCATACATAGTCAATCCAATTAGAGTACGTTTTTTATTAAGACTTTCACCTGACAGGCGTGATTATGTAGCGCAGCTGTGATGCGGGAGGGAGCACGTAGGTCAAAGTATTCAACTTCGATCGTGCACCGACTACCGGAGAATTCCACGTCAATTATATGTCTTGTAGCTCCCTAAGTATCGAAAACTTCCTGTGTAAGACAATTACAAGGTGTAGTTGCATTAGCTTCTACTAGACTAATGTAACGTAGCATATGAATAGAAAGAAGAGGAAACCGTTTGTTTATCTTTTTCACCTTGTAATTGAATTCCACCAAGCGATCATGAGCACCGCAGAGAGTTACAATCACCGTTCTAGCGGATCGGCTGTCTTGAGGTGGGGTGTTGGACAGCGTAGCCAATTGAACATCGGATATATATGTCGCTCTAACTCTTTCTTGATACTCGGATGAATTGATCGATTCAAGTGCAACTGCTGCTTCTCTTAAATCATAGAATGTCACCATCAATATGCCTGGGCCTAGCAGCAAGTCTGGATACGTTATTTTGATGCGACCTGAACACTTTATAGAAACAAGAGTAGTTAGTCTCTCTCATACTCTTTTTCTCTCTCTCTTTCGCAGGGTAAACCACATGTTTTCTTCTCTTCTGTAGGGTGGAGGCGAAATGGGAACAGTGGTGACGATAATTAGATAGCAGAAAAAAAAAGTACTCCCTACTCGAAGAAGACGCAACACGGCTTGCACGTTGTCGGTGCTTAGATTGCCAATGCATAGGTGATGTGTTGCTCGATGATCTGCATAATATGCGTGAGCTTAATACTGCTGCCACAGCCCTTTTGCGCATAATTATTCTTTGGAAAAAAAAATAAAGATGAAAGAAGATGGGCTAAAGAAAATCACTTTGGTTTGTTGTTACCTATGTTTGGAGGAGGCGCAGTGGTATAGCTCTGCGATGAGGATGACATGGCGCTGACTGTAGAAGCTCCTACTTGTTGTGACGGCTGCGTTTGTGTACTTGGGTGTGACGATGGTGTTGCTGATCCTGGTGCTCTTTTCTAGCCTGAGTTCCCCAGAGTAATAACAGGAAAGAAAAAGACGTTCAAGTACGGTAGAAAAACAAAAAGAAGTGAGAGAGTGAGTGAGTATATGTGTGCTCAGTGCGCAGCAGAGTCAGGCAACGTAAGATAGTCAGAGAGGGAGCAGCAGGAGGGCTGCTTGAGGACGAGGGCTGTGCTGTACTGACTGTAGTGTGTATTAAAGAAGGCGTTGATATCTTACCTCAAAGTACGTAAAAAGGGAAGTTGTGGGAAGAGAGGGCGCGAAAAGGCAGGGAAGAAGAGGAGCAAGTTGGATAAAAAAAAAAGAAGATGTAAACAAAGAGGAGACCGCTCAAACCCTTTTTAACTTTTTGGATTTCGTCCCTTTTTTTTTGCGCTTTTGCTCTCTCTTGACCTTTCTTTTGACTTTATGCGTTTGTCTTCTGTCCCTCTTGTGTTGATTGTTACTCTTCACATCTTAGTCTTAGAGAAACCGAGATCGTCGGATCCTTTTGCTCTAGGTGAAACAGGGACGAAGAAGAAAAAGAGACTGTCTACAAGTGAGAGACCTTTTCCAACACGTTGGCAGTGTTTGTGATGGGGTCGGAGGATATGATAGAAAACACCAAGGAGAGAGAGAGAGAGACAACATGCGGAAGAGGTGTGGTACAAGATATTAGCAATGATGATGTCTCGATCCAACCTCTCAATGTTCACGCATACCGAGTTTATATTGGGTGGATACACAAGATCGGCACAAGAAGTATGTCCAAACAAGCAAAATGTCGGTCACGCGCAAAATAAGAATCCACTGAAAAGGGTCGAGCTCAACTATTGCAGTCCTGTCCTTATTCCCCTTTCTCTCTGCACGCGCGTGTTTGTTTGTCGATCAGAAAGATGCAACTTGCTCTATTGTAATCATTACTATGTGACATGCTTCTGACTCTGTATTACTCTTGTAGTGCTATGTCAGCTATTTGAGCTTGGGGAAGGGCTAGACTGAAGGGGGATCAATGCCCTTCTGATACAGAATGTGTGTTTTGTCGCTTATATTTGTACACATGCATAAACTAAAACTGTACGTAGATAACATTCGACGACAACATGACATATATATCGATCAATCACGTTTGTGTTCCTGGTGCAATTCTTGACTCGCACACTCAAAAAATCTTATGGATTTTGGAGACCACCCTTTTGCTGTGACAGTACCTATATCCATGCTACGATTCGAAAAAAAAGTCACTATATCTATGGAGAGAACAATCACCGCATCAAGGTAATAACCTCCCATCACAATCCAACATACCAAACGATATGCACGATACACATCATATAACCGACAGTATACCGGACGAAAGTGATCAAGAGTCAACATCTTCTTGTTCGACGTCAACATCACACGAACCAATGACAACTCCCATGAACAAAGCACATCGAATTTACCGTGTTCGGACTCTTCAAACTTCAATTTCACAAATATTTATGCGCAGGATACCCAGCAGCAACCAGTATATTCGAGAATACTAAAAGACATCTATCATTTCATGACGCTAATTAAGATACCCAAATGGCACGTTCTCGCAAAAGAATTCTCCCGGCAACTACGCAACGCTTTCTTTGTTGTGGACCAAGAAGATGGCAATAAGTGGAGCAATATTTAGCGATCAAAACATTACATGGGAATACATGCTGAGCACGAATCCATCTTCGGTTATGCGAAGAGTGAAACGTATGGTCCCACCACCACACGAGCTCGGTTCCAAAGTCTAAAATCTTTTTGCTGAATACAGTAACCTAATTTGCACCGGAACTGGAAGCAAACTAGTTTGATAATGACGCCCACCGTCAAGCCCAAAACATGCTCAAGGCAATATATGAAGGCCAAGTCTCTGATCATCCCGATATGCCGCTGTACTATAAATTTGGATACGACAAAAAAGCAAACCTTCCCCTTTATCGGTGTGCCCATGGAACTAACTCTCTAGAGGGTGAAGTCCATCAAAACATTATCCGTGCTATTGGTTCTAGCGGTGCTGGACCACATTTGGCTTGATTACTTTCTTGCTGAGTATCAACTTCATCATATCTTAAAGGTAAAAGGTGAAATCAATTGGTTTTGATATTGAGATACCTTATACAGCAGGTCGGCACTTTGAATCGATATTTACGTCAGTACAAGGGACATTATGATCCAAGGTTGATTGAACTGTTGGTATATCTACGGATGAAGCTTGGGATTTTTGGCACTGGTGGTGCTATTGAGGAGCAAGCGGGTGCCCATGTTCAAAGCTTGGAGCTGAAAGAGTGCTGCGAGACATTTGGTATTGCAGAATTTGCACCTGACGTTGCTCGCACACTTGGGATAGACATGTCATATTCAACAAAGAACGAAATAACGAAGAGCATCGCGACCAACTGAATACGCTCAAACCTCGGCCATACTCTCTCAACATTAGTATCAACATCTTCTTACCGCCTGGTTCTACGGCCAATCCTTTGAATAAGCGCTACATCTTTCTTGCCCAAAAACAAGGAACAAAGTATGCTGTTACCCTTGTCCACACGAAACAGGAATTCGAAAAGTTTCAAGAAATCATCCATGGACCAGCTCAAAGAACTATTGGCGCATCAGTCTGGACCAGGTTGGCAAAGCTTTGGAACGCATCCACATCCAAGCCGGTAGATGGAGTAACAGTATTTTACAAGACACCGGATCATCTAAAAATGCATTACGAGCGATGGAATGAGAGACGATCGACACGCGCTAGCAAAGCAATTAGCGATGGCATTTGTGAAACGATGAACTCAGAATTGATGTCACCAAGCAGAGGATATTCGGCATTAGCTGCTAGCACACCGTCACCCCCTGCATTTGCCCTCCAACCCATAGTACAAGGAGATCTGCAGAACTTGTTACCATCATCAACAGCAGTAGCTGACCCTTCATCAGTAACAACAACTATCTCATCATCAACACCAAACTCTCTCGGTGCATCACCATTAGGTTATAGTCGCAATAGTCCTAGAAGAATTGCTCTGGCGCCATCACCATTGTCTACACCATCACAACCACGTTTACAGTTAATGTACAAATCCCAAAGAAACGAGCGTGCCGTAAAAATTAAGTATTACAGGGATATAAAGACTAAGCTACACACCGTTGGAGCTATATACATATCATATTATATTTATATCTTGTTATCTACACCACTATATACTTGTACCGTCATCAATATCACTTGACAATAAACGTATTTGATTTCATGCTGCTCCCAAAAGCTTATAGTTCTTCCCCACGAATATTACTAGGGCCGTTATTAAGCCCAAACATGTCTTGCAGGCCCCAAGAATCATTAATGCCAGCAAAAGAGTCACGACGAAGAGCGCTCTGCTGCACAGCTTTAATAAAGAGCACATCAATATCACATCAGTATATTATGGCATATACATCTTCCCTCGCCCCAAAATCCAAAAGCCTGCCTATCAGCCCTGAAGACGAAAAAAGATGTCAAGAATATTATTTTAACCCTTAGTCACAATTAAATTAGTATAAACAAAGACCATGACCACAAGATTATGACCATGGTACAAGCAAAGAAAAAAAATTGTAGCATTTTAAAGTTCATGATATAGTAAGTCACTCACTGTTCACAGAAGAGCTGTATTTATGCAATAAAGTCATCAAGTCCCTCTGAACCTTGCAAATTGTATGGGATGCCAGCAGCTTCTAGATACTCGTCACTCCTGAAGATTATACAGGGACATGATATCGGTTAATTACAAAACAATAAATAGCTCATTATCGTTTCACTGCTTAATAACACCTTACCAGAATTTTGTCAAATGGCGTTGACCTGAATCATTCAACAGGGTCACAATGACATGACCGGGGCCCAGCTGTTTCGCTGCACGAAAAGCAGCAACACAATTTACCGCTGAACTGCTTCCCAGAAACAATCCATCCTCACGCACCAAGAAACGAGCCATTTTGACTGCCTCCTCATCGGTCACTCGGAAAGCGTCATCCACTAAATGTCGGCCCATATTAAAGTTATTGGTAAGCCGGTTGATACCGATGCCTTCAACCACGGTATCCACCTGATGTCGCTTACGCGTCCCTTCTCGTTCTGTTGGCGCATACATGACATTATATTTAACCTTGTTGAACAAGCCCGAGCCCAAAGGGTCGGCCAAGAAAACCTTGAGTTCTTTAATTCGAGGCTTGAGATACAGTGCCAACCCAGAAAGCGTGCCACCGGTGCCAGCACCCAATACCAATGCGTCCAATTTAGTACCGATCTGGCGATAAATTTCTGGTGCGGTCGTCTGGTAATGCACCTGATAATTTGCGTCATTTTCAAATTGATTGGCAAAATAACCGCGCGCTTCACCTTCACCGAACTCTTCAGCACGCGTTTTGGCCAAGTTGACAAACTGTTTCTTGTCAATAATGCTGACGGGTCGAACTTTCTCGACAGTTGCGCCTAGTTTTTCCAAAAATTGGTATTTTTCTTGTGCTTGGTCGTCGGGCATGACAATCCATGCCTTGTAGCCTTTCGCGCGTGCGATCATGGCGATAGAGATGCCCGTAGAGCCTACTGTGCCTTCGAAAACCGTGCTGCCCTTGTGTGGCGTCAAAATACCAGCCTCTTCAGCCGAGCGGATGATGTTTAATGCAACTCGGTCTTTCGCACTGCCGCCCGGGTTGAGAAACTGTGTAAAGTTGTTAAAATTGAAATGTCCGCGTCACGATCAATACTTAAGTCCAATGCGCTAGTTGTAGTATCATTCACCTCTGCTTTTCCCTAGTACAACGTTTATATACTTCGTTATTGACATTTATAGTGAGAAGTACAGAAAAAGCTAATTTACCAATACGGTACAACCGGTTGCTTCGGAAAGACTTCGGATCCGCATAAGCGGCGTATTGCCAATAAGTCCATCGACACCGTCGACAAAGTTGGGCTCTTTTTCCTTGCGATCCAACCAAAGTTTCAGCAGTAATGTCACTGCAGCTCCGGAAATGAGTCCCACGACGAGCGATTGCCGATCGATTACCCACGCCATTGTTGTGTGTACTCGAAAACAAGATAAGAAAAGAGACAAAAAGTTTCAACGGCCGAACGGCGAAAAACGCCAGGTTTAACATGAAACTTATCGGTCTCGTAAGGTAAAAAGGAAAACAGTTTGTTCAAAACTTGTAGCCGTTAGTTCTCGACTGTTATAGCAAAAATACTGATCGAGAATGAACGCAGTGGTGGAAAGGACAGCTGCTACAATATGATGCAGTGTGTAGCTCATGGGCACGAAATCGTTGCCCTGGCGAATCTCAAGCCGCCTACCTCGACCGGCAAAGGTATAACAGAACGGAAACCGAACAAAAGAAACAAAGATCGAGGATATTGAGATTCCATATTCTGTCTATTTTACTTTGGACATAGACGAGCTGGACAGTTACATGTACCAGACCGTTGGTCATGACGCGATTCACTTCTATGCCGAGTGTATGAGCTTGCCTCTATACCGACGAGAAATTCAAGGCACGCCGATTCACCAGGAATACGAATACGTTGCTACTCCCAAAGATGAAACAGAAGATCTCCACCTGCTTTTGCAAGATATATTGGTACGGATGATGCTTTCTGTACGATGGAGACGTATAGATACTAAAGAGTTTTACTGGATGGATTGTGGAAAAAATAGAAAGATCATCCTGATGTCCAAGGCGTCTCGGTGGGGGCCATCTTGTCAAACTATCAACGTATCCGAGTCGAGCATGTGTAAGTATAACACACACTGTTTCCTGTTGTAATGAAAGAGATTATTCAATTTTGATAGCTGAGAATTTTTTTTTAATTGGCCTTGTGAAAACCAATAGGTGTGATCGCTTAGGGCTCAAATCACTTGCTTATCTCTGGGAACGAGACCAGAAGGAACTATTGGCTGAAATGGCCGATGCGGGTGTACAAGCCATTTTAGTCAAGGTGGCAGCAATGGGCTTAAAGCCGATTCATCTCGGCAAGACCATCGGTGAAATGTACCCTTACCTTTGTGAGCTGGTAAGTAGTTAGCAATTACATCTCTGTTTCAAAGAATATTAGAACTCATATGCTGCCATGATAGAACGAGAAATATGAATCGCATATTTGTGGCGAAGGTGGCGAATACGAAACATTTACACTAGACTGTCCGCTTTTCAGAAAACGAATAGTTGTGTAAGGAATACTTTTTTCAACTCTTTTCCGTTTCTCTAATATCTCACCGTCAAAGATATAACTGATTTTTGTCGATGGATTTGGTCAATAGTGAGGAGACTGAGACTGTTGTTCATTCGGATGATGCGTTTGCACCCGTGGCATATCTGAAATTCAAGCGCTGTGCTATCGCCGACAAGGAGTAAGCTTAAACAATAGCTTATATTTTCATATAAATGTATGATGTTGATACGGTAGTTGTTGTCATGTGTGTAGTGATGTATATATATATATATATTTACAAAATATTGGACTTGAATATGAGCTGGTAGATTGTCTAAGTGGTCTTTTTTAGAGTAGGCAATTCATATCCTTGTTCAACTTCATCTAGCATGGCAGTATTACTGCGTTCTGGTGGTGCATGCATCATCCATGGCACAGCACCGCCGTTTTCTTTGACAGCAGCGAAAGCAGGAGAGGAGCGATCGCCGACTACTACTCCTTTGGGGAATAATATTGGTTTGAGTCTGGGCCAATCTACAAACACTGTTCCGTGCTGCTGTATGTAGCGCCAGCAGGAAAAGGACAGAGCAAAGAAAAACGAAAGTAAAAGTACATAGACCGTCGAAGATTCGATACCAATTCGTTCAGGATGGAACAGAATTATCAGAAAGAGAATCAAGGAGCAAAAAAACCCTGTGGGTATCGCTTTGGTAGTCCATGGCTTATTTTTTGCAAACGGGCTATTGTATAGGCTGGATTCGACAGTATAGAGGCCAAGGAACAAATCTATACCGTCTTGTCTTGAGCCGTCCAGATAATTATTTTTGGCATAGCGTATAAGTGAGTTGGACAAGTCGTTAAGCGCGCCCACATATGTGCGTTGCCCAGTGCTATTGTTCGTATATGGGAATGTAAGCACATCAAAAACAGTCTTCTTGTGCCTTTTCAATCAAAGCAAAGAACCTTACCGCGTGTAGTCTGTTTTGAGAGCCCCTGTACCGGAGTATGCTAAGCTCAACACATCTGCATTATCTGCCCATGCTACAATATGAAGATAAAGTTATTTAGACTTCTACTTATTCATTTCTACTTATCTTACTTTAGCGAAATCGGATGGAACTTACTGTTGTTAAAAACACTCATGAACTGGGCATCGTTTTCAATGACTTCAGTCGACTGTAAGACACCAATATCGCGCAACTGTCTGTTTAGGATCCAACGAGCCAAAGCACTTTGAACAACATTTGTCCGATCCAAACAATCCATACAGTTGGTTCTGACCACTGATGATTGTTTACTGCGCATTGTAGGTTGACCTGCAGTTGCGTTATTTGGGTCGATGCAACAGTATCCTTGTTTGGTTAGCGCCGGTTCAAGTTCGTCGATCAATAACTGCACTCGGTTCCACCGCATCTTACGGCACTCGTGATGGAAGTCAAAATGGACGTACGATAGACGTGGATCGGCCAAAGCATCAACTAGCCGAGCATATAATTGACCGACAGGGTACTCGTATCCCTTTTTGTTGACCAAATTAACTAATACTTGAGGTCCATAAATCCGGATCTGTTCACTGAAATGCGTTCGTGATGTGGCCAGCACCTAGTTATTTTTTGACATGATGATGTTTCCAAAGGTGAATAGGTTATTATCTCTGCGTTTTCCCTATTTTCTGTATTCATTTTAAGCACTTCTTGTCCATAATGTCTAATATTATTCTTACGCTATGATCATTCAGGTCTCCCTCGACCCAAAGCTGCGGCGTGTAACGTGTGTTGGTGATTTGACCCCATATGCCCGGAACAGAACCTCTTGTTTGCACAAATGATAATTGGATGGGTTGACCGCCTGCATTCCCTGCGGGCTCTCGTTCGCATAATAACAACTGTTCGGTTTCAACAAAATTGCTGGCATGACCATTGTCATCGAGACCACGGGAGAAATAGCGTGTACCAGCACGCTCTCGACTCCTGCGACTGATCAGACCAAATGATACCGGATGTTTATTAATGACTGTGGAAGTAATATCGACAACTAGAATAGACACATGTTAATACTTTTAATCGTCTACTACGAAAAGCAATATCGCCAAGTTATAACTCACATCCTTGTATCACAGGTAGGATAAACGCAGTCAACTAGAAGTGTATCATCAAACCGAGAGAAAAGCCTCACAGGTTAGTTAATTTTGCTCGATGAGACAGCAATAGTTCATCCCCATCACACGTACATCTTGTTCGCCGCTTTCTGTTGCCGTAATCATTTTATCAGCAAGGTACCGATTCCAGAAGAATCGTGTGTCCGCCTAAAAGTTTATTAGCAACAGAGAAGAACTGCTAAACCACTCCGCTCTCGAATTCTTACCAGCTTCCACATCGGCTCAGCACTGTTCTCCGTTTCGCTCTGGCATTGGATCGACCGTGTCATGTCGTATGTGTATGAATAGTAAAACGTGTTTTGTCGTAAGTGATCTTGTAGCAAATGTACATATTTCTGTTCATCATCAATCTGTGTTTGCGATAACCGAGAGAGGTTGTGTGGCAATGGCAGTATCTGAAACGTCGTAGCTCGTAAGATATCGCAACCCCGTAAACTGCCAACACGCTCATAGCCAGTAATTACAATCATATATTCGCCTATAAATTTGTTAATTATTGTCATAGCACACGGTGCCAAGATCAACTTTTTCTCTAGCTTTATTACCTGCATGAAGGCGTATAAACCCCATGATACCATATACGACAACTTCTTGTAGTACTTGAGCGCCTTGTTGTGTGGGCGGAGCTAAATACACATATAATGCAAAGATAATATGGGTTCAATATAACTTTAAAGCAGGTCCAGAAAAACGAACAGTATCTTCAAACAGTAAAATATAGCTCCAGGTGCATTACCGTTTAATTCTATTCGACCGGAATCGCGATGGATGGTCAAAGATTCAACAACGGTGTTTCGAGCGCCATTGGCTTTTGCCGGTTCGTACAGGGGCGTGAAGATGTACGCTTCTCGGGTAACATTGCTACACAGGACATTATATAAGACGTGTTAATGCCCTTACTCTTTTGAAAAGGAGCGCGTCGTTGAAGCTTACAGTCGAAGCTGTTCCAAAATCATAAAAGAGAAGTGAGTGATCGACTTTGAAAAAAAAAAGAAGAAAGAGAAGCAACGAAGTTACTCTGTCTTAACTGCCCACCAACGTTGCTACCGGGGAGCGAATTTATAGCATGGACTCTTATTGGTAGGTGTTGCATTCCCACTGCCCGAATAAGGGACGGACATGAACTGAATGGATGTACCTCACTCAATTCAGGGTCCCTTTCCATTCTTTACTTCAGAATGAAGTTCAGCACGTTTCATCAGAGCAAAAGACAGGGTGGTAGTATATTCCTTTTTCTTTATAATTTACTCTTCATCCAACTCGATTTCTTCTACTTGGAACGAGTGGGTCATTCCTTCAGAATCAGCGACTCCACTCACAAGTTGATAAGTTTCTGGTGATGTGTGAAGTTGCTGTGGTTGTTCCTTTCTATCGTCTACGGGTTTCTCATCAATGCGCACGCGTTCCGTCGTATGTTCAGCCTTTTCTCGATCCTCATCAGTTCGTCGCTCTTCCTTCAACACACGGCGCTCCAAGAACTCGCGGATAGCGGTAAAATACCCTGGCTGTACGCAGGTATCATTGTGCATACCGTTCGGTAACGCGTGCCAATCCTTTGCACCCTGGGTCTCACACAAGTCATGCAGTTTGGACATATGTTCTGGAGGAATCAATTCGTCGCGTGCGCCAGAAAGGAACAAGACAGGTACGTTGGCAATACGCTGAATGCTGACCTCGGACGGCCATTGTTGGTGACAAAGGAATGTTACGTACTTTAGCACAGGCATGACGTTAGGAATTAACTTTGGCTGTATGGACCAATATAAACAATGATAAATCATTAGCTCACACCAAACATAATACGTGATGCATGCACATACACAAAACAATAGGCCCGGTTCCTTTTTCTTCTCTCTTCCGCCCTTTCTTTTAAGCAATTTTCAGAGTCTTGCATACCAAACTTAAAAATGTGTTTTCAATAATAAGTCCAGAGAAAGCCGCTTCATTATGCGATACAATGTCAATAGCAACAGCGCCACCAATCGATTGTCCGTATGCGATAAGCCGAGTGTCCTTAAGAATAGGATGCGACTGTACATATTCCAACAAGGTCTATTTTGTGGCCTTGTCAGTAAAATTACCCTCTAACATTGGGATCCAAACACATAATTCTCATTTGCTGACTAACTTGAGCATCTACTCGTATGCCTTTTTCGTTTGCTTTGCCTTCGCTTAAACCGTAACTATCATCAACAGCATCATTTTGGAAACAACACGTTAGAAAGACAAATCAATACAAAAAATCGGCGCATAAAAGAGTGGGGATCCTCGTGCGACATTACCCTCTATAGGACAGCATCACTACGTTGCACTTTAATTTTTGGTGGTATACTCTAGCAATAGGAAGTCGGTGTCCCTATAGAAAATCAATAGTTACTTTACATGTTTGCTTTTGAATGTGCAAAAACAAAAATGATGAAATCCCTCTTCAACCGCTTACCATGTTGCCAGCATTAGCCTAATAAATAATAAATAGATATGGATTGGGTTGGTTTAGTATGGTTTAAATATAGCATATACACCCCACTTAATCAGCAGATATTATAATACATGCATGGAAATACAAGATTGTTGGTGCTGCTCGTGCCTCGTCCTCGTTCTCTAGAACCATTGTATATGTATGTAGTTTGATATTATCCTTGGTAGTCAGAGTCGTTTCTGTGAATTCCATGCCAAATTCCGAAGGTTTTGCAACCTAAAGCGTATACCAAGTACAACAAAATCAGTTTCTCAAGGAATTGTCGGTTGTGTCGTTGTTGAGTTAAAATTACTTACTTCAGTTCGTGATCCTTCGGGAAAGGCACTTGGGTAGATGATTTGGCATTGGTAAAGGTATAGCAGTGCAGCTCCAGCGAGTCCAGCTAGACCAGTAAATGAGAGTACGTAGGATACCCAGCTGGGCACATTAACTCGTAGGCCAGAGTCGCTCATTCAAACACTAAAAATAAGAAAGACAAGAAAACAGAGTGTGCAAGTAGTAGGTGTGGAGAAAAAAGAAAAGTTACTTTTTTTTTGGAGATATGCATAATTTCAACCTCAGTGTGGAAAGAACCGACAACGTCCCCACCCCCCCTAAATCTATTGCATATCATACGGTGATTGATGGCAACTTCTATTCCATATTATCTCACTTTACTACTAGTAGACTACTCCATTGCCGGCCCAACCATTATCGTGGTAATTAGAATGACTGCTTGCAAGACTGTCGTGCCATTACTTGCTAAATGGAATATTTTTTCAATGATGTGGACTTATCAATAATGGTGCGCTACATCTTTGGAACAACTGCACAGCAGAAAACTCTTGGGCATGATGTGGACTCTTTCTTCGTACATTTGAGGAGCGCATATCCACTTTCTATCTCGTAAGAGATATGGAATTTGGAAAAATAAAAGAGGGAGGTGGCACTCTTTTGTGCAGTCAGTAAAAGTATAATCCATCAATTGCTGTTGTTGTTGTCTTGCTTCAAGTATATCATCGTGTGTGTTATTTCAATGATTGGCGGAGCGATATGTGCAACGTATACAGTGGTGCAATAATGATTAGTTTTCTTTTTTTCTTTTCGTTCTTCCATCCAGAAAGATTTTTGCTTGTTTGACTTTCGCTGAATTGCATGTCATACACGAGTGTCAAAGCGACTCGAAGTATATTGTTCAAGGGTGGTTAAAGCTTGCGAGTAGCTGCTGCTAGCCCCGGATTCATCGTCTATGCATTGATTCTATTCGGATTACATTTGTCCAGCTTCTTTCGTAAGACACTCCTTCAACAAGTTGTATAACAAGTCGTATATACTCGGCCAGCAGGTTCTGGAGGAATGTACTGAAAAAGTCATTTCTGCAAGAGGAGTTAATCGGATTTCAGCGAGAACAGTTCCAAGCCAAAGCTTTCCACCGTCTACTGTATTACTAGTTTGATGTAGAATTAGAGCAGGAGCTTATCATGTAGTTGGGTTGCTTAGACAAGTGTCCAACAGTATCAACAAATTTGTTATCACACTGTTGCCAACAATATCGTTGGAAACAGATGCAAAACAAACGAAACTGTAAAGTTTGCAAAGGATTAGGGTTTTATGATTATGCATGATGAAAATCTTTCCTTTGAATCCATGCGAGCAAGACAACAATAGACATTCGTTCAATGCTTCAGGCTGCAGCATAAGAAAGTTTGATGAGGCGTAATATGTATTAAATACGATGACGAAACAAAAAGGTCTTTACAAATACGTATTAGGAAAGCATATGGGGCAGTAACTGCATATACTTTTATAGTGAAGTTGTGCTGTGATCTATTTATACTGTCACAACAAGTACAACTTCTGTAGGATAACAGAGCTGACACAGCCACTAGCTAAAGTTGTGCGTAAGGTGCAACAACATATGGCTTAGTATACTGTACATGTACATGGCCTTTACGTCTTGCAAAGAAATGTCTAAGATTAGGCTTTGTTTTTGCTTAGTATCAATTACATTGTTAAAGCTCGAAAATCCTCTATCAAAATATGCTGAGTAGATTGGCTGTGCATGCTTTAGTTCCTTTGAAAACAATGACGAGCGACATCCTATAAGCACATTAACGATGCCTCAAAAGGTTTAATTGGTATGTCCTAAGCTGTGATTGTGTACTGTGGATTTGATGTGCGAGCACTTTGACTAGCTCTATATGCTTCAGTCCAAAACAAACTTTCGTCATATGATACTACTGTGCCAGCACTAACATATTACACCCATGCTGTGTTGTATTAAACAACAAGGATATTGTTGGCAACAACAATATTTGTGGGACCGCGGTAACCCGGGTATCTAGTGCTTTTCGACTCATCTATTATGGAAACTTCATTTGGTTTGGCATGGTTACCTTGGCAGCCGCCGATCATTGTTGCCGCTTAGTCGCATACTATCACCAGTAATACCGGTTAATGAAGAGAAACCAAGCCCACACCTTTTATTATACTATAGGTGCAGTAGCACACGTAATTGCAATTGTCGCCATCTCAAGATAAACAGCATGCTCTGATGGTGACCCGGAGCTCGACAATAAATAGGCAATAGCTTTAAAAAATTAAAGTTTTTGTTTTCGCCACAAGCGATGGAACAAAGAAACTCAGAACAATAAGACGAAGCATGATGATGTATGATGAAAAGTTGCGGAAAGAGCAGCATTGTTTATCATGTGGTCATCCACGATGTACTGTACTAGTGTATTGAGAACAGAACGAAGAAAAAAGCAAACTTTATTATATAAGGATAGATAGTCGATTGGTAGTAAGTATACAAGAAGAAAAAAATAATAACAAAAACGATCAAGTGTTTCAGTTGACCGCTCTTTTTGTCGTCGCAGCCGCCGTGGTCTCGAGGAAGAGACCCCCCAGCCCCTGAACTGGCTGCTAAGTAAACTACGATGGTTCTCCGACAAGGGCAATAACACACAAAGAAAGGAAAAAAATATACAAAATAGAAATGGTGGAATCAAGAAGATTTTCTTTGTTTACAGGGACGTTGTTGTTGTTGGATTGTTTGATGTCTTCTCATCGTCTGGTGCTATAGGCGAAATTTTTGAGTTTGGCTTTGGTGTCGACGGCATCATTCTAGCTGGTAGGAAGGGGAATCGTGTTGATTGATGGGCTTGTGGAGGGCGATTGATATCAGTATCGTTTGGTGTGGGTGGTTGTACAGTGTATTGCTAAGAAGAGATTTTTTTTTGACACGTTAGTTTTCTTACGCGCTGGAAAACATGATAGTTCAAGCCAAACCTTTTCCTCAAGATGTGTTTCATAGTCGCTTGTAATATGAATGAAATGTGTGCCCGTGCCCACAGGGACTCGTCGAGCAACACCGTTTGCGTCGAGAGTTACTTCATACACTGTTGTCTGTTGTTAAGAATACGCGTTCAACCGTTAGCCATTTGATCTTGGAATGCAAGTACATACTGGTAGGGAATGGTATGCGTTATTTACCTTATCGGTTTGTGAAAAACAGCAGCCCATGATGATGTGCAAATGTAAAGCAGAAAAATACAGAAAGCAAAAAAGAAGAGAAAAGAAAAAGACAGGGACCCTTCCATCTGCCGGCCACATCGTTGCTTGGTTATATAGCAAAACACAAACAGCACCTGTCCACATCCGTTGTTTTTGTTTTTTCGACGCATTGTTACACAGGATCAAAACACGAGAAGACAGAGAAAGAGAGAGAGAGAGTGTGTGTGTGTGAGTGAGTGACCATAATTAGCTGCGGCTTCCTTTTTTGGTGCATTACGCCCACACAAAATCTTGCGGACCTGGGTGACCCGCCGCTTAGCACATATTAGTGGAAGCAACTGCTATTCTTCTTCGCTCTCGCTCCAAGCATCCTCCTGGAAAGAAACATAGACCCCCAACAACATGGAGTCAGATATAGCTACCAGCTTGTACCACTGCTGCTATCTAACAACCTACCTCACTTGGATGCTCATCGTCCATCGTCGAAGCATGGTCTTCTGCAGGTTCCCAGACTAAGACTTCACAATCAATTGAGCCACTATAAAGTTCTTGAAGGCCGGCCCGTTTCTCCACACATGTCACACGTCCGTATGCGCCTTTCAGTCGTCTTGATAATCGACCCGTGTTGAGCTCATACACCAACACCTGCTGATCGTCGCTGGGCACATACAATAGCGGCGGCCATACATCTGGGCCTGACACCGTCGCTTCCATGTACCACTGGAACCGGTTACGCCATAATGAGCCGTAATTAACGAGAGTATTCCGACCCGTATACGCATCCCACATCCGTATCTTTTCATCCAAGCCAAGGGTTATCAAGCGTTCGCTATCACTCGAAAAGACAAGACCATTGACGCCCGCGCCATGTGCCTTATTCGTATCAGCCAATGGATCGTTATTGACTGCATTGTGTTGATCCAGCGACATTAAGCATGATCTAGCACGTCGGATATCCCAAACCCGAACCGTTCCGTCATTTCTAAATGGATGAATTGTTTTTTAATCAATGGTTGGATTTCCTTTTTGAAGGGGGTTCCTTTGTGCTACACGGCAGAATTTGGAAGGTTATAATTGTAAGCAACGATGAATTACCCGCCAGAGTACAGCACGTGGTCTTGACGCGGGGACCATGCGACCGATAATACCGATCCATTGTGACCCGTTAATGAATGCGTACTTGCACCGCTTTTAAGATCACAAAGTCGTATCCGGGGCTCGTCTGCAGCGCCTACAGCAATAATTATATTTGAAGCAGTAGCTCCCATAAATAAAATAGAAATGTATGCAGATACATTACGTGCTTTGATACTGTTTTCTTCGATACTTTAAATATAGACACACAGAAGTGGAGAAAGCAAGGGAAAGACTTACTGGCTACGAGGCAATGCGATGCAACAGGAGAGATAGCTTGGCAATGAACGTGCGATTCCAGATCAAACACGCATGCTGGCTATATATAACAATATACATATCGCATGTTTTAGCACTTGTGATGTATATAATGCATCCTACGTACATACGCTCCTTCCCAGCGCACCCGTATACATGCATCCGCAGCATCTTCTCTCCTCTCGTTTCATTTATCAAACGTCCCATCCGCTATCCCGTCCTTGTCCAACTTTGTACCGTCATGGAGTTTGTATCCCAGACCCGGATCGTATTATCGCTGCTAGAGCTGACGAACATGCCCGTGTCGAATGGAAACCACGCAACAGTCGTTACTGCATAATTATGTCGATTTTTTCTTTAAATGTTTCGTCGTTTCTGCATGCATGAGTGGATTCTGCATCATTTTCCATTGGTGTACATATCAATTTCCTAGTGAAAATATTCTTTATGTTACCTTGAAACACTGGCTATAGGTTCAATTTGCACGTGTCCATCTTTGTTAGGAGGTGTGTTAAGATCATACACATGAATACGTCCATCGCCACCGCCTGACAGCATGCTATTGAGTAGAGGTAGTTGCATTTTCAATTTTCTTTCTCTCTGTGTTGCATATGTGTATGCTATTCTTTTCAACGCAGTAAATTGAGCACTTACTAGCGCTGCTCAATATTTTCAACTTTTATTGACTGGACAGAGCCTAAAGAATTTGCAGTATTGCGAGAGATCATAAGCGATCAGCACTATAACTATTGCTGTTCTCGGAGAAATCGACAATTAGCGATCGTCGAGAATTTGCTTTTTTACCCCGATGTGCTCGAGCGACTTCTTTTGTAGGGCTCAATTGTAACGAATATGCTCGCTTGGTTGACTCAGCACGAACGAATTTCCAAGGACGTAAGGTGCCATGCTCTCGTTTTTTCAAAAAACTGTACATGGAGAAACCCGAGAAAAGAATCTTGCTGCGACGGCAACTCTATGCACGCGCTTCATTAGGTGATTCAAAGACCGATAATGCAAACGGCAGCGAGAGGAAGACCTCACAACTTAACACCAGCTAACCACTTCATCAACCTCAAAATTAAGCTCTATACACACTAATGATTAATCGTGCTGAGGTGCCCGAGTATGCCGAAGATGCAGCCATTATGAGGTTCTATGAACTTGATACCGTTGAACCTGAAGTCTGGGTTGACCAAATTCCACTCGACGATGCCACGGTTTCCGATGCAACCCTTCGTCACTTTTCACAACGTTACGATGAGCCAATCAAGGACTCTGGTAGTGGCTCTAACGATTTACAATTTGCTGACGATACCGATCCTCTTGGCATCCGTGGAACAATTTTCGATGAGTACGTTTAGCTACTGTCTTTATAGCTTGGAAGCTCTATATGTATGCTTATACACATAATTAATTTTAGAGATACTCCACAAAGCGCAACCAGCATCTCTCAACTTAAAGAACGTAACGTATTAATGACACATATGATGCAGAGCTGATTTATTTGAGCAGATATCGAGCATAAGCAGTCGAGACTCAACTGTATGGAGTTTCATCTCTAATTAGGTTCTGCGTTGGTGATAACAAACAAGTCATTCCAACCACGTTACTTTCTTCAACATGTTCACAAAGATACGACGTACAACGAATTGATTTCTGGCGAAGAACGTCTTCGATTGAGTGTCGACCAGCGCGCCGAAGCATTAAAACATCTCGTACACAGCAATTTCGATCGCTTTGTCAGTGCCAAAGTTACCGTCGACCACGTATATGAGGAGATGAAATCAAAACAGTTGAACCCGGAAGAGGAATACGGCACTCGCTCTCTTGAAAAGGCATTAAATGAAGCCAATGCACGCGCGGATCAGATTTACGGACCCATTGTTGAACGACGTCAAAAGGTCGAGAAAGTACGAAGCACGTTGACTGTGCTACAACGATACAAATTCTTTTTCAATTTACCTAGCAGTTTGCTTGAATCGATCAAACAGGTACCTATTGTTACTACTCCTTACTGGATAATTTTTCTGTGTTTATTACGAGCTACTGCTGCTGACATTAATGCTTTTTGATACACATAGCATAAATACGAAACAGCTATCCGTGATTATAAAAAGGGCAAGTTCCTATATAATGATCTGCAAAAATCCAACAATATCCAAGACGACGACGATCTGGACGGACAAGAGCTAAAGCTGGATGGTGCCAATATTTCGGAACTGCATCGTAAAGTGTTTGAGAAAGTTTGGACCGAAGTCAACAAAATTGTGGTCGAGCTCCGTGGAGTACTACTCAAAATGTTGGCCGATCCTTGGCGTAGCATGGAAGAGCAGGAAAAGACCATCAAGTAAGGAACCAAAATTGCGATTTTGTATAAGCATAGTACGGACCACTTTTACAGAGAATGGATCGATCTCATTATAGAATATGTGTCTTTTACTAGCTTTTTGTTCGACTTGGATACAACAGAGGATCCAGCATGGTTCTATTTGGATAGCCAGTATCAATGGATCGTTGGCTTGCTCAAAAAGACGTATGAGACAAATGCAAAGAAGCTCGCTGCTCATCGTGCTGCAAATGAGACTGAAGAATCAGATATACAACGAAGCTTGGCTCTCAAGAAGGGTATTGAGCAAGTCCGTACCAAGAGCTTTGATGTAAATACCGGTGGGTTTTTTTCTTCCCCCTTATTTGCATACATTTTTACAATTTGAAGGGTTCGAGCAAACTTTTAATCTATCCCCCCCTCATTTCCAAAATCAGATCGGGACCCCGATAATCGCTACTGGCGCATAACATCTGAACTTGTCAAATCATTATCAGCACTGTTGCTTCGATGCTTGCCTGATTTTTGGCGCTTATCCAAAGCATTCATTGAAGGAAAATTTGCACACAAGGTTTGTTTTACGCTGTCAGAGTCATTTTAATTTAACTTGATCTCCATGTCGATGTGAAATTAGGACGCTAAAATGTTTTCTTAAAGTCGGTTACGGCAAAGGCATCTGAAGGTGGAAGGCGACGCCGGCAAGGCGTTGATTTGGGCAAAGTTGAGCAATGTCAATCTATGACACGCAATATTGTCAACGTGTATGCACAACTGATATCAGACCATTTTGAACTGAACGTGCGCGACATGCCCGTGCAAGAGAATCCTGACGGCACCGAGTCTGTGGTTATGCCAGCGTTTATACCCGTCAATGCAAGCTCGATCCATGTTTCGGAATACCTGACCCGCATCATTGGTGATCTGGGCCACTGTGTAAACGATATCAGCGCGATCCATCTCGCTGGCGAGGCATTCTCTGGACTGACAGATCTGATTGAAAAGGCACGCTGGAAATATGTGGATGTGATTTGCAAGTGCTGGGAACGGGACGCAAAAACATTTTATCTGTTGGAAGAATGGATCCTGGATCCGGAAATTCCACAGTGTACTGGCTTGTTGAAGCGGTACTATGACTACCACAAATTCTGCGCACGGTCGACGTTTAGAATCTCTACCCATGTGGTGACAGTCGATGATATGGCGAATCAAAAACACGAACGCCCTATAGTCAAACCCGAGTATGTCGAGCGGATCCGTGGCTCGTTTTTGGAGTCAACGTACACGTTTTTGGATGGGTTGGTCCGGCTTGCTTTCTCTGATTATACCCCGTTGAATGAAAAAGAGGAAGTGCAGCTCGCCAAGAAGCGTGATAAGATTGATGTTCATTCGATGGTAAGTAGCTGGCAGTTCTATTTTTTATAGTTGGCCTCGACAATGACCATGCCATGTTCATGTTTTCATCTGCCTTTTTGCAAACAGGATATGCGTATTCTTCTCACTGTTGGCAATTTGGCACACATGAGGTCGACAGTGATTCCCAAGCTGGTCGGATTGTTCAAGTTGGCCTACAAGTGCAATATGGATGAAGATCTCAAGGTAACTCATATCCCAGACATTCTGGCATAATTACGCGAAATAACTTAATATTGACAAACTGAGATTCTCTCTCTCTCTCTTTCCTTCTACTTAGACATTGATTGAAGTTGTTGACCAACTTGACAAGATTTTGTTCAACGATTATGTAAAACGCAAGTCTGGTCTTATACGAGATATTATCCGCCAAGGCATCCTGCTCAGTGGCATCGACTGGTACAGCATACCCAAGCCGACCGAAGTGCACTCGTATGTGTATGAAGCCTTGATGACTCTTGTGATGGTGCACTCACAAGTGAGCAGTGTTACGAAACAACTGGTCCATCGTGCGATTTCTGCCTTGCTGGAGAACATGGCCAACGATTGTTTGGAAAGCTTCCGCCAAGTGGAGCGGTTTGGCATGGGCGGTATGCTTCAGGCTACGCTGGAAATCGAATTCATGCATCAGACCTTACAACAATATGTGACAACAGCGGCATCCGATACCCTTCAGCTTATTTATCAGTCTATTGAGCAGTCCTATGATGCACAACAGCAGAACGCAGGCGAGCTGCAATCTGAGCTAAACCATGTCAAGGATCTGTTGGTTTTTAGTCGCAAGAGCACTGTGGTGCAGTTCTTGTGCTTCAAGCAGAACAAGGATCGTAGTCGAAAATAGTGAAAATAAGTTTTGCTCCCTCCTTTCCGAGTAGTAAAAGTTAATATAAATAATCGCCGTTTTTAAGAGAAAGAGACAAAACTTTATAATATAGGCAATAGCATGTGGAAAAGAAAACATAGAGATGGCTCGAAAGGAAAGAAAAGTAACAGGAGAGAACGGTGGCAAGAATAAGAAGAATACAGTTATTTAGAGTTAGCACAGTTACCCTCTCTCTTTTTTACTCTTTCTTTCTTTCAAAGGTGGTATAGAAAGAAGGAGAAAACACTAAGTGCACATTCAAAATAGATGCACGCGGCATATAATAAGCCTACGGGAAAGGGGTAAGAAAGGGCATTGGATGTGTGATGAGGGTTAAAAGGGTATGGATTGGAAGAGAGTGAAAATTTCTAGAATGTCTTTTTGTGAATGATATCAGGATCTTCCTGATACTCTTCCGCCGAGACCCACATCTACCATCAAGTTAAGGAAACGTTAGGAATGCTAACTCACATGCTTAAACACCCATATCATCCTCGATTTACCTTTTTGAAAGTGCTAAGCGATGCCAGAATGGAGCCACCGATCCAAGTGCTGTACTTGCGCTCTGGCGGTGCATAGATCTTGATCTTGATATCCTTCAATGCCAACCGCTTAATCTCGGTCAATAACCGCTCACCAAAACCTTTGCACAATGTCGAACCACCGGAAAGAACAACATTGGAATATAACGACTTGCGCAGATCCAGGTCGGCTCTGTTAATACAATCTACAATGACTTGATGGATGCCCGGGTATTCTTCTCCAATCAGCTCAGGCTGGAACAAAATCTCGGGTGCACGGAACCGCTCGGCTCCCAACTTGATAATGTTTCCATCTGGCAATACAAAATCGTCCATTTTGCCACTCATTTCCTTTTCTTCCTTGACCGGGTTCTGAGCAATGTAGCACGTCTTTTCTTTGATGATCCGCACCACCTCCTTTTCAGCCGTCGTGTGGAAATTGTAGCCCGATTTTCGGAGCAACAGTTGCAAGTATTCGGTCACGTCGCGACCGGCAATGTCGATACGTCGAATTGCATGTGGGATAGCAAAACCTTCGTAGACAGGGACCGAGTGCGTCACGCCATCGCCCGAGTCCAGGACGATACCTGTGGTACGGCCGGACGAATACAAGCTCAGTACGGCTTGGATTGACGTGAACAATGCTGGCACGTTAAATGTTTCAAAAAAGATTTGGGCAGCCGTGTCGCGGTTCATGCGTGGGTTGAGTGGTGCTTCTGTCAATAGAACAGGATGTTCTTCGGATAATGTCTTGAGTTCGTCCGTGTAAATGTATTGCCAGATTCGCTCCATGTCTTCCCAGTCTGTCACAATGCCGTGTTCGAGCGGGTATCGGATTTTGAGCAGACCGCGCAGCTCCTGTGCTTTACGACCGATGAATGTATCGCCCTCAACTGCACCAGCCATGATACGCACATGCTTAGGTCGTCCGACACTGTTTTTTTTTATAATTTGCAAAGCATTGAATATATTCTTTAGCTCCAGTTTCTTTCTTTACTCAATCACTTCATTGTTTTGTCTACTCCATCCTTTTTCAAACCAAGATTAGTTCAAGGGAAACTTACAGCGACGGGAAGAAGCATTTGGGCTGTTCTTCACCAGCGAAACCAGCCTTGATGACACCAGATCCCTATGTTTACAGCGATAAAAGAAGAATAGACCGAACATTAACTGTCGCGCGAACCGCATTTTACCGTTTTCAGGGCAAGTGTGTATAAAGTGAGCATATACTGCAATACATACGTTGTCGATAACGACGGGTTGGTTGGTCAATACCTATACGGCGTAAAAACAAGCAGTGTTAACCATGATGTGATCCAAAGGCAAAACTGGTTTAAGGAAGACTGTACATCATCAAATTCCGAATTCATGACTTTTAAGATGAGACCGAGAAGGGTTCGTTTTGAACGGGCCGGAGTGTGTAGGTTGAAAATAATCTCTCTCGCACTCTGGCTGTGTTAAAATCACACAGTGACGTTTAATTTCATTAAGTGAAATCTTGTTTCTATCCTCTCGTCTTTAACCCTTTTTGACGCGTTTTTTAATTGTTTTCGAAGTTTGCTTTTGTTTTTTTTCTAATTCCAAAACAGCATGCAGACTAGGCTGGGACTTCGTACTGTGAGGGTAACGTAGCTTTCTACTCTTAAATTATACTTGTGTTTGGTTAGTATCTAATACTTTGTTTTTTATATACAAACTTTTTAGAAATCGGGTAGCGACGTTTCTCATGACGCTCCACAGTCAGTGAGCCCATTTCATCCTCCTGTCAAGTTTGACGAAAAACAACTGAAACAAGTTGTATCCGAAGAAAGGGTAAACTTACAATTTTCTTGGGAGCGATGAACCTTTTACTGTCTAATACTAATATAAAATGCGACCCAACTATTCTATTTCTCAAACAGCCGGCCAAACGTCGAAGCACTCGTCTCGACAATGATAATAAGGACAACAATAATAAAGACAGCCAACGGACGCTATTTAATACTATTACCCCTTCTGCTGGTCCAATCGAAAAGTCACGATCTTCAACCAGGAATTTAACCACGATCAACAAAAAACGCACAACGTCTAAAACTACAAAGGAGTCAGTCATTGAACATCAACCGAAAAAGCAACGCATTTATAACGATCGCAAGCAGCAACAGCATCATGAGGAGGGAACTGGGCAAGAGATTATGTTGAACGTGCAACAACAGATGGAGCAAGAACAACAAGCAGCTGTGCTAGAAACTGTTGTACAACGAGTTACAGTAGAACAGTCGCGCGCCAAACTAGTCGAATCACCACAAGAAGTTCCTGCTCTTTTTAATGTTACAGAAAATACGACTACAAGTACGGAGCAAGCATCATCATTAACTTCATCACCATCATCATCTGCATTATTACCAACAGCATCACCGTTATCATCGCCAAAATCTGCTACTCACGAAGAATTGACGAACCCTGATGATCGATCATCAGTTGTAGATAAAGAGCAACAACGACAACAGCCATCTAATCACACCGAGCTATTTGAGTTGAAGTCAACGTTGAACGAAACTGCTCGTGTCGAAGAAAGCATCGAGCGGCCTGCAAATGTCGAAAAGACAGAGGAGCATGAAGCCAGCCCAAAAGTGAACATAGCATCACGTGACAACAATGCCAGCAGTAGCGCTGTTCCAGTATTATCACAACCAATAGCAGAAACACAAGAAGTGCCTGCATGGAAACAATCATTTTACATTCAGGTTAGATTCATATACCTAAAAGAAAAGACAGATTATAAATGTGAATGAGTGATATTCAATGGAGCTTCTGAATAATAGAGTGATAAAGCGCGAGTACAAGATGAGAAGGGCACGCTACACAAGCTGCGAAACGCACTAGACGTGAGTCTCATGTTCCATGCAGCAAATCAACGCATTGCCATGTTCCACAAGATCCAGCCCATGCTACGAAACACCACCAAAAAGTATGCGCTTTAAATAATAATAATGGATAAGGTTAGCAGGAACAAGGAGTTGGGGCTAACAAAAAAAAACTTTAATGATAGAAATATCACGATTGGCCACCTGGCGAAGATTTTATACCTAGCGCCGATGCTGTACCGAGTAGAGCCAAAGATATTGGGACACCAGGGAAGACAGGTGGAGTCATATGCTGTGGAGCTTGGAGCTGATTGGAAGGCACCGTTATCTGGCAAGCAATTGGAAGAACGCGAGAATATCCTGGAAGACAAGATGGAGGGCTTTTTCATTGCCAACAAGGGAAAGCTCGTTATACCTGAAAAAGAGTTACCAAAGATCGACAAGGTTGTTGATAGAAAAAAATGGATTGAAACTGCCAATTTGCCAAGTGGAGTAAGTTTATTTATCCCAGTGTAGAGAGGGAGAGAGAGAGGAAAGGAGCATATAGACAACAACAAGGCTAACCCAACGCGAAAGGTGCGAGATCTGCTTCAATTGGAAGAAAGGAGGAAAGAAGAGGCCGAGAAAGCCAAAGCCACGCAACCACCATTGACAGGCACGGGAACGGTAAAAGATCGACGCCAGGCATTATTGGAGCGGGTAAGCGAGACAAGCAAGCAGGCGTTTAGGGCCATCGGGAAAACGCTAAGAAAAGGAATTTTAATAACTCGTAATTGTTTGTTTTCTACCGTGTAGATCCGTTCCAAATCAAAGAAGTAGTAATACAAGTGCATTCTTTCAAGTAATAGCAATAAAGCTAGACCTCATTGCACATCATTCGAAAAGGGGAAAGAGGGAAAATAAAAAGAATCCTCGGAGTAATGTGTGCGCACAGCAAGAGAGAGATTAATAACACACAAGCACACACGCTGCATGCATGTGTCTCGAAGCCATAAATGCCTGCATGTTGCACAACCGCGCTGAAGTAATAATAACAACAATCCGAAAAATAAAGTCTCTGTAATACTGCCTAAGAATCACCCCCCCCCCCAAAAAAAAAAAAAAACACACACGATCTACTATTGCCCTTTTCACTCCCTTGTGTGTTTCGACACTGTCTTCCTTTCTTGTTCTGTGTGCATGTCTGAGCCGTGCGTTTAATACTTGGCAATAGAATACACGATCGCTATAATGGCCCATACTCATCATACTCATCGTCGCAATCGATCATTGTCCGCTGCCGACCCGCCCGTCGTCATTCAACAACACCAGCAGCATCATCAGCACCAGCAACAGCAGAATCACGGACTCATCCCAACTCGACAAGCTCCCGAGCCTCCTTCGTCTCGTCGAATAGCACCCTCGTCGACGGCTGCAGCACCACAATATCGGTCCTACGGTCAGTTCAACGATCATTTGCCGCCTATGCGAGGTGAGACTGTATCGTCGCCAGGCACATTGATGACGCCTCATGATACTGCTGCTGCTGCTGCTGCTCAACATGCTGTTGAATCTACAGCAGCAAAAAAGGTAGGTCTATTGGTGCCGCATATGAAATCGCCATGGTAGTTTTCGTACAATATACGGGCGTGTTACCATGGCAAATATATTATTTGAAGTGCTCAAGCTAAAATCCCACATTAAGCAGTCTGCAAAGGGCAACAAGACAGGCGGTTTTGGGAAACTACTGAAAAAATGGGGAAACAAGGTATGCTCGTTATCTGCACACGCACACAATAGTTAGCACACACTATGCCAAAGAAAAAGTGTATTAACTAACAATCCACACTCTCGTGCTACAACGAACTTTAATAATAGCAACAGCAACAGCACCACCAGCACCACCAGCCATACCAGCACCAGCAGCAGCCATACCAGCGCCAGCATGATCCAATTGCCTCATCGCCACCTCCTTCAGCGACAACCTCCTCCTCATCCTCTTCCATGATGAACCCGCCAACATCACCCAAATCATTGGATAATCCACACAATATACCATTGGCACCGCCAGCACCTGCACCGCCAAAGCTGCAATCAATTGAAGTAGGACAGCGCACTTACCTGCAACCTGAATTAAAAAAAGGCTGGCAGGAATCAGATAACTTGCTATCCGCGATCCCAGCTGAACTTCGTTCTCGACCTCCACAACCGGCTCGCATTGTCGAAGGCCCGCCGCTTTCCTTGTATGACATACCTCCTCCTCCTCCTCCGCCATCGTCGTCGTCTCAACAGAAGCAGTACCAGGAAGAGCAACTGCAACAATTGCAGCGCTTCCAGCAGCAGCTGCAGCAGACAACACCGCTTTTGTCGTCATCTTCATCATCCTCGTCGTTATCATCTCCAACATCATCTATACCTCATCATCAGAGTAGCAATAGTAGCTACAAAAGTCCATCACCACCTATCAATAATAATCATAATAGCAATAGCTATAACAGTAATTCCCAGCACAAAGCAAGTCAAAATAACTCATCGTTACCGACACCGCCATCATCAATATCATCATTGCAGCAGCGTCAGTATCCATACCCACAACAACAACAACGACAGCTACAACAGCAACCTCTGCGAGGAATTCTCCAAAAGCCTCCTCCTCCTCCTCCTGAAATAATAACAACAGAAACACCTGCTGCTGCTGGCAGTAGCGGGTATAATAATAATTACAATGACAATATTGCTGCCGCTACACCCATATACCAGCAGCAAGCTCAACAAAAGCGAAACGAACAAGCGGTCAATGGCGATAATACTACCAACAGCACCAACGATGATAATGAGGATGAAGACGAGGCATATGAATCATCCGCTTATAAACCACAGCGATTTTCAACCTGGTCATATGCATCTACTGGCAAATCGTCCGGAACGTACTCATTGTACAGTACATTTGGACCCGAGTCACGACCATCGAGTGAAAGCGCTTTCGAACTGAATAACGAAAATGGAAACAACGATGACGATGATAATAGCGATGATAATATAAACAACCAAGCAAAGAAGGAAGAGGAAAACGGAACAGCGGCTACTACCACTGTGAAGAATAACCGGAGCACCGACAACAAACTAGTAGATGAGATAAACGACGCTACAACTACATACAGCAATACAAATGTACTAAGTGACGGCGAGGACGACGATGACATTGATAGCAGCAGCGACGACGATGCTTTATTTGTGGATGCTACTGGCATGTCACAAGAAGACATTGAGCGTGAAAAACACGAACGACGTCGATTATCGAAGCGATTAAGTGGAGGCCATTTCGGCAGCGCCGGCGGTCTCATGGTTAGTATCAGATCCAGGGCATCAATGCAACCACCTCCGCCTGTTCCTTCATTGCCGCCACCACCACCACAACAACAACAACGGCAGCAACGGCGACCTTCAGAAGACATAGTACAAGCCATGCTTGAGTGGAAACGACACAGTGGGAGTGCGAAAATAGAGATACCGTCGATACCGCCTCCTGGATCATTACCACCTCCCCCGCGACCTATTAGAAAGCGACCGACTGAACAACAGCCACCAGAACCTCGCTCAGAACCTCATCAACAACAGCCAGTAAAGGAGCAGCAGAAGCAGCAACGTCAAAAAGAGGAAGAACAGAAACAGCAGCAATTTTCACAAGATGTTGAAGATGCCCGTGCAGCAGCACAAAAGTTATGGAAGAACGATGAATCATTTGTATCGACAGAAAAGGCTGCAGAATGGCTAGGTCAAGCGTAAGTGCTCATACGTCACCTGATTAATATATGACCTCTTCCTTTTTTCAAACAAAGCATCACCAACTTATCTATGTTTCTAATGCCGTATAGGAAACCGCTACATGCAAAGGCTCTCGTCTATTACATGAGTCATTTCGATTTTTCCGATATGCTATTAGATAAGGCATTCCGCAAACTATGCAGTAAGCTTTATTTCAAAGCTGAAGCACAGCAGATTGATCGTATTCTGGAAGCGTTTGCTCGACGCTACTGGAGATGTAACCCGCAGAGCATATTTGGCAACGCCGGTATATATTTGATTTTATTTTGTCGTTGTTACATTCAAACAAGGGAAACTGACATACAGATTACTTTTTTATTACCAGATATCGTATATGCCGTCGTCTACTCTGTGCTGCTTTTAAATACAGACCTGCACGTAGCACAAGGCAACCACGTACGGATGGCCCGGCAAGCATTTGTTCGAAACACCATGTCAACCATTCGAGATCAAGTGCGAACACTGCCACCCGAAAAGCGCGATCGCACGGGTCAGCTGTTTACGAAATCATGGGAGTCCGATATGGAAATATACCTCAAAGAGCTCTACGTCTCTGTCAAGCAAAGCCAGATTTTGCAGCCATTAGAGCATCATGAGCAGCAACAGCAACAGCAAAACCAACTATCGATAACGAACAACATAGAAAAACGAGGAAGTATCTTGGGTGGCAAAGTGGTCGAGTTTACGCGAAGCGTCAACACCATAATTCGCAACAAATCTGGTCGAGAAAGCGCTGTCATTTATCCAGTAGTAACAGACGATTCATTACACAAGGCCAGCAACCCATCGTCTCCGTTAGGTTCACCTCGTCGGGATTCCTTCTCGTCATCCATGTCTGGTGGATCACTGGCTTCGTCTGCTGCTCGCAATAATAACGGTAACAACGGCAGCGGTATGCTCTCTCCACACCAGCCCATGATGAGCTTTATGCAATCCCATGCATCAGATATGTTTACCAGCCGACCACCGTACCTTAAAGAAGGTGTTGTTATGCGTAAGCACTTGTTGGAAAATGGCAATCACAAGGCAAAACATCGAGAATGGCGCGAGTGTTTTCTTGTGGTTGGCCATGGCGAGCTCAAAATGTATGCCATGCAAGGCAGCACGAATGAAGACCGACGAAGTATGCTGCGCGTTAATAGTTTCACTACTCTGGCTGATTCGTTGCAGGGAAGCAAACCGGCTGCATCTACGCCATGGACTGTACGTCTTCTTTATAAAGCATGATTATCTCTTACAGCTGATGACAAAAGCTCATATAATTAACTGCTGTGCTGAAAATACAACATATAGTCATCCATGCAGCCTTTGGGTACAATCACGCTGAATCACTCTTTATCCAACATCCTGCCACCGCCGGGCTATAATCGACAACGGTCTCATGTATTTGCCATTCAACAATCACATGGTGGTGTGTTTTTGTTCCAGGCACCATCGCAAGAACAAGTCAATGAATGGGTCGAAACCTGTAATTATTGGGCTGCACGACAGAGCAAGGAGCCATTACCCGGTGGTGTGAGCAATATGGAATATGGATGGGGTGCTTGTTTGAACGACGTGATATTGGATCTGGATGCTTTGGAGATTTCTGGAAAATATTTAGGTGATCCAGATGCACTCAGTATATATGACTGGCGACCGCCGGCACCACCTACGGTGTCCAGTACTCTGGATGATAAAGTGCAGTGGGATGCGCTGCAAAAACATTTGGATGCACTTAGTAATGAAATTAATGAGCATCGAGAATTAAAGCGGAAAATCCTTGTCAAGGTGAGTGAGAGCAGAGTGGAGAGAAAGAATTGAATATTATATACTTATTGGCAATCTTTATCATCGTTAGTTTCCAAGTAAAAGCCAGAACCATTCCAAGGTTATGACCAATTGGGAAGCTAAGTCGAATTATCTGCTACACGATATCATCAAGTATCAGAACTACTGCGATGCGTTGGAAAGAAGTGTGAAACGCCGTCAACAGCAACAACAACAACAACAACAACAACAACAACAACAACAACAACAACAACAAAAGCAGCAGCAGCAACAGCAAAAAGTGGCCCAGCAACAAGACCATCAACATCCTCATCGTCATCGTCATCAACAACAACAACATATTCAGCTACCTTCAATATCCATAGAACAAGAGAAAAGCTTGGACCTGTTCGTTGAAATTGAGAAAGAAGTCAATACTGAACTTTAAGAGATCCGTTTCTCTTCTACACAATTCAATTACTCTTTCTTACTACTCTTATTATTAATATTCGAATCATTTGTTCTTCTTTCCGTATCTGCTTTTGTAGTTATCACATCCCTTTCCAGTATTTGCGGTTTTCTCGTAACTATTTTACCAAAAATGTACATAAATTGACTTTAATATCTTTATTTTTCGCTTCTAAAAATCTCGTGTGGCTATTATTCCAGTAAAACGTTTTACTCACACATCATCGCAAACGGAGTACGTTAAATAAATATTATAGCCATAGTATGTATAAAAAAAAGTGATATAGTATGTACGTGTGTACGCGCTTCTATAAAGTCTATCAATCTTTCAAAACAAGCACAATCGCTATACATATCAATCCTGATATCTCTATCTACATACTCGGTGGTGAAAACGGAACATCCACAGCAAATTCGCTAAAAGCTAGATTTGGCGAGCCAGATAGCGAATCGCCGCTACAGCAGTTTCTACAACTTGAATGGCTAATATTCCAGAGTCGCTATATTCGCCGCCATGATCGCTTAAAACGGGTAAATAGATTTGGAGTCTGTCAAGACGTCCGCCATCGGTCGTGTAACCTTGGCGATCGACAGTTGCTATAGAGATATAAACTTGAGCTTTGGCATAGGTATATTATATTTACCGATGCAAACAACACCTGAACGACCTTTAGGTCTGCTTGAAAAGTATCAAGTCTCCAAGCAATTGACGCGTACCTACGGTACAGTAACAACAACCGCGATCTTGCGCCATGGTTCTTATCGCCCCAATAGTGGCAACGACAACCTGAATCAACTGCGCGACATTAAACAATTTTACATGTCTCAACTTCATGCACCCCTAAAGCGACTTGTCGAAGAACACGTACAGCTCTCGCTCGCTGTGGCTGAAAATGACGAGCCAACAGCACATTTCGTTCGACTTGAAGGGTTCGATCTGTCGTCCATTGTCCATGTCAATGAACAACAAGTTCCTTTCTGGGATCGATCCGAGCTTGCCAAAGTTATCAGCAAAGAATGCGATCACAATTTTGACCTTAATGACCACACGATACCCCTCTGGCGTTTACGTATCTGTATACATGAAAATCGACTTGACGAATGTAGTATCACTTTTACGGCGCACCACGTTATCATTGACGGCAAGAGCTTAGCATTGTTCTGGCAGAATTTGTATGAAGAAATTACCAGTAATAAAAGCGATAGCCAAGAAGAGAAACAAGATGATGGCCATCACTATTGGATCAACACTCAAGGTGGAACTCGATTGATGCCTCCTTATGAGGATCGAAATGCACCTATGCCTACTGCATGGAACATGGCTGGCGTTATTTCCCGCATGATTGCCAAGAAGGTTTTGCCTGGTTTCCTAGCCCAACGGTGGTTCCCTCAAAGCTGGGCTGGTGACTATCCAGGTGCAGCGAACAAGGCACAGATCCAACATCATACACTTGTACGCGCGATCGATTTGGGCGGCACGATTTGGAACAATGTCTGTGTAGCATGCCGTGAACATGGTGTCACTCCGCACGCGGCGACGATGGCAGCACTTGTCATGGCATTTGCTGAACTCTACCCAGAAGTCAAGACAGTCTCGACCTGTACACCTCTTGATTGCCGTTCGTTCTGTAATCCTCCTGTACCTGAAGATGAAATGGGTAACTTTTTCGGCGCCTATTCGCATGTATGGACATTGCCGTCACCGTCATCAGAAGACTTTTGGGACATGGCCAAGGCTTATCAAACTCAGTTGAGAGCAAACAAGCATGAAGGAGCTAAAGAAGCTGGCCTGCTCAAATATCTTCCCAAGTATCCAGAAGATTATTGTGATTTTTGGCTTGGACAGTGTGATTCGAACCCAACCATGCATCGTGCTGGAGGTATCGAGCTCTCGGATCTGGGCAAATTCCCAACAACAACAAAGGAGGAGACTGGCTCATGGCAAATCGAGTCAATTTGGTTTTGCCAGAGTGCCCATCCAGTAACTACAGCTCTGGATGTAAACTCTATCCGAACCCAAGATTCCATCTATCTCACCCTTGGATGGCAAAAAGGCTCGTTGCAAGAATCCAAAGTTGACGCACTTGGACGCTCGGTAATCGATAAACTCAAAAACTGCTTTCAATAATAGTTACTTTCTTGTTTATATATCTATAATTACTACGCTACTATTTAAATACTTTACCCTTAATAAAAATACTGTGATTCATCTACTCATAAAAATGTTTCGGTGTACCTGATGGCTGGTCTGCACAAAAAATACATTACCTTATGCGAATGACATTAAGAGGTTTCAAAAACATATGAAAATAAGGGATATTCTGCATTGTTGGTATATATCAATGAAAAACACACACTAATCTTTTAAACATAGTGTTGACTATCTTATTCTGTGGTTATACTAGCTACTTTACTATATAATAACTTTGCACTGCAGAGGATTCTTTAAAGCAAGCTGGCCTCGTTTGTTCCAGCAATTGCTCCAAAGTTTTTCATGCACGTCGCAAAAGGATCGACATACCTGTCAGAGAAAACTTTGTTTTCAACATGTTCGTCCGGTTGCTTCAACAGATCAAATACGAACGAATGTGGCGTGCCGGCTTTTTCGACGAGCATGTTGTATCTTTCCTCTTCGATGATTTGTTGGTGTGTGATGGGTCGGCCTAAATGATACTAAATATGTCAAGACCTCTGCTTAGCTTGGTTGGTGAAACAAAATTGCCAGTTAATTTATTACCATGCTTTTCGATGGATTCCCGAAAACATTGACAGCAGCTATTATAATGTCGTTGGGCGAAATCCACTGTTGCAACATTGTGGTGTGACTCTATTAGTATACATCATCACCTATCTTATGTATATTAAGTTCTTATTCGAGATTGTTTCAGCTTTTTTCTTCATCCCTTAACTCTTCAGTGACAACTACTTTACAAAATTGCCCCTACTTTATGCGTTCTAATGCTGCTCATTACATTACTTTGTGTGATAAACTAGGCAAATTTTTCAAGTTTCCTATACGGCTGTTGATAAATACCTTTTTTATCTGTTGGCTGTTGGGGTGTTTGATATGTATAGCAAATAATGAACTCAGTTCTAGAGTACAATCGCTCAGTGGATGATGTAGTTTTAATAGTTATCTCAACTTTTAGTGGTCACGTAAGCATATTGATTACTGTATAGATTTTTAGCTGTACATATGGATCTATTATCACACAAATAACGGAAATTATGCTGGAGATCTTTATTATAGCTTGTATATATACAGCTTAGCGGGCTACTATATATTGATGCTTTTGAAAGTATCTGTTGGATTACATAATTAATTCTACAAACATCTATAATGCAATTTCCCTCAACTGGCAAAATGTATCAGTGTTGGAAAATCCCCTTTGCGTGGACCGGTGACATACTGGCGGAATTTGTGATGCCTCGCTGTCTGTAACACCAGCTCTAAGACTACAAAGACTTTGGTGATTGGTAACAAAAAGCATGTATGGTAACGTGGATGTACAGTATGTATGTGTAGGCTAGCAACCGGCGGACTTCAATAAGCAAACGATATGGGCCTCTACTAAGGCGGTCCGTGTAACCATGAAAATGCGGGGTAACAGGCATTGAAGGCCTCCACACACATTTACCGCGGGTGACCGCACAACAAACTCAGCCAGCAACACACGCATCCATGCATGGGGAAGCAGTCCTCTCCGACCTTTGCGAGTCGTCAACAAGGCACATATCAAGAATACAAAAGAAGAACCATGTTTTTTACTACAACCAAAGCAGCCAGCGCTTTATTGCGTTCAACGGCAGCAGGTTAGTTGTGAAGAATGACGTGTCATTCAAGGAATCCTTTGTCACATTTTAGCCACTGGGGGGTTTGGACGTTTAACAACTGCCACTATAAGTCAATTCGAAACAGGAAAACACGTCTAACTGAATCATTCCCATGTAGTAACACGACGTACTGTCAGCAGCGGTTACGATTCCACAGTCAATAATCTCAGAATCAACAAGGATACCAAAGTCATTTGCCAAGGTTTTACTGGCAAGCAGGTTCCGTACTCTTTTCCATTGTTAGACCGATATCACCCATGGCCGTGTACTCTCGTATTCATATCCAAAGTTTTCTATAAATACAGGGTACGTTTCACTCAGGACAAGCTATTGAATACGGAACACGAATGGTGGGCGGCACCTCACCCAAGAAAGCTGGACAGACACACTTGGGTCTTCCCGTGTTTGGCAGTGTCAAAGAGGTAATTCACCCTAGAATAGGCACACATTGATTTTGCGCTTGGATTGTCGCATCTTCTTATATCAACAATGTATATAGGCCGTTAAAGAGGTCCAACCTGATGCCAGTGTGATCTATGTGCCTCCTCCCGGTGCAGCAGCTGCCATTATGGAATCCATTGAGAACGAAATCGGACTTGTCGTGGCCATCACGGAAGGTATACCCATCCATGACATGACCCGAGTTAAGCAGGCGCTCTTGACGCAAAACAAGACGCGATTGGTGGGTCCCAACTGCCCTGGTATCATTGCACCAGGTCAATGCAAAATCGGCATTATGCCCGGTCAAGTTCATATGGAAGGATGCGTTGGCATTGTCTCGCGTTCCGGCACCTTGACGTATGAAGCTGTGAATCAAACCACGCAAGCTGGATTGGGGCAGAGTTTGGTTGTCGGTATTGGTGGTGATCCATTGAATGGTTCCAATTTTATCGACTGTTTGAAAATCTTTTTGGAAGATGAGAAAACGAAAGGTAATCAGATACATGGGAGTTAATGGATAGATACTGATGTGTATTGGGAATAGGTATCATCATGATCGGTGAAATCGGTGGTTCTGCCGAAGAAGAGGCTGCTGCTTTCTTAAAGGAATACAATCTAAAGAGATTGGATCCCAAGCCCGTGGTTTCCTTCATTGCTGGTGTGACCGCACCTCCTGGTCGTAGAATGGGTAAAAATTCAAACACACGCTTAAACCTTTTATTAGTCAAATAATTTAATGGATGACATTACTGTTCTTGTGAACTATTAGGCCATGCTGGCGCTATCATTTCCGGAGGCAAGGGTGGCGCACAGGACAAGATAGGTGCATTGAAAGATGCTGGCGTTTTCGTGACGCCATCTCCGGCTAGACTGGGCGTTGAGCTGAAACGGGTAATTTATTGGACTAGTGCGGCAGCAGTAGTTGTTGCGAGGGAGAAAGGAACAACCTTTGCTAACATTTTTTATTGTATTAGGCAATGACTGAAGCTGGATTGGTCTAAGGCGTGTACGATATGAGAGACCTTTTTTCTGTAATATGCATCATTTCTTTTCATTAAATGTGTCCTCACTTCTACCATTATCACTCTTTCCTCGATTACAACTGCAACAGCTAGCGTTTGCGAAACACGTATAGAGCCAGCAAGGAATATATGAAGCAGAGTGAGATGCTCACCTTTGCAATTCAAGCTGGGTGAATATCTATTTTCGTCTACTTATATTTTAGAGCCTTTGGATGATGTGTGATCTTGGTATCATATTTTTGGTATTTGAGTATCTGTGTGAGCAAAAGGAAATGCACGGACCAACATTGCTACTGCCTTTTTGTGTAATTCGGCGACCAATATGATTTCAGTAGTCTCGTCTTCGTCCAGGAACTGATTGAGTGCCTGAAGAGAAGAAAAAAATCATACAAAAGAAAAGCGCTGCAAAATCAGTCGATAGATGTATTGCAAGATAACCCATTCACGGATTAAGATAAATCTGACGTCGAACATACGAGCAATTAAAATAGTAGACTTATTGTACAGGATTTTGAATCCAATCCCGGACACGGGCTCTAAAATTTTCGCGAACGGGATTTATTTTTTCGCTCATGGGATTTTTTTTTTTGGTTTACGGGATTTGCCATTTCGTTCGCGGGCTTCTTTTTCGCCAATGAGATTTTCCATTTGGCCAACGGCGTTTTGATTTGGCCAACAGCATTTTATTTCGCTAATGGCCCCTTTTTCCGCCTAACGGCATTTTCACTTGGTCAATGGCTCTCTTTTTCACTAACGGCGTTACTAATTTGCTTGCAGCAATTTATTTCGTCAACGGCATCGTCACTTGGGCAACGGCCCCTCATTTGGCTTACAGCATTATTGTTTCGCCCATGTTACTGTCGCTTGGCTAGCAGCATTTTTAACCATTAGTCTTTGCTTTTTGGTGCCTACGCCTTTCACTTATTCAAGCAAAGGTGCTTTGTTACAGCGTATAATTATAGTTTCATATTTATAGCTTTTGCCACGTCGAGTGGAATCGGTGATGCCGAATTATCCATTCTATACTTTTTATATTATGTCGAAGAAAGAAAAAAAAAGAGCAAAGCTGAGTTTCCTTGCGTGTGCCTGAAAAAGAGGCAACCGAGTGTATGATTGATTCTTTCGACGAGATCGTACTGTCGCTTTGACCTGCTGTACTGTTTTGGGATGCTACACGTTCGATGCTATCTAATTGAGCAGTATTCCTGCTAGAGTGATTGATGCGTATTCAATGCCATTCTCTTATTGTCTATATCATGTCCTGAATCTGTATTTTGTGTGCGTGCTCTTCTTAAAAAGATTTCTTGCTTATAGTCACATCTCTTGGATGTAGAAAATACTGCAGACGTTGCTGTCTTTTATAAATAGCTGAACAATTTTTAATTTGCCGTCTCAGTGTAAATCGTTATATTGTTACCAGAAATAATATCAGCTAAAGAAGTGTATGATGTGCTATAAACTGTTTATTAGATAAAAGAAGTGTTATATTCTTAAATCCAAGGCGCCCAACCTATTTATGTATATAACATATACAGACGGTAAACAATGTTAGTCATCATAAGGTCAATAGATCAGAAACAGATGGGAGACGTGTATCTATACTTTACCGACAAACATCTGGCTCAGGTTCGCGTTGGAGGAGGCTGAGGCGATGAGTCTCTTGACTTCATTGTTGACGGAGCGGCCGTTGTAAATCTTGTTATCGATTCTTATTAGCAATTCGCGGGTGACCTCCTAATTATTTTGTAAAAGGGAATTTTTGGTTAAGGCTCGATCGTGAGTAATCAATAGCACAGTCATCATCATCTTTGACACACACCATGTACACTCTTGGTTCTCTCCTCCTTTAAAGCAGTAACCGGGCGAGGCCGAGGAGGAGACGGCTATAGAAATGAAAGAAAGCAAGAGATTTGATCGTGAGTCGTCGTGATACTTCTTGACAGACATGCACACTACCACACGCACGGCCATGCGATGGATCCCGTTTCCCAAGAGTTATACGTACAGTTGGTGACGAGGAGGAGAAGGAGAAAGAGAAGGAGAAAGAAGCGGAAGAGAAGAGGCCAAAGAACTATGGATGGGTGGGTACGCGTACCTTTTTATATAAGATTCGTTGTGAATAATTGGAACAATCGATTAGATTCTTCGGCAATTGCGTGATTCGTCTGTTGTCCAATAGCCGAACGAGCGCATAGGCGATGAGGTCAACATTAAGAAAGAGCACAATGCATGTTTCAGTCAACAGTGCGGCAGAGAAACGATCGTTTTTCATTGACCATTCTACATTATTAGCTATAGTGTCGTCGTTTATTATTCGAGGATTGTATCAATATTGGCATCATTCTATAGCCACGGCTCTGCTCTACATGAATCTCTCTTTGCTGAATGACGAACATAGTCAGTTTATTTGAAAAAGAAGGAAGAAGAGGGCACTGTCGCAACTGCATGTTTCAGATTCGATTGTTGGAGAAACAAATTTTAGACACGGTGAAGGGGAACCTGGCATCGTCTTTTTAAGACTAGGCAATTTCCAAAGCAATATTCCGCCGCGATTATCGTCGTAACTGTACATGATATTAGTATCATGTTAAAGCTAAAGACCTTAAAGACCTGCCATTTCTTTTGATAACCTATTGCTAATGTGTCATGAATTAATAAAGAATGAAGGGGAAGGAGTAAAGAGTTTGTACAGGACTCGTGGGAAGGCAAGTTCCCGATGCATGAATTTTCTGCAATTGCTTCCGCTGCACACAAGTACGGGAAAACATTGACGCGTTTGTTGTATAGAAAATGATCGTGCTATTTTGTGCGCTGTAGCATTCAAGCCAAAATTAATGAGAGTGTTATCCTCCCAGTAAGGAGGATAAAGGTACCCGACGAAGGGTTATGGTGTCGCATCAAAAGTTGAGAGGCTAAATCAATATGAAGTCACTGCGCTCAATTTAATAGTAACACTGCTCAAAAGAAAGAGTATGTAGCAATTTGAGGTATACTACGCTAATATTTCCCTGGGACAAAAAGACTTTATATAAGCTTAGTTGTATGTCATGGTTGTTGAGGGACCAACCCTAAGCTCCTGCCTCTCAATGTGACACTTGATTATATAGACGTGGAATATCATGCGTAAAAAGGTACATCTCGGATTTTGCGTATGACTATTGCAATTGCGCTACCGTCGACAGTGACGATAATGAAGTCCACCAAGTTATCGCTGAAAGATCAATTCTCTGACGCGTTCGTTCTGTGTGATTAGTTTTAAAGTTATAAAAGCTAGTTGATGTGGACGTTTTTCCTAAGTACAGCAAGTTGGCATTTTCAATTTTCAAACCCATACTATGTATTTCGTCTCATCCATGTTATTCCATCTATTTGCATCATGGCTCTTCCGCACAAAAATCACACCCGGCAGGGTACAAGCCCTGCCTCACCCCAATCGCCCCCAAAACCGCAAAAACTCGACGTTCCTCGACTTTCATACGCCAAAGTCGTTCAGAAACATCGACAGTCGCTCATGCGACAAGAATCAGAGACTAGAGAATTGCTCGACGATAAAAACAACACCCGCACTACTCGGGTTATCCATTCCAACATCTGGCGTGTTGGTGGATCACCCGCCTCAGCAGACAGTGTCTACTTCGACGTTAGTAGCCGTACCGAACCAATCCCGCGTATTCTTGCCACCATCAACCAGCAGTTCCCCGAGAATTGTGGTGCGCAATCAATCCAAGAAGGCCCTCGCGTTATCATCGAGCTCTACTCTGAGGACCCGGAAGTGATTCAAGCTGCCTTAACCCAAGGACTTCACTTTAAAGACGGCGTTATCATTCTCGCCTGCAACACTCTATCCGGAGATGCCCAGATCAAGAAAGTGCGCCTATCCCATCTCCCCTACAGGAACCACACTGCATTAGTCGCGGGCATTATCAACAGCCTCAGCGTATACGGCAAGGTATTAGACTGCGGCATCTATTGAGACGCCGTGTCCGGCATGTACTTAGGCAATGGCTTCGCGGTGCTGGACCGCCAACCTATACGAGATGAGCAACCTTACTATGACCTCGCACACCGTGTTCAATGGGAAACAACTGAACACTGCTTCTACGCCACCTGGGCCTCCATGGCTCTACATTGCTCGCGTTGCCACAAACCCGACCACCATGTTCGCATTTGCCCGGAACGCCCTCAGGCACATCGTGCCTGCTGGACCTGCGGACAAGTCGGGCACATTTCGGCCGGCTGCCCGGACAACCCCAACAGCTACAAAGGGAAAACTAACAAGCGTCGCCGCAACGCCGACCGTCAGACCAAGAGTACCATCTCTATGATAGCTCGGATTTATGTACTAGATACTTGAGAAATATACTAACTTAAACTTGATTGTGGGAGGTTATGTAAGTCATTTCTCAATTTTCATTGGTATAGGATATGACTTATACGGCAGTGGGACTACGACAACGTGGGTTATTTGGCCCGAGTTACTGGGAAGCTGTCACTAACGCGTTTTACAATCTCGAATAACGTGCATCGAAATCGGAGACATGAGACATTTTAAATTGATGGGAGACCGGGGCTGCCAATGTAACAGCCGAAAATTATACTGTGTGCGAAAGCACAGCACAAACATTTATTCGTGGTTTGTTAACACGTTCAAGATAAATAAGCGGGACAACACGTCTTTAAAGAGTACTTATTACAAAACTCCTCGCTTTTTTGATTGAGAGAGTGATCTGGATATTGACCTGATGCTGATAAATGATAGTTATAGGCATTTTATTAGAAGCTCGTCTTAAGAAAAGGTTAATAATCTCATTAAATAGTAGTACAGCAATCTGATGTGTTACGAACTTCGGCTCGAAAAGTCATTTGTGAATCGTGCCCTTCTGACTTGCTCAAGGTCAGAGGCGTCGTTTGCATATTTTCAAGTTTGTGTCGTTATACATTGAGTTCCCCTCGCCCAGAGCACCTCATTCATTGTACTAATAAACATACACATCTCTCAAGAAACAGGGGACGGTTTTACTACAGCTTGACTGCCTGCACTAAAACTACGTAACATGATTGAACAACCAGACTATGAGTATTGGCTATTGTTGAAGCCGTTTTTGGCATCCTCCTACGCGACAGTGAGCCAAACAGTCAACGCGTCGAAATGCGCGGTAACAAGCACGCGATTTTTTAAAAAGGGGTGGTCCGGCTGGATTAGGTGACCCTCCTCTGCTTTCTGATTTGCTGTTCGCTCATTTAAATTAAAACGCACTCTACCGCTTTTCTTTTGTGTTGGCCATCGACTTCATAAAGGCTGCTCGGTCCGCCCGTCATCCCGTTGCCGAGCGTTTCGTGTATCCTATTCGTCTCGTGCACTCACACATAAACACTCGATATACGTAGTTGAAGAAAACGAGAACCCAACGGTCAGAGTACATGATACGATATATCCGTAAAATAAGACTCTTGGGAGTAAACAAAGAAAAAAACAGAAGTCGAGACATTTAGAACTCAGTTCCAGTTTTAACAACGAAAAAAAAAAACCTTGTGTGTGTGTACCTGAACAGTCTTTCCAGGCTTTTCTCTTTATTTCTCCTTCTTTTCTTCAAAATCAACAATGGCATTTCCATTCGATCTTGTACAGCCGCCGTTGCCGTCAACATCGTCTTCCTCTTCAATCGTTCTTCCGGAGCCTCATAAAACAACCCTTTGGTACGATTCTATATTCTTATATTTTCTCGCGCGCTCTCGCAAAGCAGCAACAACAAACAAAAGCAGGAAAAATTAACACACCAACCAACCAAACAACCCACATTTTTGTTATTAGGATGGGTGAATTAGAACCATGGATGGATGAACAATACATTCGACAGTTGTGGTTCAATTTGAACGAGAAAGTCATGGTCAAGGTGATTCGAGACAAGGTGACAGGGTATGTGTGGTCTTTCTTTGTTTTTTGTTTTTTTTTTCAAACACGTTTTCCTGATAGAGATCCCATATTAACACACATGTACACATGCACCAAAATAGTGCAAGTGCAGGCTATGCCTTTGTTGATTTTGGATCGGCCACCCATGCTCAACGCGCATTAAACGCATTCAGCGGATCGTTGATCCCAAACACACACAAACAGTTCAAACTGAACTGGGCCTCGGGTGGCGGTCTTATTGACAGACGGTATGTTTCCGCTCGTCGTCGGTGGGGGGGGGGATTGGTGATAGACGATATAACTTTTTCTTTTTTATTTTTTTAAAAAAAAAGGAGGATCTGTTACATTTATTGATCTTTTCTTTTTTCTTGCTATCACAGTGAGGACAGACAACCTGAATATTCCATTTTCGTCGGTGATCTCAGCCCAGAATGTACCGAACTGAGCCTCCTAGTAAGCCCTTTTTTTTTTCTTTTAAAAAAATTCGAGTCAATATACATGAACTCAAACAATGAATTCGATTTAATTAAATAGGGCGCGTTCCAAGCCAATTATCGATCATGCAAATCAGCCAAAATCATGACGGATCCTCGCACTGGATTAACACGCGGTTACGGCTTTGTACGATTCACAGACCAAAGCGACCAACAACGCGCATTGATTGAGATGCAAGGATTCATTATCGGCAGTCGACCTATCCGAGTTTCTGTTGCGACGCCTAAAAACCGAATGCATACTTCTACGACGTCGTCGACCACTGCTGCCAACGTATCATCGCCGCCTACTCGTTCTCCACGTCAACAACCCATGACTACTGCTGCCACCTCAACGACGGTTGTTAGTCCATTAACATCGCCATCGATGATGACAGCCTCGTCGGCAGCAGCAGCAGCAGCAGCACAAGCAGTATCGGCAGCACAAGTGACAGCGGCAGCATCATTATTCGCCGATCCATCGAATACAACAGTCTTTGTAGGCGGATTGTCAGCACCCATTCGTGAGGATGAATTACGACAGTATTTCAGCCCATTTGGTGAAATCATGCAGGTCAAGATTCCACCTGGAAAAGGGTGTGGATTTGTACAGTATGCGATGCGTCATTCCGCAGAACTGGCGATTCAACAAATGAACGGATATCAGATTGGCAACTCGAGAATCCGTTTGTCCTGGGGTCGCTCTCAAAACGATAATACGATCAGCAGCAACACTATTAATACTAATCATAATCATAATCATCCGACGACCACAACGACGACGACGTTCGCTCCTCCTCCTCCTCCTCCTTCGTTATCCTTACAGCAGCATCAGCACCAGCAACAACAACAACCTTCCGCCATGCCTCATCCTCCTCATACAGCCAGCAATAACGCAGCAGCAGCAGCTATGGTGGCAGCACTGTCTCGGTAAGAATACTGCTTTTGATGTTTGCATAAAGAAGAATTAGTGTACCAACCTGCCTTGTTGGGGTGTGTGTGTGTGTGTGTGCTATTTATAGATCACCAGCAACAGCAGCCACTACTGCAGGCTATCCTCCTCATCCTCCTCCTTCACTCGGCAACTATGGTGGGTTCTATCCAGCACCTCAGCAGCAGAAATATCCTTTTGCAGAACTGAGCCTCATGTCGCAACAACAACAACAACAACAACAACAGCAGCAGCAGCAGCCACTCCCATTACCACCACAGCAACAGCAACAGCATTTGCACGCACTGGCAGCCATGCAACAGCAACAATTCTCACGATTGGAAGGATTTGCGGCTCACGCTCCAGCGGTAATCCGAGGTGCTCCTGTAGCCAGTGGCACTCACAGCAGCACGAACGCTGCTGATGCATTGGGGTTGATGGCGGAGCAGGACGATCTGTTCTCGCCAACGCGATCTTTGCTGGACAAGAAGTCGGGCAACGCAACAACCTGGCGCTTCAACCAAGTGTACGCGCAATAAGCATCTACATGCAACAACAACAACAACAACAACTTGAAAACATCAAAAAACACCAAACGCATCTATTTCTATTATATACAACATCTCTCTATTGTCTCTACGTTCTCTCCTCTTCCAAGAAACACATACACACGCCTTCTGTCTGTCTCGTTCTCCCTCTTCTTTTACTCGTAGTCTGTATCTCTCTCTCTCTCTCACATATCTCATTCTTCTTTTTTGTAGTTCGTGTCTTGTTATTTTTTTTTTCTTTGTTCAGCCGTATTTGTATTTTTCTTTTCTTTTCATCATCAAACTCTCTGTCCTCTCTGTTTTGCTATCAGTATATGTTCTTTCTCTCCCCGCGTTTCTTCTGTTGTGCTCCTTCCATTTCTATCATCAATATATTATGTTATTACCTAGTAGTATTCCGTGCATCCCCCCCCTACCCACTCGTCCGCTTTTGCTCTTCTTGGCACGTTGTTATTAGTGTTGTGCCCTATAATGAGTCAGCTGATCTCCATGTAAAAAGCCGCCGTGGTCCAGATTGCTGCTGTTTTGTCCAAACACAGTGATTCCGAACACACCTTCTGGTCGGTTGCAGCTGCTGACCATGGATTGTTTATTCTCGTGAGAAGATCATCACGCCTTCTTTTGTTTGGTTGTGTCTTGTGTGTTGGGAGTGGTAGCATCAATCAAATCAAAATCGATCAATCAGTAGCCATCGTTCTCTCCGAAACTGTTTTTTTAAACTATCCCGTCGGAAAGATCGTTTCACTTGATAATTCCTCTATCTTTCCTTTTTATTATTAATCAATACAATGGCCTTGTTGAATGCAAACCCTGTCGTCTACCAACCCTCCATCAGCAACATTCGAGTGGAGACCGTGACCGATTTTGACGACGATGTAGTTGATCCTATTGATTCCGAAGAAGTTTATGAATTATTACGGTCCATTTCGGATCCTGAGCATCCGCTGACACTTGAACAGCTGAACGTTACGCAATTACAACATATTGCGGTCAACAATGACGAGAATCATGTCTTGGTTGAATTCACACCCACCATTCCTCATTGTTCTATGGCTACACTGATCGGCCTGTGCATTCGGGTACGACTTTTGCGCAGTCTCCCTGAACGTTTCAAGGTATGTCTCTTGTTGCTCACACTACTACTACTACTACTACTACTTCTGCTGCTATCTAGTGAAAACAATGCAACCAAAAAAACACACTCATTTTTGAATGTTCAATAGGTGGACATTAAAGTACGCAAGGGCACACACCAATCGGAAAATGCAGTGAACAAGCAACTGAACGACAAGGAACGAGTAGCGGCGGCACTGGAAAATAAGCATTTGCTCGAAGTAGTCAATCAGTGTCTCGCCACTGCCAGTCGAGATGCCGTAGCACATTAAGTCATAACATGTGTAGCATATAATCATCCTTTGCTGCCCTCGTCTCTCTCTCTCTCTCTCTCTCTCTGTAGTATTGTTTTGTATAGTTTGTTTTAAAATGGATGAGGAACCGTGCAGTTGTAGTAGCAATGATGATGATGATGATGAATAAGGAAGAATGAGAGTGGAACGGATACAAACAACGGCTATCCCTTTTATATAAAATACATGTGTAATAATAAACAAGTCAAATGATATGATACCAAAAAAAACAACAACAGAGTACACGGTCATGAAGAACATGCACTGTCAACAACAAAGGGACAGGACTGCCATTTCCGGCGAAAAAGTGCCTCTACTTGCATCTTGTATTCATTACACAGCAACAACAACAACCAACACGAGGCACTTGCTATTATTGTAACAAAGACCGTTAAACTTTGCTGGCGTTGAGGATTTTCTCGCTGTTGTGTTTACTTTTCAATTTTTAAGGTTCCCCTCCCACTGCATATGCACATACAAACAATAACACCCTACAGCCAAGTTTTCGTATTTTTTATTATTCTCTTTTTAAAAGAAGAAACGTGTGTGTGTGCTTTACAAGTGGGTGGGTTGTTACCAGCCATGAAAACTTTCCAGCCATCCCGTAGTAGTGTTGCTGTTGTCCTTACTTAAGGATGGATTGTTCTCATTGTAAGGCTGCTGTTGCTTTTGTAATGATAGTAATGATGATGATGATGATGATGCTAGTTGACGTTGTTGCTGTTGTTTTCTATTATTAAGATTGTTGCTAGTAGTAGTAGTAGTAGTAGATGTAGTAAGATTATGACGATAAAACGTTTTTTGTTGAATATGTTCCCACAGGACATTACGTCGCAGACTGTCGGAGAGTTCTTTGCGTAGATAATGTTGTTGTTGCTGTTGTTGTTGGTGATGATGATGGTCTGGTCTGGTATTACACGAGGTGATGGTTAATGATGAGGTTGTCTGCTGCTTATTGAGCATCGCTGACAACAGTGAAGGCTGGCTCGGTGGTAATGGATGAGGTTCACGTTTTACAAAGTAATCATCGCCTTCTTCTTCATCATCATCATCATCATCCAGTAAATCTAGATCGTCGTCTAGCGATATATCGTCATCAAGTGAATCCAGGTCGTCGTCGTTATCTTCGTCTTCATCGTAATCGTCATAATCATAATCATCGTCAAGAATAAGCACTTTTGGTTTTTGCTGCTGCTGCTGCTGCTGCTGCTGCTGTTGTAATGAATAATTTGCTACTGGTGACGTTGAGGGTGATGATGGATGTTGTGGCGGCTGTTGATGAGGTTGTTCGGCGACAACGACCTCATGAACAAGCTCAGCCGGCGCCTGCTGATTGGTGACTGTATGCCGATCATGCGACTCTACAGTAGTAGTAGCAGTAGTAGTGGTAGTTTTAGTAGCAGTAGTGGCATTGGCGGTAGTCGGAGCGGTGATGGTTGGGGGTTGGTGTGACCACACGTCCTGTCCAGGTGATAGCATGGAGATAAACCGCTTAATAGAGTGTGATGTATGGCTCGACACGGAGGTGACCGAAGATGATGACGATGAGCTACTCGTACTAGTACTATTACTACTTGTACTACTTGCGGCAGTTGTATTAGAAGAAGAACAGGTTTCCAACGAGGGTCGATGATGACGATGACGATGATGATAGTTGTCGTTTGCTTTACTATTGCTACTATTGCTACTACTGCTACTTGTTGTAGTCGTGGTTGTTGGGATATATGAAAAGTAGTCGTCGCATTCTTGTTCTTTCTTTCGCGTTTGGTGTATTTGTTTCTCATGGAACCATAGTCGCCACGACATGTTTTCCAATCGTTGTCCGTTTTCCAAATGTGCTTTGCACTTTGTGAACACTGGGGGTTTTTTTTAAAAAAAACAAAAACAGATGAATTGTTCGTGGCGAGAGCTTTAGTATTTTAAACACATTTGAATAGATCCGGCTCATATATATTACCGGTCCACATTGCGCCTAGATCGTCCACATCATGGATATTGTCAATGGTCTGAGGCGACAGTGAAAGCATGGGCTGCTCAAATAATTGTGTCATGATTTGGTTCTTGTGGCGGTGGTGGTTGATGAGCGAAGATGAGCTTTCGGACAGTGACAAACAAAATGACAGAGCGATACGTCGATAATGTTATAAAGTGTAAGGAGAAAGGAAAAAGAGAGAGAACCGCGAGAAGGTGTGAGAGAGAGAGAGAGAGAGACGGACGGACGGAGAGGAAAAGAAGAGAGGAAAAAAAATAAGAAAGGGAGAGGGAACTTCGATTTGTGATGTGGTGGGCGTGCGTGCTGCTGCTGCTGCTGCCCGTACAATATCTGCGTGTGCCGTGTGCTATGCTTTTGTGGGGGGGGAGAGAACATCAAGTGGGGTTCTCTCAGTGGGGGGGAGGGAGGGAGGAAGCACTCGTAGCAACAGTTCGGGTAATCAATTCTGTGGGCAGCGATCCAATTGGTTAGCCAAGACGTTGTGAGCGTGTGTGTGTTATTTAGAGTGGGTTTGACAAGCAGCATCACTTGATGCACCATAATTTTGAGAATAACCGCGAGTAACCTCCACGTTTGGTATGCGTCCATGATGAAACAAACCCACTTTACGTGCTGCTGCTTACTGCTTACTGCTATCATCGTCTATAAAAACAACCTACGGGTTATAACAACTTGTCTTTCTTGTTCTCAGTGCTCGTGCTTTCCTTAAATATATATTTAACATTACTTCCCAAATAATAGGTACCCTGTGCACTTTATACCACAGGCACAACAGCAAAAGCACTAGAAAAAGAGAGCGCATGCGCATACATACATGCGACAACATCACGCGCTCTTCCCTTGTCCTTTTCTTCTTGTTACTTATAATATATCTGCTTATATAATGACCATAATGACTTTTGATCATATATCATGATCATCTTTTTTTAAGCAATAACAACAGCAACAACACCAGCAGGCATAGTATGGCGCTACTTTGGTTGTATCTAGGAAAAGGAAACCCTGTTGTTGTCTTAGAGTATGTATGATCCTGCTGATCTCTTAATAGCGTTTGCTCGTGTGATGTTCTTGTACTTTTCTCTTGCTGATAATCTTCGTAGAAAATCATCATGATAGTATATGTGTCCCCTGAGGATTATTATGATGCTGTCGCAATAACCATATATTGATGGGTTACAATGGAAGAAAAAGATAGCATCCCACTCTTCCATCAGGGTGCAGTACTAGCAGTGTACCAAATTTTATACTAGTATGTACTGCTTCAACTATCACACTCTTTGGTCACAATTACCTTTCGTCGTTCTACGAATAGTAGACTGAATCCTTTCAATGAAAGACATACAAACATACACGATGCAACACAGCAATAGATTGATGGGTGGTGTAATAGACAGTGCAATCTGACCCAAAACATTTCACGTTTCTGTGAAACCGCATGTGACAGCTGAGAGGGGCAGAGGGAAATCGTTTTGGGTTACCCTTACAGTACTGTACTACTATATTTTATTTATACTACTATGTACTAATATTGCTACTGCCACTATCGTCAGCACGGACCGGGTGATATATTGTGTTCTCCAGTTCCCTGATCGCTTTTGTCTTGCTGAATATATATCTAATATTGTATAAGGAAATGAAGCCTGAAGAGCAAATAATATTACGATATGTATGTGTACACGTGTATGCAAAAAAGAAAAGAGGCGATGACCGATGATGTGAGCAAAACAGAAGACGGACAGGAGGATGAAGATGATCATGCTACACATACATTATTCTTAGGTCATATACAAAAGGATGTCATAATGTGCTACGCTCACGAAGCATCGCAGCGATATTTAATAGAAACTGCACATAGACTCTCTTTTGTTGATAGGGTCCAGTTGGAATAATGCAATCCATAGATTTGGTACTTGATACTTCTTGTTGTCTTTATTACATTGTTTATGATAACCGATGAAAAGGCGGTAGCTCTTTAAATCTTTTATATAATGAAGAAAGATTCTCTAGTGATAAGATTGTGACCTAATACAGTATCCATACGACGCAGGTTAATTGCATAATTAATATTCTAAAGAGATAGACGGATCTGTCCTTGCTGCTGCCTATCATTTTAATGGGTGATCAGTGATAAAATATCAGCTTATTCGTCATGTGGAGTTAGGAGGGACCCACATTTCGACATTCACACGCACACTACAGGTCGAATAAATTGATGATTGTTTTGCACCACAGCAAGAAGGTAGTGTTTCTCAAAGATTTGACAGCTAAATAAATACCACTGGTTGTTAGCTGATATCACCAGTTTCAGAGCAGACTTTGAAATACCGCATGCATGTCTGTGCACATATACAGACACGCACAGAGAGATCGAATCAGTGGTAGCGAATGACACCATCGATAATTACGTTACAGGAATCTATTCAGTTTTTATCCTTTAGCAAACCAACGATCTGAAAATTTGACTTTCTGTTAGGTCTGATCCGTTTGCATTACTTCGTCCGGAAGCTTTGTTATAGTGGTGGACTCCGTCAAGACGTGTGATATGTTGTGCGTGTGTGTGTGCTGGACAAGAGACTTGAATTTTGGTTAGCGATTTCTTTCTATGCGGGCGAACGATGATAGTCTACCTTTTTAGGCGTTCCATATGTTATTTATCTGTTTGTATACTGTCAATAGTGTCACTCTTCTTTTCTTTCCCTTTGCTTGTTGGTTGCCACGGCAACAGATTGAAGTTTATAACAACCACGCAACCGTCTTGAAAAGTCGGTTGCAGGAGTACTGTACTTCTACTCGCTTTCAGCGATACGTGCTTTCTACATTTGACGCGTCAAAAAGAGGGTCGGTCTGGAAAGGCAGCGTCGAAAAGGGAAATAGGCCAAAACCTGGAACTGCGATTCACATGGAAAGCTTATGGCGGTTCGTCGCCAGGTTAGGGGAATCTACCACCAAAAGCCAACCAGCAGCTGGCAAGTAGCAGGGTGCGAGCAGATTGTTCACTTCTTTGGAGCTCTTCGTTCAACTCCAGAATCAAAGGGCACCATCGTGGAGCTAACGAAAGACTCGAGGGCTGGTAGGCAGTCCCTATTAGTTACGACGAAATCATTACGAACGAGTATAGGAGCAGTCGTACTTTGTCGGGCATGTCACCACCCGACAAAACTACACCAGTACAGACGACGAGATGTTCTTGTCACTGGTATTATACGATGCACCAACGCAGAATGCAACACGTACAATCGCGAAGGAGCAGCAGATTCAAACATTGACGTCATTGATTTTTCTAAAACTACAACAACCCAATACCACCCCTTTTCTACGTATCCTATTTCTCCCGCGTGATGCTGAATTTAAAAAGCCTTATATTTTTTCCTTGTTCTTGTTTTTTTTAACACCATAGAGAGATTCATTATTTTTTAAAAAAGTAGAGGGACATTACACGAAGAGCTCAGGATTTACTTAATTACTTTTCTATATTAATTAAACCCAATTTCCGAAAAAAACAAAAAAAAAAGCTTAAAAAAAAACTAAAAAAACGGAAGGAAATGCAAAAGTCGCTCGCTTCCCAAATTGTCATTCCTCCGCAATCACCTTCGGCGATCCCCATCGTTGCACCTACGGAAGGTTCAAATGCTTCAACACCCGAAGCAAAACCTTCGCCCAACAAACCCGTTTCCAAAGGTTCATATCTTTCTTTTCAGACATTTGAAGCACTTTCTCCCCCGTCAAAGAAGAAAAAAAAAGGCCATTTTAACTTAATTTCAGTTCTGTCTTTTTGGACTGTGCCAATCCTTGTTTAGGCAGTGCAAAAAGGTTGTGTCGGAACGTTATCATTCACGGATTTTGTAAATACGAAGGCAAAGGATGCGAGTTCAACCACGAATCGGTAATTATCCTTGTGGTTATGACTTTTTTTTTAAACGACAGTGGGACACTTCGATACAGCACCTTCTTTCTGTGGAGTACTAAATCAAAACCGTAACTATAGAGCAACAATAGTGCTACTGCTGCTGCTGCTGCTGCCAACAACAACAACAACAACAGCAACAATAACAATACTACTACCACCAATGCCAACGGAACGAATAACGGCAAGCCTACACCGCAAGGAAGTCCTGAAAAGTAAGCCATTAAAAAAATAAAGCGTTTTCAAATCGATATTAAAGTTTACTGCAGTAATTCGACAATACGGATCCAATCGCCGCGTTCAAATTCTGGCATGGTGTCGTCCGTCTCTGCAGAGAGCGTTAACGCTCCTGTATTTGTGCCCAAATCTGTTGTTGTGACGCCAGGTAACGTGTCAAGTTTGTTGCGTATGATGAAATAAAAAAGATTGAAAAAGATGGATAAATTTATATAAACTGATCCTCCCAATGTGCGATGATGTGGCCCTTGGAATTAATAAAGAAACAGCGACATCATCTAATGGTAAGAGTTTTTATCAAAATGTTTGTATGGACTTATATCGATATACTGTCGAGATACTAAAGAAGCGATTCTACAGATGACAATGGCTTAAGCAATGATTCACAATTGTAAGGCTCGAAGAAGAAGAAAGAAGACTGGAGAGGGGCAAGCCAAGTTGATGGATGCTGGCGCAAGAAGGGGTTACTAATGGGGGAATACAGAGATAATTATCTAGATGAAGGGGTAGAATCGCTGGACAAGAAGTTTGGACAGGTTGTATTGCATAAGCATGAGGTAGGAATTAAAGTTTTCCTCTGATATTGCTCCTATAATGTTTATGTATCATTTCTAACATGTATGTCTGTATTAAAAGGAGTCTGTCGGATCACCGCAGCAACCTCAGCAGGAGCAACCTCAGCAGCCACAACCCCAACAAGCGCAACCGCAATCGCCTGCCGCTTCGCATATGATGACGATGATGCAACCCGATGCATACTACTACATGGGAACGCCGATGTTCACTCGCCAGCCGGTAATACATTGCGTATTGCTGCAACCACGCTCATTGTTCTTTATCGATACTTGTCTATATACTATGTAGCTTCAGTACCACCTGTATACCTCTGGTCTGGTTCCCGTCGCTGATCCATTACCGCACCAGCGCGCCATCCAGTCCTTCTTCATGCCGGACAAGTTGCGAGAATCGTTGACTCAACGAAACGAGGCCACTCTTTTGTCTGCTCCGGGTAAGTGTGTCTTTAATGGTGCTATATGGCGAAATAGACGCTCCACGATAATGTAGTTTACATAATATTTCAATCCTTTTGCTATACTTATTATACGTCTCTCATCTTTTTCATAGCACGCGAATTGGGACTACCGCAAGAAGTACATGTGTATCACTCACTGTATCCATTAGAAGAACAGAACTCACAAAACAGTCAGTTTTTTGGACATTCCTCGAGAGTATACAAAGCAGTGTCAAGTGTGGACGGATGTACGTATACGCTTGTGAGGATTGAAGCGTTCCGGCTCATAAACGAGCTGGCAATGGCATCTGTCGAATATTGGCGTAGGATCCGACATTGCAACATTGTGCCTATTCTCGAGGCGTTTACAACGCAAGCTTTTGGTGACTCATGTAACGTAGAAAAGAAAAGAAAGAGATAAAAGGAAAGAATGTATCTGAAGACAGAAAACAAACAAACGAACAACAACAACCTCTTTTTTGTATTGTAGCGCTCGTTTTTGTGTACGACTACCATCCGTGTGCATCAACTTTACAGTCGCTGTACTTCACTCCTCAGGGTCAAGCCATGATGCAAGCAGAATTGCAGGCTGCAGGAATCAATTCTGTCTTGATTCCGGAAACTACTTTGTGGAGCTATATTACCCAAATTGCATCTGCTATTAAGACGGCCCATGGATCCGGACTGGCAGTGCGTTCCATTGAACCGTCGAAAATTTTGATGACTGGCAAGCATAGGTAAGAAATCAATAGTTTGAATCGTATGTAAGAATACTTAACCGATTTTCATCAGAGTCCGTATCGGTTGCGTTGCCATGCTAGACGTTTTGCAGTTCGAGAAAGAGCACAACATTGCTTTACAACAACAAGCCGACTTGTTGGCCTTTGGCAAATTGATCGTGTCACTTGCGTGCAACTCTCCACAATCGATCCATAGCCTTCCTCAATCGGTCGAACTTATCTCTCGATACTATTCACCTGATTTGAAGGATGTTGTGCTTTATTTGTTGAGCGAACCAATGGCGACCAAGACCGTAGATGAAGTAATACGAATGATTGGTCCTAGGATCCTTCACGAGATCAATAGCAGTCAGTCGTATGCTGATGGTTTGGAGAGCGAGTTGCGTCGCGAATTAGAGAATGGTCGGCTTGTACGACTTTTGTCAAAGATGGGTTTCATCAATGAACGGCCCGAGTAAGTTTATTATTAATCCGGCAAGGGAAGGAAGTAGGAGCCAAGTAATGAATCAGTGTTTGTTGAACTTTATATTTTGCTTATTAGATTTGACATGGATCCAAGCTGGTCCGAGACCGGTGACCGATATATTATTAAATTATTCCGTGATTATGTATTCCATCAAGTGGACGAAAACGGGCTCCCAGTTGTAAACATGGTGCATGTACTATCGTGCCTTAACAAGGTGAGAGCCGTCTTCTATTATGATTTAAACTTTTTGTTAAAGACACAGCACCCACTTACACTTCTTGATGTCAAAATAGCTGGATGCGGGCGTCGATGAAAAAATCGTTTTGATGTCTAGAGACGAAGAATCTTGTCTGATCGTCAGTTACAAGGAAGTCAAGAACTGTATCCTGTCCGCCTTCAAGGATTTGACTTCTGGAAGAAAATAACAAATAAACCAAAAAAAAAGAGAAAAATAACAATAATATATCTTAAAAACCGAAAAAAACACTGCTGCCTCCTCTATCATACTTTTGAATTACTGTCAGAAAAAAGTATCCGTTACAAGTCTAGTAACGAGTTACTGTGCCGACTGGCTTTCGGGAGAACTGTTTCCGCGGCGATTATATGTTGGTTGCCAAAGTTGTTTCCATGGTTGCCTTGTCAGTCAAGCACCGAGTAGCCCCGTGATTCATGCTGACTCCAAGTCAGCTCACTGAATCTTTGACCGCTTCCATTTTACACATAATCTCCAAATATTATCATATACTGATCTTTGAATTTAATGACCTTAGGAACAGCGTCGTAACGCGTATCAGAACGTTCAATGCCTGGAGCCGCAATTTCCCCAACACATCAAACAGAAATATATTTCTTCAAGCTCTGCGGCACCAGTCTACTTGAGAACACTTTCACTACTTCATGTATCTATACTTGGTTGAGCGAAGACTTCAAGGAAGCGGCGAATCTCGGTCGCTTTGTTATACATTCGATGCACGATCAAGCAAGTTGCATCCGGTGTCGAAAAATAACAAGAAGCAACGTCTGCCGATCAGCGACGAAGAACAAGAATTGGCCATGTATCAGCCCGTTGGCGGCTTTGAAAGCGACGTAGAAGCATCAGAAAGGTCATTAAGGTTTAAATTCAGATTTTGTTGGCTCGAAGTAGTCTGTTATGCAGCTTCCGTACTCTTTTTATCTATCCTTAAAATGAATGCTTATTATATACCTTTGTTAGTACTTGTGCCGTGATTTTTTATGATGAAGAAACTCACGTTGCATCAAAAGTACATAGTAGCATACTCAAAAGAGACATGAGAGGAAGTTAGCAATTGGAACTTTGTATGTATACAACGTGAAGCACTTGATGTCCTTTATATAGTACTTCTTGTTCAGGATCAATCATCATCAGTATGGGAATACTGTAGTCAGCGAATCACCAAATCCCTTCTTCTGTTATTAAACTGTGCCCTTTTTGATCGACTTTTTTTGTTGTGTGCTTTCAATGCTTCTCAGAAAGGAGGGAAACAAGGAATAAACAAGATGCTGGAAGCCCAAAGCACTCTATCATTTTACAGTACTTGCATAAGCTCTTTTTCTCTGCCTGACTTACGTGTTTTTCAATCCTGATCAATTTTGTCGAAGATGGCTTCTTATGCGGGTGTTAGCTGTTAACATGTTACAGTCCTTGCTTATTGTCGTAATAGTTTTAATGAACATGAATACAATTGAATGCTTTAAATTGGTCTGAAATTTGATCATGTTGAAAACAAGGTATAACGTTGTAGAAAAATGGACGGTTGTTGGCCGAGATCCAGTAGATTAATAACATACGGATCAATTGGGCGTAAGTATTTCCCGGTTCACACGCACTATGACTGTAGCAACAACAAAAAGTAATCAAACATGCAAAAGTCTTGCTGCCGAGCTATCAGAAATCGTACGCGTAAAAATGGTCGTGCAACCACAACAGAAGCTGTATAATACTCAGATTTAAAGAAAGAAGTGCCTACAACAAGACTGCAACAAGAAACCCCGTCATCGGTGCACCAGAACAATGATGCTAATAAATGGATGATGGCGAGGGGCCATACATACCCCTTGACTTACTTTTCAAGTTGCTATTTATCAGTAGCAAGAGAAAGTGGAGCGTGGTTGAAATCTTAACGTATATGCGTCGCTGGCCTCTAGTTTTAGATAAAGAAAAAGACTGCCATCATAGTACATAATTCAAGTGGCACAAACTTTTCTGTTGAGGATATATCAACAGCACATGAGCAGTAAGGGAAAAAGCAGTACCGAGAATTGGACCACATAAGACAAAACAGTTCTTTGCCGTATTGGTCGGTGTGGTGTAGTATCAGATATTTGTTGGCTATATAAATAACGCAATGTATGTTTTTGTTTTCTTGTCACCTCGTCATTTTCCTTACCTTTTTCTTTCGTTTCTCTACGACATAGCAACAGCAATCTATATACAAACAAACATATAGTAATGGCTTTGGCACGCAAGCTTTGGACAGAAGACACGCATGTGGATAACAATATTGACGATGAGCGAACAGCATTAATCAAACGAGCATCGCATGATACCGGAATTTTTAACGTCACAGCGACTCAAGACTTCCGGTGGTTGCTGAAGAAAGGATTGTCAATTGCCGGCACAATTTTACTACATCAAACCATGGAACTGACAAACTTATCAATGATCGGCCATATGGTATGAATGTTCAATACAGCTACTTTCTGATGCTCGATTAATAGTTGGCGATAGTTTTAATGATGATGACCAATGCTACAGGGCGCACAAGAATTAGCAGCTGTGACGCTAGCGAACATGTTGCTAGCAGTAATGTATTACTGCGTAACAGGAGGTATCTCCAACTCTTTGGAGACGCTGTGCTCACAGGCATATACAGGAGCCAAGGACAAGACCATGGTCGGCGTATATTTTCAGCGCGTATACCTTGTTCTGGTTATGTGGAGTATGGTTACTGGCGTTGTCCTTTGGAACGGTACCTCGATTTTAGAAGCATTGGGCCAAGAACCCGAGCTCGCTGCCAAAGCAGGTACATACAATATTCTAATATAATGTCTATGTGCACCCATCAATGACGCCACCATTGTATGCAATCTACTGTATGTACTCTTAGCTTTGCTAAATACAACGCTGCATTACTACATACACAGGCTATTATCTGCGATGTATTTTTCCGAGTGCAGTCGCATACGTGACATTCGACGCACATCGCAAGTATCTCCAAGCACAAGGCGAAACAATGGCGTCCGTGTATATCCTGTTAATTGGTGCCGTATTAAATGGCGCACTTCAGTACTTTTCATTTAACGTTGGCATGGGCTTGTCAGGTGTGCCGATTGGTATCTCCATCGCGATATTCTTCATGCTCGGCGCACAATTGTTTTACGCAAGTTTTATTCGGAAAACCAACATTAATTGCTGGGGCGGCTGGTGCTTACAACGATGTCTTGTTATTGAAAACGTCAACGACGCTGTAGCTGGCGATGGTGGCAGTAGCAAGGTCAACCAGAAAGAATGGCTGAGGTTTATTAAGCTGGTCATGAGCAACCTGATTGTGATATGCTCCGAATACTACGTTGCGGAACTGTCGATTTTAGCGATCTCTTATCTTGCCACTAGGAGTAGTAATAGCAATCACAGTGATAATGACAGCTCTATACTCATTGCCGCCGGATCGGTGCTCTTACGTTTTCACCTTTCTTCACATACGGTCGCCATTGGTCTTGCTGCCGCATCAGCGACACGCGTGGGGCATCATATCGGACATGGATATGTACAGTGTGCACGCTTAAGTTTCCATATGGGCTGCTGGGTCTCACTTACTTTGTCGATGCCACTATCGGTCTTTTTTTGGACATTCCGGGACACTTTGCCGTACTTGTTTGTTACTCGGGACAATACAGTGGTCGCACAGCTTATCTCGACTGGCCTACCACTTTTAGCGTCCTTCCAATTGTTCGGGATGATCGCTGGTCAGTTGTCAGGTGTTCTGCGCGGACTAGGTCGGCAACAGGTGTCGGCTTTCATCTCTGTGATTGCGTTTTATGGTGTTACAGTGCCCTTGGGTTACACTTTGATTTTCCGTTATGATAAAAATTCCACTACTGCCCACGATGACAATTATTATTCGTCACCGTGGTTCGGCGTGAATGGCGTCTGGGTCGCCTTTGGGATTGGCTATCTTATATATGCTTTAGCACAATTGCTGTTTTTGTGCATGGTCGTCGATTGGTCTGCCGAATGCGCCAAGGTGCGTCAACATTACTCTTGTCTGGCCGATGATGCAGTTGATGAACAGGCGCAGAATGGTGATTATTTTTCAACAAGGAAGGACCCAGTAGTAGCAGCAACTAACACAAGCAGCTATAGTCTATTGTATACAAAATAAACACTTGTACATATTCCTGTTCTCCATCATATCAAGAAAATACCTGTTTGTCCAATGGGCAGTATAAAAACGATGGAGTATATGTGAGCTTCATCAAAGGGATTTCATTTTCCCGTCATGGTTTTTAATGCAGCTACGATAAGGCAGATCAGGGTAGCACAGATTTCTCTCTTGTTAATCCGAGAAACGACATGTATTACTCAATTAGAATTACTATGTGGGCCATGTAGAGTAATATGTGCAAATTGATCATCTGCCTTTGTTGTTAATTTGATGATACCCGTCCTTGTGACCGTGTGCCTTTCGGAACCAGCCCTAGATGTTCTCCGTGGCAAAAAGCAGTAAACAATGAGAGCACACTGCATTATTTGTTGTGGCTCCCTGTTCCTCTCTTGTTGTTCCGTTGGGTTCGGCGATGTTAGCCGTCCACTTTTATTAATATCAATTGGTGCTCAATGTGTCTACTACTTACATTAAGAAAAGAAAAAAACACACACAATTCTTACTTCATGAGATACAGTAGTAAGCCATAATGCAATGTCTGATTAACAGCCAATTCGTTTTTATTTATGGTCAGTTGTCACCAATCAAGTATAAGATAGGACCGATGTCGAGGGACAGTATGTATGTGCAACCAGCAAACAAACGCCTATGCAAACCACAATCTTGGTACAACGCACAAGCAATGTTGTTTCCATTGAGAAAAACACGATAAACATAGTAGCTAAATATAGGAGCAACGTTTTTGTTGTGTCGTCTTTGTTAATTCAGTAATGAATCGCTTCGCGCTTGATCCAATGTTCGAGAACCGGGCTTTCAAAACTTCCAAGAAGCCCAAACAATTTTTGGTAATGGGCCTCAAATCCATTCGGTTCATCCTCGATCACTTCCTCTCTCTCCTTTTTATCAAACATCTACCCATGTACCAACACATCCATCCATCCGTTTGACCTAGTCATCCATCATGAATCCATCCATTGGCCAATACATCGATACGACAATGTTTGAATATGGTAAGCTATTCTTATTTCTCTACTTATGCAGTTCCCTTCACCCATCCACCGCACTTTACCTAGTTAGTTGCTGCTTTTTATATTCTACAGCTCCTATACTTAAAACTGTGCGGAAGAACAAACTTCCACTCCATGTCTTACACTTTACCAGCTTTTTATAAGTGCTGCGTACTGTTTAAACAATGGAGATATTATATGTTTTAAAGAAGAGTGTGTTTATACTTATACTCTTTTTTTTTCGTATAGAATTCGTATCGTTGTGGCAATAAGAAAGAAGTTGGTTTTTGACGACAATACAGCAACAGCAATTGAAAGTCGCGATGGAATTGGTTTATTATAACGTATAACGTGCGTGGCTGCATGTATGGCGCTGATGCCTTATTTTGTGCATGTATATGTGTGTGCAAGCTTTTTTGTTGGAGAGGATGGATGATATAGAAGCAAAATGACGTTACAATGAGGTAAGAGGTGGAGAAGATTTTAGAGCAAGTGTAGAAAGTATTAGTGGGAATCTTCGAATTCGTCAATGATATTCTGCATATCTGAATAAAACCCAAGTGTTTGTAATAATTCTTTTTCTTCTGCTGTCAATTGTATAAGCGAAGATGATGGTGCTGGATTGTGTGAACTGTATCGTAATTCGAGTATTCGCTAAAAGCATTTGTATAGAAATGATTTGTTAATTCGCGTGAACGCCTTACGAATAGATATAGTCAAATGATGAAAGTGTATTTCGTTACCCGTAATACCAAGCATTTTGAGGATTGGAAATCAAACATGTTCAATACCTGCGCATTGAACAAACGTTTCGATGCGTTTGATATGGATAATGCCCTTTCAAAAACTACGAGCCGCTCCCGATCCAGTCGACAAGCGCCCAATGCATTGACCAATTCTTCATGACTGGCCACGGACGATGATGACGATGCCATGGATGAAGTACGTCTAGGTTTATCAATCATGTCGTTGTTTTCATCGTCGTAGTCAGCAATATTATCGACATCCACAAGCTTAACACTATCCCTCTTCAGTTGTTGCATCGCTTGCGAATCAGCGGTGTGTTGTGGCAATCGACGTCGTAAACGGATCCATCGTCGACGTCGAACAAACGATCGAAAGTGCTTATAGTTTCCGTGCCAGACCGCTCCGTGGAACTTTAATGAGTACTGCCATCCAGCTTTTAGAGTATAAAACTATTATCGTTAAAAGATGCCCTTTTCAATGTAGCCTTTACTCTTGATATGTTGTTTCCATATTACCTTCATCGACATCACCTGACATATCGACCATCCATTCTTTGCTGACCTAAATCATCATTGCTTCCCTATTAACACATCTTGATACAGACGAATGATGCTAAATCAATGCAGGCCATTTACCCATTGCCATGTTGGATCCGGTAATTGATAAGTTTTAGTATCCATCGGGGTATATCTGTACATAGCATTTTAGCGTGAGTTAAACGTGTATGTCGTTGCATTAGTTGAAGTTGTCCTTTTGCATAAATCAAAAGAAAACTTTACTCCATGTTGGCGTCACACCATGGACTCGCATCGAACTGTAAAAGCCTAGCACGTCGTATATACTCTTGTTTAGAAGACACATTCATAAAACTGCTGGCTATATTAACAAGAGCAAAAAAAGAGGAGAAGGGTTATATTACGTTTTGGAGCTATAGCCGACCATCCACGACCTAAAAGAAAGGAAGGAAGAGAAAACGGCGAAATGAGTGAATGTCACTTTCTTTTGGCTAAATAAACACATGGTTCAGATTGTAGAAATGAACTGCAAGGCTTTACCCTCTTTGACACTCGTATAAAATATCATAAACATAGTCGTTGGGTGTACCGGCGTCATCAGGAAGTGACGGTAATGGTAGTGTCAAATCGTGCTGTTTTTTCTGTTGCCGCGGTTTTCGAATAAGCTCACGCAGGGATTTACTAACATGGAATGGTCGTTGGTATGAATGGTCCACTGTCATTTTTGAAAGAAGAGCAATTTTTCAACTATTGTTTTAATGGAGGTTGACTGTAAGTGGGAAGTGTGTGGATAAAAGGGAAAAAAGAGTAAAGCACGCTACACTCTTTCCCTCTATGTGGAAATTGGGGGGCGGAGGAAGTGGGGGCAGAAAAGGATGTCAACATGGATTTTTTTTTTTTGGGGGGGGAAGGATCGTGATCGAAATAGCTGCATTTGCAATGCTTCGATCCCAACCTCTTCTTCATACTACAAGACAAACAATCAATCATAACTTTATGGCATAATGGCAGTGATTTCTCACATATATTATTGTTACAAGGAGCAACAAGTACTATAATATCGCTGGAAATTTATCACCCCAGACCCAAATTATTTGCCTATATTCGGACGCCGTACGGGCCTCTACAAGCTCTACGGAACATACCCTGTGGCCTCTGCGGTGTCACGCCGTGCACACCGTAGAAATTATAGTATGCTCAGCCTACCATAGCACCTTCTTTTTCTCAGAATAATTCTCACTACATTGCGTCCTCCATTTCGACAATGAGCAACCAGGAACCCCAACCAGAGCAGTCAAATGCTTCCAGCGACAAATATTACCGCCCTAAGGGAACCAAAAAGTGGTCCACTTGGACGCGTTAACTCACTTCCTTTCTCAAGATAGCACTGACGAAGAGCGAGAAGGTTTGCTATTTTGTATATAGGTAAAATGAGAATTCTTACTTATCTAGTATATAGAATGGGAAGATATTATCAGACAGTATAACGATGGAGAGTTGACAACGACAACTGCTCAACTGGCTGCGATCTGTGCTCGCATGAACGAGGAGCACCAGAAAAAGCTTGAAGAGAAGGTCAAGCGCATAAACCATATGATGGAGCAACCGGCTCCTATGGATCTAGATGTTCGTCAGCAGCTTGGGAGAGCTTTCAGACGCGAGATCATGTCGGTTAACCACCGTGCTAGCGTGGCCATAGGATGGAATGTCGGCACGCTCATGTCTCCCCAGTTTGAGACCGATTGGATGCTTACTACACCTATAGTCTCATCTAGTATGTAAAGTAGTAAATCTGTTTCTTAGAAATGCTCATATTCAAGGTTCTAATACCAACTATTAAGAGAAAGCTCAGAACGCATTGAATAAGATGGGAGGGCGTCCAAACTTCCATCGACATTGTCAAGGTTAATACTATCATACACTGTGATAGTAACACGTTATTGAGAAAAAGGATTATCTATTTATTAGCTTTTCTTAACAACAATCTGTCACTATAGGAACAACAGGCGGCAACTATCGCTAACACACCATAGCATTGTTAAAAGGAGCTACTAATGTATATTATTCGTTTTCGCCAGGCCCTCGTTTGACCAGAAAGCCTACCAAAAAGAAAAGCACGGTTAAGGACCTCATGGTTGAACTCTGTAGTATGTTACAAGCAGTGCCTGCATTGCAGTTATCAATGTATCAATACTTGTTAAGGAATGTATGTAGACAACGAAGTCGACAAAGTTTCCGTGGAAAGGTTTCAAGAGGGTGTCAGACGGTGGCATAATTCGCTACAGAAATGAAACATTGGGGTGCGAATTCACGGGTTTTGATTTTGGCGAAAAGGCAGATACTGCTTTGTGCCCGAGTGACATGCCGTATAAGAGATGGTCAGAGCTGTATGATGCCCTTATCAATGGCCAAATTAGTTTTGAAAAGCTTTAAATTAAATGGTTTAGCACATTTTAAAAAGTTGCTATTGATAAAAGCGATATATTAGCATCCAATAGGTATGTTAGTTCATTTATTAAATTACAGATCATGATTTTACTGTAGAAGACAGAGTGATCTGCGCTAGGGGACATGTGGTCGTTCCTTGACATGGACAAGGATACTATACATATACAAAGAATATGAGGCCATAACTGAAAAAAAACCGCATAGAACAAAAAGAGTTAGACGGTGTGGTGGTAGATGGGTAGAGGTGGAGCGAGAATGATGAAATTATTAGGAGGATTTCTTCATGCAATTTGGAAATGACCACAGTAATACTCTTAGAAAGCAAGGAAATTTGAAACAGTTTCTAGCATCCGAGCATTTTTACCCTATTACATAACGTACTTCTGTGTACAAAATAAATTGTGGATTAGGGGATCGTCATAAAAAATTACAAGAAAAGAAGCTTTCCTCAAGCGCGTGGTACTTTTTTGTCAAGTTGCACGTTTACTGAGCAATAAACAGAAGTGATCAACTTAATATGTGTTGCAATATAAATATAGAGAACTGAAATGAAAAATAATCTTTTGAAGGTTCTTAGCTACAAAGTAACAAACAACAGACCGCACCATCTTATTAGCACTAGATCATGAGTTTTAACGATCGGTTCAACGAAGACGACGCCATGGACCTAGTGGAATCCACGATGTTGAGCGATGGGAAAACGAGAACGAAAAGCCGCAAAGTGTATGCTGGTGACGATGCAGTTGTAGCTTCTGCTCCCACTATAAGAGATACGCGTCAAAATTCACAGCATGATCAATTAGGTAACTGATTCGCTTATAAGCACACTAAATCTTTGCTTATGATAACATATACTTTGTAACGCGAAGATCACGGAGAAACCGATGATCTCGACTATGACGGTCCTGGTAGCGCTTTTAATGAAGGCTTGACAGTGTTTCGTCTGAATGACCATGACATCGAAGAACATAAAAGGAAATTGGAAGCTCTTGATGAAAACTGGTCCGAGGTTTTTAAGGTGCTACCGAAAGACTATGTAAAGTGCAAGGGAAGTAGCGACTATAGTCTGGCCGATACGACTCCGTTTTTCGACGCGCGCTGCACTACATGCGATAAAACAAAGAAACGGGAGATCCTTTGCGTTTTCATTACCGGTAACGCATTACGTTGCATTAATAATTACCAAACATACTGTGATATGGACAACTGCTAAAACATTCCTATAAATGCCGTCCAAAACAATACGAAACAGGCATTAAAAGTTATAAAATACCATTCTGTGAATGTAAATCAGACGCCTCAACCTTGCTTTACCATCACTTGTTTCCGTCATCTCCCGCCTCGCCGAGGACAGCATTTCATCTCCCATTGCTTGATTTCTATTCTGCGCTTTTGGCTGAAGGTCATTTAGCAGCACAAGCCTTTGGAAATGCTTGCTCTTATGTGCACAAGTTTGAGGTACTGTTACTGCTAATATAATAATCAGATGATAACACAATGGAGCGAAATCACTTATCATAACAGTTATTCTAATGTATTGTATATACATTTGAATTTTATGGAATAAAGAATCCTGATAGAATTCGAAAGACTTTAGGAAATGCACATACAGCATACATGGAGCTGAAAGAAAAAGTGACGGATGAAATGGTTAACGAGCTCAGCAATAATACTCCAATGGAGCGAGATGCGTGTCTGGCTTGTCCCAAGGTCTCCTTCTCGTTTTATAATTTAGTGCTGTCATGATATTTTGATGAGCTAATGACTCAATATACAATTTACACAGGAAGGAAAACTGTTCGTCGCAGTCGATGGCAACATGCAATTGCGACGACGCAAAGCACATGCAAATGATACAAAAAAAGCTGAAGCAGCGACGTTTTTCTCGGCTGATAACATGCATGACGTTTACGAAAAGCATGAAGTCACCAATGCCGTCAATAAGCCTTGCGAGAGTGAGCTCAAAGCTGTTACGTCCGTTTCTGATGCTGTCGAGAAGTTCTATGAAAGTGGAATAGTAGGCTGTGTATGCGGCAGACACAATGTTCCACTTAAGTTTACGAATATCTTTGCTTCTGGTGAAAAGTAATTTTAATACTTTTTACATGCATGCAGTCTATAATCCCTAGCGTATAATATGCACTTACATGTTGAGCTTTGTATAGGTACAAATATACTCTATCTGTGCTTGCTGTTGCCACTAAGGGATACAAAGATGTCAATATTTTGTATGATCTTGGTTGTCGCTTTGAACCATCATTTAAGGTATTTTGCCGTGTCTAAGAATATCATCGCATCCGGTAAACAAACTGATCTTTATTTACTTATGCACCATTAGCAAGCATTTCCCAATTTTGCTCAAGCTGGATCACAGATGGCCGTCTCCGTTTTCCATGCATACGCCCATTCAATGTCTTGCCAGGTCGATTATCATCCACGATTCATAAGCGGCTTTGGACTGACAGATGGAGAAGGACTTGAGCGTCTTTGGTCCTACCTTGGAGGATTTGTCTCAATGACTAGACAAATGAGCACCAAGAGACGTCTGTTCGTTTTACAGCATGCGATTGGTCATTCGAAAGCCAAGACTATAATCAATATGTGTATGCATGATTTTAAATGAAGTTATAAATGATTGCGTGATACTCATAATAGTACCGATAGGCTACGCGCTTAAAAAACGGACGAAAAGGGCAAAGGCAATCATCGAACAAGCGTCTGCATACTTGCGACACAGAGCTACCCTTGTAGCTTCCGGCGGTACGCCATGCTGGTGGTGAAACGAGGACGGGAAGATAGATGAGCTCAGATTCGAAGAAGAATGGAAGACGTACAAAGATACCGTCCATAAAAAATCGAAAGATCGTACTATATTCACTGGTATCAAACCTCTATCAGTAAAAATACAGTATTATGAAGAACTAGAACATTTTTACGCGGTTGAGTGAGTTTACAAAGTGTTTCTGTAGAGTACTGTAAAATACTTAGACAACTAAACCATTCGGAAAACATCATTAGAGCGGAGCGCATTACTTTATCGAGGGAGCTTCAAGATCCAGATAAATGTGCCAATATGACTATGGCGGAAGCAGGTATGTATAACGATTTCTACTCCCTTTCGTTTATGCGTATTAAGCTATTGCTATCATCAATAGACGAGAAATTTAGATTGCTTCGAAAGCTCTCAAGAAAGCTCGAGATCGCTGAAGACAATGTTACCAGAATTTGAAAGGGTGCTAAAGCCTGAACGAAGATGGCAGATAAATAGCACAGAATACGCAAGCGCAAAAGAAGCAAAAGCAAAGCGAGAAAAGGAAGATAGCCTGTATAAACTAAAATCACATATAATCTCGCGTAAGATGATGTATGATCAGCTGCGTAATCGAGAGGGCAAAATAGGTATTGTATATCTGTTTTTTGAAGTGTAAAAATGAGAAAGCGCTGCTGATGGATATAATTAATTAATTATGAAACAGGCGAAAGAGTAAGCACGAAAGTTAGAAGCGCAATCAAGAAACAAAGCACTGCAGCTGAAAAGCAATTGAAGCTATACAATGCTGCTTGCCATCTGTTGTTGGAGCCTGAAGTCCAGTGGGAGGATGTCTGTCATCTGGAGACACGATTTTGGGAACAGCACCATATAGCAGAAAGCAACGACGTCGACGTTCTCAGAGGTATTATAAACATTAAGCGCGCCGAGGAAGAGCTGATAATGATCGAGGTTAGTGCTATGGTACTTCATTGAAACTCCATACTGTGATCTCAACTTTCCACTTAGGACGAAGAAAAGAATCTGGAAGCATACGCTGCAGCACGTTATAGCGCCATTCAAGATGCCATAGAGGCGACGCATGACGATGGGTGGCAAGCTATTCTTGGTGATCTTTTGGAACAAGCTGAACGTCTCCAATGTAATATCAGAAGCAGCAAACCGCGTACTGTTGGTGAAATTTCACAGATCGACAACGACGAACAATACGGTGACGATGCGGACGATGAATATGACGAAGACGTTTACTTTGTCCATGCTGAGACATATGAGGATATTGAGAAGGAACATGACGAGCTGATGTATGAGTATATGCCGCCAGTAGATTATACTATGCCTGACGAAGATATTTCTCTGCCAGATGCAGTACTTTCAGAAGAAACACTATAGAGCCAGCAATGTATATACGCCGTTGTAAATCAAGAGCTCTTTTATAATCCTTATTATGCTTACTTATACATTGTATGTTATTAGACCTGTTTTGCGGATATGATTTTTTATTATGTGTAATAAGCACCTATTCTGTTACTTATTTTCTCAATACTGCGTTGAGCGTTAATCCTCATAATTTAAATCAGATACATATATATAATACTGTATGCTACCGGAAAAAGATGCTCTGGTTGGGGTTCCTGGTTGCTTATTGTCGAAATGGAGGACGCAATGTAGTGAGAATTATTCTGAGAAAAAGAAGGGAGAAAGCTGGTGCTATGGTAGGCTGAGCATACTATAATTTCTACGGTGTGCACGGCGTGACACCGCAGAGGCCACAGGGTATGTTCCGTAGAGCTTGTAGAGGCCCGTACGGCGTCCGAATATGGGCAAATAATTTGGGTCTGGGGTGAAATTTATCTTCAAAATAGGAGTTTGGAAATCATGAGAGTAACGCTTATTTACCCTTTCTACTGTCAGTCCTGCGCAAATGTTGTCTCAATGGTCGCTATAAGAAGGAAAACAGCATACACTTGTAATAGTCGACCCTTACGATCGATTGGTCTGCATGCTGTTTAAACATAGTAGAATAGATGTGAACAGATATGTATAATTTTCTCAGCAGCAGCCTTTGAACCGACGCGCTAGAACTTCTCGTGATTTTTGATCTGCGTCTTCTTTGTATCCGACATTGGTTAGCGATCATTATTATTATCCTTGGAATAGTGATCACCCTTTAGAATCACACACATGTTGTGAGGTAAATAAATAGCGGACTATCTTGAAGTTGAGCGAGGGGCACCCTTTTCAATGCAGCTATGTACTATGGGCGCTTGATTACCTTGTCACGGAAGTCCTTCACGTGACGTGCAAGCATATTCTAAGTACAGTTATGAAGCTACAGCACTTTAGCAAGTAGCAACCAATATATGCTCAATCTCCAAAGGTTGATCTTGCTGCTGCAACCTGCAACCTTCATTAGAAAGGAAGAAAAGACTATTGCTGCATGAGTAAGGATCCTTGTTGCCGAAAACAGAGTTGTCAATTTGTCGGCAATATTGCAAAGTGATATACGGGGTACGCGAAGTAATAGGGAAAAAACCAATACAGTAGTGTGTCTCAAACATCTTTTTTTGTTTCAGATATCTGATGAACGGATTTTCGAGCGGATTTTGAAAGTAGCCAATAGGAAACGAAATCGCTGGAGAGAACTTTGAGACCCTTTACTAAACTTCTCAACCACTGTATTGTAGTACTTGTAAAAATATATATCCCATTCAAGTTATAAAACGGTCTAAACAAGCGCATCTTTCTTTTTCTTTTGTAAGCGAAAAAAATTGATCTGTTCGTCAAAAGATCGTGATCTACATCAGGATATTTGAAAATTTGTAGAAAATCCGTGCTCAGGAGGTGGATTTTCAAAATCTACAGATTTTTGCACTCTAGCCAATCAGATTCCTTCCCTGGAGATATCGGAACTCTGCAGATTTTGGAAAATTTTAATGTTTGAGACACCCTAGTGAGAACTCCAAAAATCAGTTTCAAAAAAATGAAAATTTGCTCCAAAGAGAGACCTTAAAGCAGTAAGCTATGATGTGATATGTAGGCTATACTGTGGAGCATTTACAAAAGCTGCAGAGTTTGCTTTTTCCACGAGTTTCAGAAACTGGAGTTTTACTGTGGCTAGACATATGTCGCTTTTCTCTTTAACATCGTTACATGATATGGTAGGTTGAGTTTTTGTCGAAGCTCATCGTAAGCTTACATTAAGTGTATGATAGCGATTGCTTTTCGAATGACGCCCTTAAGATCGAAGCGTTCAAACTCATAATTTTGATGTTTGGACAATTACACAATAGAATGCTGTTGAGAAGAGCAACAACAACAACGGGAATGATATCGCATATGTGGTTCCAAGACAGTTGTCAAGCCAAATATCACAAATGGTGTTAGTGCGACCAATACAGACTCAATACTGTACTCCAAAAACTAACAATTACGATATGATTATTATTAGCTCCAAACTGATCTACATGCCCTTAATCAGCGCATATTATATACGTCATATACAGTACAGAATAACTTGCTAGAAAGCCATGTTTCACACAATGAATGTGCTGTATACATTTGTTTTGGTACCATCGATCATAATATATATTCTCCGTCGTATGGTAAAGCAATTAACTCAAGTACGGTAAGAGGAGTTTTCTTAAGTAAAATGAGTGGCTATAAATCAATTATCACTGCGAGGTTTTCCTTTTTGGGAGGATTTATCTCCTTTTTGGGAACAAGCAAGATTTGCTGCAACTTTTATTCAATCAAATATCCAAGTTGATGCTGGCATTCACACTTTAATTTGACAATGCAGCAACAACACCATAGACAACTTCACCAATGCGCTCACCATTTGCATTGGTGGCATCGAATCTTATTACTGTTCCATTTGTCACGCTCGATACTGGACTTTGCTGTGTCACATTTGAGTTTGAGTTTGAATTTGACCCGGGCTGTATCAGCCATTGCAAAGGCCTGGGCATGCGAAATGTTGCCCTACATTTCTTCTTCGTCTGTTTATGAATCACTTAAATTGAATTGCCATGCATCTACGAAATCAGGTTGTTTGTTTACTGCAAAAGTAGACTGACTGTAAGGATTCTTGGGTGTTCATAGTGAAAACGCGTACGATAAAACAGTTATCCCACTTACTCCGCGCGTGATAAATGCCATATCACGGCCGAGCCGTGCTATAACTATCATTTACTCCAACGGCTCTTCTTATTCGTTATCGTTGCATTACTGCGGTTTGCTGGTTTCTGGCTAGTTTGACCAATGGTATAGCATTTTGAAACTAAGAATTATCTTTTTGAATCTTTCGATTTTTATATGTGCGTAGGATGCAGAATCTGTTACCATCAAGAAAAATGTCGGTTTATTCCACCATTATTATTCGAAAAACGATACTTCTTTGAAAACGATTTCAACGATAGAAGAGATATCGCTGTAAACCATGTTCATTATGCCCCGCTTCTTTTTGATTACTAATCTATGTACTGTAAACTTGGATCATTTTGTGATAAACTAGTTTCACCTGCTGGCCCCATTTTTTCACCGTCGTCGGTAGCTTCACCAGCTAACAGCAAGCATGACGATATATTATTCCAATAAAATAAATTGCCAAGTTTCTAGAGCTGCTTGTCATTATGAAATTTACACAAGTACTCCAGTTTAAGAATATTAGTCCGAAGCACACGCAAGCATTTCCCTTGGTGTCGTGCATTGCGGGATTTGGGATTTGGGATCTGCAATCTCCCTCGATATGTAGCAAAAAAAAATTTTGCTTCCGTAAGCTATGCTGATACTCAGCACTTACCAGCGTAACATTTAAGCAGCTAGACATAAAAAGACATATACATGTATAAATTTGATTGTACTCTGTGCTAAAATGTATTTCAACTCAAGTTATGGACGTCTCTTTCTCAGCTAAAAAATCGTAGCATTATCAAGTAGTGGCAGAATAAAAATCCTTAGTATGCTTTGAAACATGCGGACCACGTTCCGCAACAAACACCGCCAGGTTTCCTTCCATTGAATTTGTAAGCAGATCAAATATATAAAAAGAGGGGGCGATCCGCTGGAGCAATCAAACTGTTTAACACTACACTCTTCTATGCTTCATCGCAATGGAAAGTGAACACCAGCAACCCTACTGTCCAAGTATTCGATCTCAACGAAGATCCGTGGACACTATCGCCCCAGATCAAGCGGGCCGGAGAGAAACTTATGGTGAACTAAGCGCAAATACTGTCAATGTTGAAGGTGAATAATTACACGATAGATTGTTAGCACAAGTCTGCATTAACAAATGATGTTAATGCAAAACTCCCCTACCACTTTTTTTAGCTGCCATTGAAGAATACCATGATATGAAACGAGAGCTGACGCGTGCTAGCCGGTATTCTGGTGCTGACGATTCAGCCAAAGTTGAAGAAGAGGGCCGTGTGTCAGAGAAGACGTTCGATCTGGACCAATTTTTGCAAGGAATGTCCTACGAAGATAAGAAAGTTGGCAAAAAACCAAAGCATCTAGGCCTAATCTGGAAAGATTTGCTAGTAGAGGTAAAGTAGTATATGCTCGTTCAATCTTTCATGACATTGAAGCCCTTGTTGATTGACTCTCTGCTTCCCTTAAACAATCAGGGTGTAGGCGCCGATGCAAATACTATCCCAACTGTGATTACTGGCCTCCTGAGTCTGTTGCGACCTTGGAAATATTTTGGCGTTGGCTCCAGCGGTAGTACGAAAACAATTCTACATCCTATCTCTGGATACGTCAAAGAAGGCGAAATGCTTCTGGTACTCGGTCGCCCAGGTGCAGGCTGTACTAGCTTGATCAAGGTTTTGGCCAATATGCGCGAATCGTATACGAAGGTGGATGGTCACGTAACCTACGGCGGCATCGACCCCGTCACGTTTGCAAACCAATACCGCGGTCAGGTCGTTTACATGAACGAAGAAGATCAGCATTATCCACATCTAACGACCAAGGAGACGCTCGAATTTGCTTTACGTACCAAGACACCCGGTAACAGATTGCCTGACGAAAGCAAGAAAATGTTTGCCAACAAGCTGATTTACATGTTGGGTAACATGCTCGGCCTCACCAAACGTATGGACACCAAGGTTGGCGATGCCTTTGTTCGAGGTCTTTCTGGAGGTGAACGCAAGCGTCTCTCTATCGCCGAAGCCATGACTACACAGAGCTCGATCACCTTCTGGGATTGCGCGACCCGCGGTCTCGACGCAGCGTCAGCCCTTGATTATGTTCGGTCCCTACGCATCATGACCGATGTTCTTCACAAGACGACTGTTTCGACTCTTTACCAGGCTTCTAATAGCATCTTTGCATTGTACAACAAGGTCATTTTATTGGATAACGGCTACTGTATTTATTTCGGCCCCGTCGAGCAAGCCCGACCGTACTTTGAAAAAATTGGATTCTATTGTCCACCACGCAAATCGACTCCTGATTTTCTCACTGGTTTGTGCAATCCTTTGGAGCGCGAGGTTAAATCTGGGTTCACTGTTCCTGAAACTGCCGCCGAAATGCACCAACGGTACCTCGAATCAGATATCTACAAGCAAATGATGACCGAACTCGATGACTATGAAGAAAAGATCATCAACGAAAAGCCCGCCGACTTGTTCAAGGAAGCCGTATACGACGAACATTCAAGATTTGCACCGAAGACCCACCCATACACAGTTTCATTTTACCAGCAAGTCAAGGCATTGACGATTCGTCAAATTCAGCTATTGTCCAAGAGTTACGAAGCGCTTATTTCACGTTACGGAACTGTTCTTATTCTGTCCTTTGTTATTGGCTCCTGTTTCTACAAGAGCCCATTGACTGGCGCTGGTGCTTTTTCTCGTGCTGGCGCTGTTTGCTTTACTGTCATCTGTAATGCTTTCGTATCGCATACCGAGCTGGTGAATTTCATGGCTGGTCGCCCGATCCTAGAAAAGCACAAGCACTTTGCAATGTATCGTCCGTCAGCATACTATCTCTCCCAAGTTGTCGTTGATATACCAATTACTATAGCTCAAGGTAGGCTTGCTTACTAATTATCAAAAGTAGCACTTTTACCAATATGTGCAGCTCGCACTGCATTGCAATCCTATACTAATACAAATCTAATGACGTATATTGTAGTGCTCGTATACCAAATACCTTCATACTTTTTGATGGGTCTGTACTCAGATGGCGGTCGGTTTTTTGCCTACTTTATCATCATGGTTTTCATCACCCTCGCCACAAATAACTTTTTCCGATTCTTTGGTGTGCTTACAAACAGTTTCGTGGTGGCCAATCAATCAAGCTGTTTAATTTTCATCGTCTACTTTTTGTATGTTGGCTACCTTATTAACTACAACTCGATGCATCCATGGTTCTTCTGGTATGTGCTATGCCCGTAACTATATATAAGAGTCACTGGTTCTTTTATATGCAAAACTTAACGTTGTCAATCTATAACAGGATTCACTGGATCGATCCCTTGGCCTATGGATTCAAAGCGCTTCTCATCAACGAAATGCACGGGCAGATCTACTCTTGCGAAGGTGAAGGCAACTCAATTCCATTTGGTCCTAGCTATGATGATTGGTCCCACAAGATCTGCACCATGAAAGGCGGTAACCCAGGCGAAAACTATGTGCTAGGCGATGATTATCTGATCGATGAACTTAATTTCGAACCCTCTTGGCTTTGGGCACCAAACTTTGTTATGATCATTGCCTTCTTTTTGCTCTTTACCGCCGTCAATATGTGTCTTGTCGAATATCTTCAGGTCAACGGCAACGGCTCTTTGACCAAGCTCTACCTTCCTGGAAAAGCACCAAAGGCTCGTACTGATGAAGAAGAGCGAGAACGGCTTGAGCGTCAGCAAAAGATCACCGAACAAATGGACAGCATCTCGACGGGTACGACATTTTCTTGGCACCATGTCGACTACACTGTGCCCTTCAAAGGTGGCCCGCTTCAGCTTCTCAACGATGTCTCCGGTATCGTTAAGCCAGGCCATCTGACTGCTTTGATGGGTTCCTCTGGTGCCGGTAAAACCACCCTCTTGGATGTGCTCGCCCGCCGCAAGACAATTGGCAAAGTCGATGGCCGTATCTACCTGAACAGTGAGGTGCTTATGAAAGACTTTGAGCGTATCACCGGCTACTGTGAACAGATGGACATACACCAACCTGCAGTCACTGTCCGAGAAGCCATGCGTTTCTCTGCGTATCTGCGTCAAGATCCTGGTGTACCCAAAAGCGAAAAGGACGACTATGTCGAGCAAATTATCCAACTCCTGGAAATGGAGGACATTGCCGACGCGCAAATCGGAGAAATCGAACAAGGCTTTGGTATCTCTATCGAAGAACGCAAGCGGTTGACTATCGCTATGGAACTCGTCGCTAAACCACAGTTAATTTTCTTGGACGAACCTACTTCCGGATTGGATGCCCAAAGCTCATACAATATTGTCCGATTCTTGCGCAAGCTTGCTGATGCCGGCTGGCCTGTCTTGTGTACGATCCATCAACCCTCTGCTATTTTATTTGAGCACTTTGATCACCTTCTGTTGCTTGTACGTGGCGGGCGCACTGCATATTATGGCGAGATTGGTCAGGGTGCAAAGACCATGATCGACTACTTTGAAACCAACGGAGGTCCAAAATGCGCGCCTGAGGCCAACCCAGCCGAATACATTCTCGAAGTTGTAGGTGCCGGTACTGCCGCTGCCGCCAATGCTCCGACTCAAGACTGGGCAGACGTTTGGATGAATTCAAAGCAGGCCAAGGAACTTGAAGACGAATTGGAAGCAATCCACAATTCGGCGGACGAGAATCCCTCTCGCAAGGCACTTACATATGCTTCTCCGTTTTGGACTCAACTTTACTTGGTGCATAAGCGCCTCAGCCTTGTGTACTGGCGCTCCTCTGGATACAATTTGGGTCGTTTCATTACTGTTGTTTTTCTCGCCCTGTTCCTTGGTTTTACCTTTTGGAAATTGTCGTTGACATCGTTGGACATGCAGAACCGTCTCTTCTTGTTCTTTGCCACTATGATTTTGGGATACATGATGGTAAGTTTTTGTGGCATGCAGAAAATTTCTAATTCGAAAGAGCCTTTCCACGTGATAACTGACAAGTGTCTTATAATTTAGATCATTCTTGCACAACCGAAGTTTATGACTGAAAGATTGTTCTTTAGACGCGAGTATGCAGCGCGTTTCTATGGCTGGCTGCCTTTCACAATCTCCACACTTCTAGTCGAGATTCCCTATATACTCGTCTTGTGTGTATTGTTTATGTGCGGCACCTACTGGACTGCTGGATTGGTCAATACCCCAGAAGCTTGCGGCTACTTTTACCTCATGCTTGTGCTTTTCATTTTTTGGGCTGTCACGCTTGGCTTTGTTCTCGGGGGCCTTACAGAGAATCCATACATTGCTGCCATTCTCGATCCGTTGGTTATCACTACCGTCATTATTTTTGCCGGCATGGCTCAAACAGAATACTCATTGCCTCGATTTTGGAGTGCCTGGATGTATTGGCTTGGTAAGTTGTTATGGTCATAGAGAATGATCAATGTGAAGGATTTTAGTAAAACTTCGTCTATGTAACTTATCAGATCATGCATATTCTCTTTTTTACTGTAATCATTAGATCCTTTCCACTATGTCATGGAAGGTTATGCCGTAAACGAGTTAGAAAACTTGCCAGTCGAGTGTAACGACCGTGATCTTTTCAAATTCTCGCCTCCTGCCAACCAAACCTGCGGCGAATATATGCAAGATTTCTTCGCCGATGGAGGCTCTGGTTACATTGTTAATCCAAGCACAAGTACTCAATGTGAATACTGTACCTACCGTACTGCTGAGGAATATTACAGTGGTACTTATGGCTGGGACGCAATCCACAAATGGAGAAACATTGGAATTCTCTGTATTTTCGTGGTGTTCAATGTTATTGTCTTTGGCGCCCTTGTGTTTTACAAGAGAAAGGCAAGACGCTAAATATGCCAGTATTGTTGCTCTTGGCTAGGTCAACTATACATATACATATATCATATTCCATTCATTTTTCTCTTGCAGTCATCATCATCCCCCAAAATTACAAAGTCATTTTCCGCAAAAAGCATGCTATAATAAAAAGTTCTCGTTTGATTTTTTTTATTTGGTTTGTATGTGTTAACTTAGTATACTCATATTGTCTGGTCTGTTTATTTTACTATTGTGTCTTGGTAGAGTTATAGCTTATAGGCATACTATGCTAACACTGAGTATGATGATGATTCGGGCTACTAATGTTGCAGGATTACATGCTTTTCTCATTAATAGGCAGGCTATCCATTTTATTCCCAGCAACTTCCAAGTTGCGAGTGTCCCAGCTAGCCGGGTGTGTCTTTGAACTGAGGATCTGTTTCCCCATGAATGACGATCACCATGAAGAAGCATCGAAGCTGCTGCCGCTTATCCCTAATTTAGCCTCCATTCATTTTTTGCGGCAAGCAGGTGCCATGCTCGATCTGTATGTTTCTCTTTTTCTCCTTCATTATGATAAAATTGCTTTACTTTTTGGGCTCATTATAATGCGTCCTATTTTTTCTGTACGAGGAATTAGACCGGTACGCACGACCGCGACGGCCATAATGTATTATCATCAATTCAATCGGTTCATGCTTTTGAATAAAGGTGGTAAACCGACGCGCAACGATCGTCTCGTAGACGAAAGCATGCCTCTTAATACTAACGAAGAAGTAAGACCGGTTGTACCTCTACTACATATCCCTCTGTATATATTACGCACCGCCAATATACGGGAAATGCTTATATTTCGCTACCTTTTTGCTTAACCTTTTTTCATGTTTCAAGCTATTGACAACCACGTGCCTTCATCTGGCGTGCAAAATGACCGACGTACCTCGCAAAGTACGGGATCTGGTCAATGTTGGTTACAGGTTCGTCTTTTTGTCCTTCGCTTGCGGTTAATTTTATTGGGAGCAGTATTGCGAAATATAATAACAAAATGTGCATATTTGCAGATATTATCATCCTAAAGAAGGCATATTACAGATCGACGAAACGTATTTTAAAATGCGATCTTCACTTGTCGTCGGTGAGCTCTTACTTGTTCGCGCGCTTGGCTATGATCTTGAAGTATCATTGCCGTTTACCTATTGCTTAAACGTACTACGAGGGATGGCTTCAGTCTCATGGTTTGCTGCATCATCAGTAGCAGCAACAACAGTACCATCAACAAAACAAGATCGTCGAGTATCGTCAGGGCACCAAAAGGATTATTGGCGTAGCATGGAACAAGGTTTGATTTTTTTTTTCTTTAGAAACAATACACAATCAAACCATGTGCAAGAGTAATAATTTAATTATATTCCCACCTCTAGAAATGGATCCCGAATTAAGTACAATTGCTCGCGTGGCATGGATGTTTTGTTGGGATAGGTAATTTATAGGCGTTTGTAACTATGAGCAACAAGTGAGTAAAGAAAATACTAACTCATCGTATGTTACGTGTATATAGTATATGTTCGCCAAAAATCGTTTTGACGAGAACTACAGCCGAGGTTGCTTTGGGCTGCTTATATCTAGCATTAGAGCTTTCCCACACCGAATTACCTGTCAACATGAACCAGGTAAATTATTTATAGAAAAGCTTCCTTCGATACAAAATAGCTCAACCAGATGATGTATTTAGTGGGTCGACATGTGGGGTGCTTCTGAAAACATCTCTGTACAAAATGTTTGTGGTAAGTGGTGTACGCTTACGGTAGATGTGACAAGGAGATCATTGGTTTAAAATTCGTCTTTTCTTCATAGATGTCGTCACCGACCTAATCGAGTTATTTGCTCATTGTCCATCTATCGAAGACATTACACCATCAACATTTTCATCAGCAACCTCGCCACCGCCACCACCAGCTCCACAACCGTCATCGTCCTCATCATCACAAAAACCATCCTCGCCTGCATCCGCATAGAATAACTTTTTTAAACTATCATAAAAACGTCGTCTAGAGCATATTCCCCCTATTACCCACCAAAGAATCCTCTCTGTTTTTTTAATAATTGCGATATGAAAACAATGTAATTGAGTAATACAACACTTGTTCGTTATTAGGGTTATACCTTTGTTCCGATTTTTTGTTTCTGACAATTTACTAGGTTAGATATGTATAAGAAAAATTACAACTTTGGGGTGCTTGATTTACGGTTTTGTTTAACGATTTAAGAGAAAACTCCCATTCGTTCCAAACGACGCCGTTGGGTTTGACGGTCGTCTGCTTCATCATGTTCACTGTCTTGACCTTCTATATCCATGTCAATATCTCGTGGTACCTCTATATTCATGTCAACAGAAATAAAGAAGTAGCTTAAGTGAATGGCTATCAATCCATCCTTCCCCTAATTAGAAAACTGTATTGCTGTTTGTTACCTTGCATTTGAACAGATGGTGCAAATGGTAAATTCCGCAGATTATCCGTGATTTTTGCTCTACAAAAAAAAAGATGCAATTCACGTTACACTTCATGATCAGCTTTACTCACTCCCATTGTGACCCATCCAAAGCTAAGGTGGCTTACATGATCTTGTCTAGGTATTCAGGGGTATTATGATTTGCCATATTGTTTGATGGTACATCCAGTTTATACTCGGGTCCATAATATTCAAAGTAGTCATTGAACGGTAATTCAACTAGAAATGTATGTGCGTGTGTGATTTTGTGTCTTTCATTAGCTCGCTTGTGTTTCGATAACGCATTGTTTGTGCAACCTTACTTGCTGATAAATCCTCTCCGACTGCCAGTCCGGTTTCAAAGGTCCATGTCCGTGCAACGTTTCTAATCGTGTATCCGCCACCGCCCACCATAATTAAGGGTACATTGAATGATTTCAGATATTCGACGCACGATGCATGGCCACGCATAGATAAGTTGAAACAGCCTAATCGATCGCCAGCTAATGAGTCACCACCAAGCTGTAAGACCATAGCACCAGGCCGAAACCATTCCATGATTCGTTGTATGATCTTAAATATGATACGAATTTAGAATGATTGAATGAATGTAACTACACCTTTGTAAATTTACTTACAGGTCGGAACACATTTTTATAGGACTCGTCATCGATACCGTCTCTTAATGGAACGTTCACGGCGTAATCTTTGCCTTTACCCAAACCAGTATCCTGATATATATATATATATACCCAAATCCGCCTCTTGTGTCAGATAATCTTTTTCTTTAATTACGAGAAAACTTTATAAAAAAAGCTCACCTTGATATCACCGGTACCAGGGAAAAACTCGCCAAATTTGTGAAATGAACACGTCATTACGCGATCTGTTGTGTAAAAGGCTTCCTCCACACCATCACCATGGTGCACATCAATATCCACATATAATACGCGCTGATGGTATCTAAAGTGAGGGACAGATGAATTAGCAAGGGTAGCTTTTTTATGCCAGTTGGAGCAATAACCGAAGGATAATAAAATGTCGCCCTTGAAATTCTCACCTTAATAATTCCAAGATACCCAGCACAATATCATTTACATAACAGAATCCAGATGCCTCTGTTTTTTTCGCGTGATGAAGACCACCAGACCAATTGATTGCAATATCTGCTTCGCCACTTAATAATTTGTTGGCGGCGCCAATTGTACCACCCGCAGATATTGAGCAAAATTCAAACAATCCTTCAAACACTGGACAATCTTCTCCCACATTGACTAGATATAAATGAAGGAACAAATTAGTTCATCCAGCCCCAAATATTTGCTCCTTCTTTTCTGGCTTTCTGTGCGTAATCGGATATACTTACAGCGAGCAATCCCTTGCTCCAATCCACCATGTTGCATCGCCAATTGTTCTACGTTATCTGGTGTCACATGTTGTAAAAAGTTTATATACTCGTCCGAATGGAATCTCGTCATTTGAAAGGCTGAAATACGTTTTGGTTTCTAAAAACAGGACCCCGCCTCCAAGTTTAAGTGTTTGTTCCCAAAATATACAAAGAGGTTATGAGGAGCTGTAGATAAACCCTCACTTACCACAATGTCCATTTTATGGTACAAGCCATAATTAACAACTAAATTGTGAACCATATGCATGCGCTTTGGCTTCATGTAATGGCCTAAATCAAATGCGTAAAACCAACTGTTTTAACAAGACGAGAACAATAAACATGCCACGAAACAAAAAGCAATGGGGAAAAAGCTTTTAACTAACCTGGACCATAGCTAAAGTTGCCCACGTCATCTTTTCAGAATGGCATTTGGTGTATTGTGTGATTCAGAAATTTTGAGTTCTCAAGTTAAGAAAAGATATTTGGTTGATTCCAGATAAGTCTGTTCCTGAACTCACCATCGTAAAAGTAGCATACACGCTTTTTAGAGCAGTCGGCAAGACTGTAAGAATTGGTCATGTTGTTGTGGACAACTTTTTGGTGAAATGAATGGATCTAAGTGGGAAGGCGAGGGGGTACGAGAAGGAACAGGAGAGAATTTAGCGAGCTGGGTTGAAGTGCCGCTTGGTTGTTTTCCTGGGGCTCGAAAAGGTTTATGCGTCTGAATATGATAATGGTTGTTGATATCCGTAATAGTGATACGGGTAAATGTAGACAGCTTTTGATGCTACGATAGTAGCCAGTCTGTCCTAGTAGCATGGCTTCACATCTCAAAATTCCATCAACAAGTCTTTTTAGCTATTTATTGTGTAAAGCCTAGAAGATGTCGTTTCTGATAATGCAGAGCGGTTATCGAAATAGCATTCGTTGAGAGTGAGTGACACCAAAAAGATGTAATCACGAGTGCCCTCAGTTCGATAGTGTATATATTTCCTGCAATAGCGCAGTGCGACTTCTTTTCCAAATGAGAATGCGTAATCCTTTAAAAAATAAATCAAAGCGAAGACAATTTGTCGAACTACAAGATGATCCCGGCTTCAGTGCCGGACAATTTGAAAGGACTGAACCAGAAAGTAATACACACTCGCATGTAGTAGTCAACTAATAATAAAACGTTCTAATCGCTTGTCTGTATATCTGAACGACAGTTCCCTGGAAGGCCATTTTCTTGGCAAGTGCATTGTTTCTCGCCGGCTCAGCACTAATCGTGGTGGGTGTATTGATCAGATATGGACACATTACTTCGGATGTAAGTTCCCCCCGTCATTCGTTTCTCTCCTTTCAGTTCTCTTCTCTGAAGTCAGAGAAGGGATCGAGAGGGGTTATGTGTATGGACCCGTTGCTGACAATACTGCAACTAACCACGCTTCTTTCTTATATTATACAAGGTTTGGCTTAGCCGGGGTATCCCTTTTATCGTGATTGGCTCTGTGATGTTTATCCCAGGCAAGTAGGAGGACGAAGAGTGATAATAATAGGGCTAACATGAGGATGTTCTTTTTTTAATACTTCTTTTAGGAGCGTACCATCTATACCTGGCTTACTATGCATACTACAAGTATCCGGGGTACGACTTCTCACAGATTCCGGACTGGAATTAGGTTTCTTCTTTTGCTCCTCCACAATGAGTGCAACGTGCACATCATATATATACTCTTTTCTCGAACCATTACTGCGTGTACTCTCTCCCTTTGTTGCTCTGTTGATCGAACCTTTCAATCATCGTTCTTCGCCATAAACTTTAAAAAACGATTCTTTGCTTCTTGGTGCTCCCTTCATCCACAGCCTCTCTGGTTTTTCCGCGTGTCTGCCCCGTTTCTTGCAGTCTTTTCTTTTCTGTAAAATAGACAATGACCTATACATCTAAGCCTTGTTATGCAGGACACAAAGGATATTAAACTTTTTGTTTCTCAAGGAGACAAAAAGGCATCTTAACCACGAGGAACATGACAAAGGTGGAAGAAATAAAGGCACCACCCGGGGATTCGGCCCGGGCTCTGTTTTTTTTGCGTTGCACTAGTTGAAATATTCCTAGCAAAGATGATGTACTTTTTTTGAGGGTGTGGAAGAAATGTGGAAGAAATCATATAGATACGGGCCCAAGAAAAACGAAGAACTAATAATAAAATGCAAAGCTCGAAAAGAGAATCATAATGTTTGAAAAAGGCTTTAAAAAAACAAATTAAGAAAAGGTGAAGTAATTGAGGTATAGAGGGCTAGTAAGAAAAAAGAAGTATACTACTACTGCGAATCCAAAGAGAAAAGCGTACCAATGAGTGTCCGATGCATATGTATAGAAAGAAAGAAAAGAAAAGAATGTAGCCACAAAGGGAAAAGAAGATTTCATAGAAAGTAGCATGATGAAAAGCGATGCTAATGCATGCACAATAGAAGAGAGAGAGAGAGAGCGTGTGTGTGTGTGTGTGTGTGTGTGTGTGCGTGTGTGTGTTGAAGAAGGAATAGAAAAAGGGGAGGTCTGAATATGAAGAAGAGAGCGCTGATCGAAGGGGTTTATGCTTTTCTCCAGAAGGGGGCGTAAGAGTTTTTATGATATGTCGGCCACCATCCGCTGAAGATGTCCGCGCGCCACGAGACGACTGATGAACGTTCGAATAAACGGCGTGTAGTCGTGTTGGCGACGGGAAGTATTGTGCTATAGTCAACAATGTGATGTGTGAATAATAAGTACATCGAACGCGAAAGAAGGGCTGACGAGTTGGAGCTTGATGAGCATTAAGTGCTACTACTACTACTACTACTACTACTACTACTATTAAGCTAGGTACCTCATGGCTTTCATGCTTTTCTAGCTCTTCGCTAAGACGTGCATAAAGTCTGATGGAGTCGTCCTGATTCTGCAGCCATAAATCCACGAGTTCTTGCACAGGTCGTCCAACAACACTAGTTTCAATTTCAGCGTCCAGCTCGGCACGATCCTGTGCAGGAAGATCTTCTACCGAGCGACAAGTTGGATATAAAATGTGCATCGCTGCTCCGCGTTTACATCTTTCCTTTGTGAACTGAGGTTAGCAAAAACTATGAATTTTCGCTAAACACTGCAGAAGCTTTTTTTTTGGGGGAGGGACGAGTACAGAAAACACCAGAAAAGAGTTCACTTACAGTCTCCAACGCGTGTTTGTATTCGTCCTCCCATTGTTGTGCTCGGAAAGTCGTCCGCCAGCTTGGATCGCAATAGTCGAGTTGACGTTCAATGGCGCTTCGCAAATAAGCTTTCCTCACTAGTCTTCGTTGGTAGACTTGTCGGCGATCCTCGATGATAGACCATACCGAAAACGGGATCTGCTGTCTTTGATACCTGCAAAAGAAAAAAAAAACAAACATATGCGGTTTGTACCACAGATCTTGCAAATCAGAAATAAGAAAAACACAAACAAAGATTCCTCCATCTTGTGCTCGCCATCGAGAAAGGAAATTTGGGGGTTGAGGGAGGACAAGAGAGATGAGGATGGATCATAACAAACACGCCAAAAATAAGCGTATAACGGAAGATCCTTTTTACTTGTGGAGATCCAAGAAGAGGATCCTGCCTCTTTTCAACAGTAAGAATGACCGTGATAACTGATAACTTACATGTCAAGTTTTCGCTGTAGCTCGGCGCGCGCTGCATCTAGCCAGCTGTTTTCCGTACAAGGCACTATGGTTAAACGATTTGCGGCGAGTGTCAATCATCGTGCTTCTGCATTTTCAGCCCGTCGTATATAGAAGCACATTTGTTCATATAACGACGTTATATTCACACACACGCAGATACAAAAACGCGCGCAAAACCCCAACTAGTCTCCCACACCCTCGAGATATCCACTCCCCTGACTTCTTACCTAGTCGGAGAGGCCCTCTTTTGAATCCGTCCAACTCCCATAAATGACCTCCAATTGGTAGGTAGCTGATGTAGTGGTATGTATTATCGCCGCGTGCTGGCCGCCTCGGACTGCGCCTACACATGCAAATTGGAGGAGAGAGAAGGGGAGGGGGGGAATGGTAGATTGAAGATTCGATAAGTTGATGTAGCTTAAAGGGAAATAGAAGGTGTTAAGGACAACCGCCCGTCTCGCCCGTTCTCGTTTTAATATGCCATGCGCGTTTGATCCCTTATCACCTATTATGATGTATATATATCTCCAACCCCTACTCGTCTGTACGTACCTTCCTACGCCATTGTGAGCATCCTTTAGTGCTTTGCTGTTGGTCACGCTTAGCCCCTTTAACTGGGACGTTGCGAAGAAAAATCAACAGCAAGCAGCAGCAGTGTTAGTGGCAGCAATAATAACAATGTCATATTAAGGACGTTATTCACGAGAGAAGAAAACCTCATGCACCAAAGGCACACGCTAACGTACCATTGGTGGGAAATCGCCAGTAAATTCCTTGAAATTGAGTAGTTCAGAGCCAAGGTCGATGGATTCCTCACGGTTCAGCAAGACGCTCAACATCGCGTACATTGCATAAGCGTCGTGGACAACCTTAATAGCAATAATAATAAAAGCACAAATAAGTTCCGTTAATAGTTATTTAATTTTACAAGAACAATAAAAGAACGAAATTCATGATCCGGTTGGGGAAATTGCATAATTTTTTTTTTCTTACCTGATTTACAAAGTAGACGTTGTTATTTGTCGTATACATTTCGTCCCTGTGAGATTTCTCGGGCTTGTGACGCAGGAGCAGCGTGATACCATAGATAGGCCTTTCAGGGAAAAAAGCAGGGTCAGAAAAAAAGCAAACAAATCGGGTCGTCGTCTTTGGTTAAGGTTGGTTACGGGTACCCGTGTCGTTTCTTTTGTTCTGCTATGCGATCTTTCGCCCGCTCACTCCTTTATTTTCTCTTTCTTTTGACGAGTGCCCATCCATTTGTGTTCTTCACGTTCTGGGAGGAAACGAGAGTTACCTGAGGTCGCGGATAAAGTCCCGGTTCAAACTGGGTATCGGTTCGACTTGGACGCCTTTTACTCCCATACGTGTGCATAGCTGTGACAATGATCCTAACGATCTTGAGCAATGAGCAATAGAAGATACACTAATAATCTCGGGGAATGATTACTCGAAACAACAACTATGTACCAGGATCAGGTTCAATGAGGAGCCAAGGATCGTCCTCGAGTGATTCCCGCTGCGCCATGATCAGAGACACGATTAGGGAAGATAAAAACGGAAAGAGGGTAACTGAACAGAGCTGGAAAATAAGAGTAAGAAGTGCTAGTGGTGACGACAAAAAAGCTTGAAAGAGGAAAAAGAGCGAGCAAAAGAGAGAGAAAGAGAAAGAGAGAGAAACGAAAGAGAGAAGGAAGGAAAAAAGGAACTGATGACGCATTGGGCCGTCAGTTCCGAGTGCATGGACAATCCCACCGACGACACAAGCGAAGAGAGAGCGAGCGAGCGAGAATCGCTTGTGCAGAAAAAAATTTGTCCGGGTAACTGAAGTTATTACTTAGTATCTTGCGTGTGTGCATGCTTGAGCAGGTATTTGATTTTCCCAAGGGAGAGGAAAGGGAAGAAGGGGGTTGTGGTTATAAGTGCGGTGAACGAGAACGAGTGTATTACCAGCAGGCTCTTGACAGCATATATTAAAGAGATAGGTGGGATATTACTACTATTATTATTAATAGCAGCGCTACCAGTATTGCCACATACTAGCATTCTTGGTGATTGGATTAACTCGGGTCAAGTAACCCGTCGAACCGGTTATTAATAGCTGTTTTCTTTCTCTTACTGGCCCTATATACATCATGCACAAGATAACTTCATTGCTTAGGAGCATGTAGTAGCGGATATTACATGCATCTCGGCGCCCACAAGAAGGCAGCAGCCCTCGCTTTGTGTGTGATCGTGCACATTGTGCATTCATAAACAAACGTGAGAGAGACATTGTCATTTTTTAGGACTCCAATCTGTCTCCTCCTCCTTAGCATAGGATCAACAATAGCAAAAACGATCGACATTGACTTTCCTGTTTTTGTTGACCAGCAACGTAGCTTGATTTTCTTGTGTAGCCATAACGGGAACATGTATTGCGCATACGGGCGGCGTGATCTTGTTTATCTTTTTTCTTTTTTTTTTTTTTTGCTCCCGCGCCCGTTATCGGCATCGTCTCCGCCCACCGCCGCCGCTGCATTTTGTTGTTGTTTGCTGCTGCTGCTGCTGCTCTACTAAACCAACCTTGCTGCTGCATCAATCCTAATATTCCTGCATTTGTTATTACACATTGAAAAGAACAAAATTAAGGGGTTAAATGGACATGCTCCCTCCAGGCAACTTTGAAAGAAACAAAATCACGCTATCCTAGTTATGTAGTTCTTCGTGGTGAACCGGCAAGAAAAGCCCGATTAAACCTTAATCTAACCAAAGCTTTTTTGTCAAATTATGTAAGCTTCAGGCCTTCTCGAACACTCTCATTTCAAGGGTTGCCCACCCCCACCCCCAGTGTTGTTGACTGGAATCTCTAACCTTCTTTCTTTTTTTGTTCTGACAATCTGGTTGCTAAGACAACAAACAACCAAACAATAAGTTCTCATGCCACTAAATTGCATGCTAATTTCATTCCCTAGCAACCCACCAGGCCGCCTTTTTAATTTTCTCATAGATAGATGGAGAGAGTGTGTGTGTATGTGCGTGCATACACTAGCTAACGTGTGTGCAAATGGACCTGCAGATATCCGACCCTTACTCTTTTCTACCTGCATATCAGCTCCCACCCTTAACAGGATATTTTCAGATCTAGTGCTTATCGATCTACTACTGTGTGCCTAAGGTTTTTTTTGTCTTCATTTCCATCAATCATTCACTTTGCTTCTATCATTCATTATTCTTATGCAGTAATAAACCATTGACTCACATGAAGGAGGCCCTTCTCCCTCATTCCATGTGCTTTCATTTCGCCTTTTTGCAAATAAAATATGGTCTTTTTTTTCTTAACCTGCAGCAGTGAATCACTTTTTTGTCAAACACTTGCCCACGTTGCTAATAAAAATTTCAATCTTTTAAAGTTGCATTTACAACTGATCAGTTTGTGGTGAGGGATCTATTGAGCGGTGGGCTCACGGGTAACAATACTAGTGTAAAATATGGACTCTGATTCTCTCCCTCTCCCTTTCGTTTACCGTGCACCTGTCAATATGAAAGGAGTAAATGGACCTAAGCCTCCTCCTCCTCCTTCTCCTTCTCCCCACAACCGACACTGTATTATAAGGATGTTAAAAGAGTTTTAATATTTCTATGGGGTGCCGTGGTAAGGCAGGAGCTTAACTGAGAATTTCTTTCAGGCACACACACACACCATACATAAAACTTTGCTCTTCTTCTCACGACCCCCTTCGCTTCTCCCTTTTAAGAAATAACCGTGCTACTTTTGTGCTTCTCACTGCATGCAGATGCCTCTTTTGATTGGCTACTGGCGAAACGAAGCACTACAACTGTTGGAGGTGAATTGCGTAGCATATGTAAGAGAGTGATTCCACGGAACAAAACATTAAACACAGCCAATCGCAAATTTTACAGCCATTCTCGTGTAACCTAAATGCGTCATTGAATCTGATTCAGCCCAATCAGTCCTTCCCCAGTTTGTTTCCCCACACCGGCTCCAGTCTGGGAGAAAGGCAGGTCCAGCTGCTGGATGGAACCAGGCATATTCTGTGTTTACTTATTTTTACATCTTCGCCTCTTTTTTCATTCACTTTGCGTATTTCTCTTTTCTTCTTTCATTTATGTATATAAAGTGTATCTATTATGTCTGCACCATTCTTGACATTTCTTAACATACCCACGCCACTTTACCAAGAGGATCGATCTGTGTTTCCTGCCACTGACCACAACCACCACCAATTATCGACATCATCTGCTGCTGCTGCAACAACAACCTATGTTGCGATTGTATCCCGACACGGCAAGACCTTTACAAAGATCCTAAATCCATCATCGAAAAGCTCACCACATTTTTCGCGCGGTCGAAAACGGGCATTCAGCGGTGGGAACTCTGGATTCTTTAACCCTCTGATGAAGCAGCCGGCATCTTTGCAGAAAAAGACCAAGCTTTTGCTGTTTTGGTCCCCAGGGTCAAATAAACGAGTGGGTGACGAGCAACGAGCAAGCCTGAACTCGACAAGTGATGGTAATACATGTGTCATAGAAATAAAGTAGCACATTATAAATGGGCAACAACTTAAGTAAAACAAAGGAGGAGAGGTCTTTACTCAACTAACACTATCATACCCTTTCAATAGACAAGAACCAAACATGTATGCTGTATAAACTACCCACTGAGATTTTAGTACGAATACTGCAATATCTCAATACCGCCGCCAATGTGCTGCAGGTAGCACAAACGTCTCGTCGCCTTTTTACCACTTGCCACGACCACCACTTGTGGCATCGGCTCTTTTCACAGCATTACTTTACTCTCGCCACTGCACCATCAGAACGCTGTTTACAACTGTACAAGGATCATGTGGAGCTCGATCGACGATGGACACAAGGCAGTGCTCACGTTTTCTACATGAACGACGACGAGAGTCACCAGGACAGTATCTATGCCACAGCCTGGATCGATCCACAGACGATTGTCAGCGTCAGTCGAGATCGTAGCATTAAAGTCTGGGACCTTGCCACACGAAAATGTTTGCTCACCCGTAATGATGCTCACGAAGGCAGTATTCTGTGTCTGACATTGTTACTGCAAGAGAAAACAACAACATTAAAAACAGGAGCAGAATTTGCTGTCACTGGATCATCGGACACGACATGCACAGTTTGGTCATTGCCCAATTGGGACCGAATTCGGCAATTTTCGGGCCATACGCATAGCGTGTTGTCGGTTTTGGCCATCAACGATGACATGGTGGCCACAGCTTCAAGGGATACCACTGTTCAAATCTGGCGGGTGACAGATGGCAAAGTGTGTCACGTAATGCACGGGCATAGTGAGGCCGTGAATGCAGTCAAGCGGTTGGATGACCAACGGATCGTATCAGCGTCAGGGGATGGCACATTGAAAATTTGGTCAATTGAAACAGGTGCGTGTCTTGAAACGCTGACGAGTGATATCGGTGGATTGTCATGCATGCAAGTGGTCAATAGTCAAACGATCTGGGCGGGCGGTTTAAGTAGCCATATTCAAATATGGGAGCTCTCTACTTGTGGTAATCTATGGAAAACGGTCACCATCATGAACTCTGGACATACCAATCTTTTGAGAACAATCGATAGCTTCAAGGTAAATGATAATATGACTTATATCACTTGCTCTGCTCACAGAAATATGAATTTGACACAGGCATTTCTTTATAAATTATAGGATAAGGTTGTTACTGCTGGATACGACAAGGTCATAAAAGTTTGGGATTCAAGGACCGGAAAATGTTTGTTGAATTTTCAAAGTGGCCATGCAAGCAAAATCTTTAGTGTTTTGCTCGGAAAGACCAGCATTGTCAGGTAAATAAAACTATAGCTTTAGTTGTTATAAGGACATTTTAAATCGTGATTCTTACCCAGGATAACTTCTATTTTAGTGCTGGTCATGACAAGCGAATCATGGTGTTGGATTTTGCCTATCTGCTTTCCAAGGAACTAGTACGACTGTAAAAATACTGATCTAATGTATATAACTGGAGCAGTAGTATCACAATACTTTATACCCTTAACATGGCAACCCCCTTATTATGCTGCTTACTTCACCTCTCAGTTACAGTATATATGTATAATTCCGTACGATTTATTTCTGAAATCAAGGCGTGGACATATTGCTTCTTATAACAATTATGACTACAGCAATATTTATCAAGTGTTTCAAAACAGAAGGGAGTAAAGGCGGACGGCAGGCACGTCTACCGCCTTTGTTATATTCTGGGCATGTGATCAACTCAGGGTTGCAAAGAAGATGCTTTAACGACCCTTGTAACTTCGTTATGAGCTGGGGCCGCAAAAATTTGCTCAGTATCTTTGTAACTGCGTAGGAGGTAATACGACCTGAAAAAAAAACGAGGATCGACCTGGCAATAATTATGCTGAGTACTGAATGATTCTTTTGTGAGTTTTGAGTTTTTGACATTTTTTTGTGGGTGCTAATAGACTTGTAGGAGCAAGAAGAAGCCGCAATCAATGATCGCGTTCAGGAATGAAGCAGAAGCAGAAGCACAAGACATCAGGAATACTTTGGGGGATCTAACAGACAGGGTGGACGTGTTCAGGTCAGTGAACGCGCTCCGAGCATACGCGTCATTGTAGGATAGCCTACTTTTTGGATTTTTTTAGTGAGAGGAAAGGATTGAATCGCGGTGATACCGGTCGGGTCGAACTCGCACGCGACAGAGTACTGGACGTATCAGCATTGTTGCCGAGGTCAATGATGAGGGAGGAGTCGTTGGAAGAGAAGACGGTGACGAAGGAGTGGTGTGAGGCCGTGCTGGCGTTGTCGAAGCTAAAGGTGGGGGAAAGGACGGGCGAGAATTGCGGCGGCGAGGAGGAGATGGTCGAGTGTGAATGGTGCGAGAGTTGTGATGCCGCGTCAGGGTCATAAGGAGTAGTGACTATATCGTTATCGTCGAAGTTATAATAGCCTTCTATGTATACTCTTTCGTATGATGACTCACCGTAAGAGAAGAAGAGAAGAAGAACAGCGTGCTTTCTGTATCCTGCTTCCTTTTCGTAGTTGCTCTGATCTGCACAAAGCATGTCAACGAAATATTCCCTTTTCGGTTCACTCCACCCATGATCCCTTTACCACTCACAGTGAACATCCTCCTTTATGAGGCTTGCTTAACCACGCTGCATAAGAAAGCTGCTTATTGCCATGGCATTCAGTAGTCATGACAACCCATGTTCCTGAAACCCGCTGGTTGCCAGGACAAGCATGTGTCAAAACACATTTTATTTTATTCGCGTCACCCATTTTGACCAATTCCGAGTGAAATGGCGCCTGTTCTCGCGAAGAGATTCGCAGCGCTTTTTTCACACAGTTGCAACCAGCGCAATGTGCAGACTCGTAGCAACACGCACATACAGTACTGAGCCCTTGTTTTATCGATGCTCTGTGGCCAAGTTACGATGTTTTTTGCGCAGGGTCTCCATTGTACTTTGCTGTCATGCTCGGCTTCTCATGCGAAGACCTTCCGTGCTGACCGTAAATAAAATGGGGGGGATAGAACCAAAGCTGGGGGACGTCACTCGCCCAAGCAAAAACACTACGCTGAATACGCTTATGGTGGTGTGGTTTTAGACTACTTGTCGTTTTTAGTCTCGCATCGAGCTCGCTCGGTGGTCAGCTTAACGAACGATAATCCTAAGCTGGCAAGCGTGGTGGATGCATTCCCTGGTCGCTTCTTTTTATTATTTCTAGCTTGGGGGTAAGTTCCAAAAGATAAGGCTTTTATCCTGTGGTAGCTCGGTTCTTTTTTCCGTTTTAGGCAGTTGTAATTTAGGCTGCATAATCTGGGCACATGATATCGCGGTCACGTCCTGTGATAAGAATCGCGTAAACAATATAAAACAAGCACTTTCCACTCACAAAGAAAAAGTTTTATCGCTCAGGTTTTCCGCTTTTTTGTACTTGAATGGTAAGTAAGGATGAGCTTTCAATTGTGCAAGAAGAAAAAAAGTTTGTATTCAAAAGCTTTACTAAATGATTGGTTTTCCAGGGTCCAGGGTTTCCAATCGAGGGCCGGTCTTTTCTCTTGACTGTCTTTGTCTTTCTATCTAGCACACAATGGAAAGCCCTCATGTCAAATAAGTCGACCACAGTTCGTTCGCCTTCCCTAGTGGTTGTGCAGTTCGACGGAAAGTTTGAGATCTGGCATGTTGGTGGTCATTGATGGTATTGAGGCGAGCAGTCGAGCGGGGGATCGGCGGCCACAGTAATTCATAAGGTTGTTTCAATCTGATTGGCATGGTAGGTCGCGTAGCTGCAGTAGAAGGAGTAGCATCATTAAGTAACATGAGAATCACTCACGTTATACAAGGAAACAAGCTAACTTGTACTTTTTCTATTTTGCTGTAGGATGCCTCCAGGGTTCCAGGGTTTCAATCAAAAACCGATCTTTTTCTTTTGGCTGTACTTGTCTTTCTATCTAGCACAATGGAAAGCCCTCATGTCAAATAAGTCGACCACAGTTCGTTCGCCTTCCCTAGTGGTTGTGCAGTTCGACGGAAAGTTTGAGATCTGGCATGTTGGTGGTCATTGATGATATTGAGACGGGCAGTCGAGAGAGAAATCGGCGGCCACAGTAGTTCTCAAAGCAAGTGACTTCATTCCGATTGGCATGGTAGGCCTTTTAGCTAAATAAAGGGGCAGCAAACATAGGAACATGGAGAACCCGGTTCATACAGTAGACAACTAAACTTGACATGTTTTTATCTTGTGTAGGATGCCGCCAGGGTCCGCGGTCTGACTGAATCGAAAGGCGCTCTGTCCTTGCATGTGACTTGTTTGGATCCATTGCAGACCCTCCTCTCGTGTTCACTTGCAGACGGTCTTTGCACGTTCCCTCTGCATGGGAAAGCTAACGCGGTCATTCTCTTGCTAATCCCTGGTGCTTCGTGGAGACCGGTGCTTGCCTCTTTTCACAAAGAGCCAATGCCACACTCTCAGATCGTTGCATTTATATTCAGCAGTGAATGGCGAGGTTAACTCGAAATCCGGGGCTTGGAAGGCGGCTGCTCAGATCGTGGCTTCACATCTCCTTTGGCTAACCGGAAGATTGGCCAGCACTCTGCTCGTCATGAGAGAGGTTCGTGGTTCTCTTTTGGCGTATGCTACGCAACCTCTACTGCCAGTACAGAAATTCAGTAGCGGGTTGTGAGTGGGTTCATCTTGTCATGCAATGTACAAAAGCTAAAATCGCTTATCCATGGACTATGGCTGACTGTGCTGGACATAGTACATGGATGGCGGCTCTTCTGGATCCAGTGGAAGGCCACGGCGGGCTATAGCATGGCTACTGGGGAGAGAGTGGAGAGCAAGCAGCATTACGTCCTCGTCGTGCTCTCTGGGAACGTCGATTTGCGACGGCTGAATATGCTGCATTATTCTTTTATTAGTAATAGTAGCTGTCAAAAAATAAAGTTTTCTACTTAACCACATAATCAAGACCGACATGTTCCCATTTTCCTGACATCTTTGTTGCCGTGATTTCTATTAGGAGCGCGATTCGCGCCTTAGACACTTGTGGACGAACTTTTACTCTGGTTCAGCATGTTACGAGATACCACGTCTTACAACCCTACCGAAGAAGATTTTTTTTGTATACTTTATTGATGACGGGGAACCACTACCGAAGAAGATGTCGAGGTAGTATAGAAAAACCATTGCATCTCCGAGCTCTTTGATTGAAACTACAAAGAGGGTAATGAGCCTCACAATGCATAGTAGTGCTGATAACAACGCTTGCGCGTGCTCTCAGTGTTTCAAATAATGTGGCACACCTGCAACGGGATGTACACTGACAAGTCTGACATGCAGATACTTACACTTACTACTGCTTGTAAAGGAGACATGTTAGGGCTGGCATTTCACCTGTTGGCCTAGTATGATACGACTGCAATTTAGACCTATCATACAAGATAAAATACATGGGTGCCAGCTTATTCTTCCTTGACCTTTTCGCATGCTCTTGTGTGTACCTTATTTCCGGTATGATAGTGATTACTCGTAGCACGGTACAGTGGTAGTCCCTCGCTAAAAGCGCAACTCATCAACAAACAGCAAGACATCAACTATGCATGCATACTATCGTCCGTAGAATGCCTTGAGAAAAGATATAGATACAGTATGCATTATACCACTATCATGATGCAGCATGTACCAAGGCTTTTTTTATTAGATATACATAACACAGAAACGATAGCTGTGTGTGATAAACCACACGACTTTTTGAATTGATACGGACAACCCATCCCACTTCACCGTCTTATTGACTACTATAATGCGATTAGAGAGAACAACGCACACTGATGAGTTGATATAAACAATACATACTCACTACCATATCAACAATCCCTCAAACATCGATCACAAATGAGAATAAATCAGAAATAACCGTTGTATTCACAACGGCTTGGGCCTAAGATATCCTGCCTCAAGAACATTCTGTCATAACTTACATTTCCTAATCACCATTTCTATGATATGTCCCTTTATTCTTTATCAATATTAAGTATGCAATATTAAAGTATATTCAGTCAGACCATTTTTTCTTGTGTACTTGCTCTGTTCCATTTGATACATATCTAAATAGTGGAGAAGATCATTATTAGCAAAGGCGATCAAACGTTATCATTTCCGGTAGATGTAGATCTATGATACAATAGAAAACAAAGCGTCTGGTAAAGCTTTCAGCGCTGTATCTTCGGCTCAGAACGGTTTCGTTGCAAAAGCAATACCACAAATGCTTTCTTAAACTTCACGGCGATCGGTTACATACTTCATCTGTTATGTACAAAAGGCGAAACGTCATTGTATTTTCTCTGTAACTACGTGCATAAGGAGGCCCGTTTCTTTACTCCTTAGAATGAACGTCCGTCCCCGCGTTTAAATTTTCTTCTTCGATAGCATACGAAGATACTAGAGCATAATGACTTGTTTACGGTAGGAATCATATAGAAAATATCAAGGAGATAGGTATATGAAAGAAGGCCGAGGGTGTTTTATTCGCCATCGTTGCTATAATGTAGCACTCTCAAATTATATTGAGAGATGCTTTATGCTTGCTGACAAATGATAGTGGTTTATAACACACAATCGCTATAATTAAAAAATAGATACAAAGGGTTAAAACGATTATGCTTGTACCTACAAATATAAAGGGGTATATTATGATGATCATGTCAAGAGCCTTGTATGCGGTTATGTGTATACATATGGCCCTTTCGTAATATATCCTTATCTCCACCATGAAGACGGTGACATGCATAGTATCGTATTATATGCATAAGTTGGAAGCCTGCGCTTATAATACATATCATCACTGGAACAGATTGCGCCTATACACACAATGCGATGAATCATTGGCGGTTATAATAAAACCTGAAATCCGATGTGAAAACATTCGTTTTCCCTTGTACCTTTTCAAATTGGGAAAGCTTGATGGAGGTATATGAACATTGTCGCCTGTCTGTATCGTCGATCAGGCGAGCATGGTGAGCTCAATAATGGTGCTATGTACCAACAACTTGAGTCTCTGCCATCAGCGTCTTGATCTGCTTTTCTACCCCCGATCGTGGTCAGACTTTGCACTGGCATGCATGATTTTCTCTCGTGTTTCTCTCAGGTTTTCAATAAGCTTTACAGCTAATTTTTGAGATCTATCCTGTATGCTAATTGTCAACGTGTTACAGTCTTTAAGTAATTAATACACTATTGCAAGAAAGCAAGGTAAAGATGAGCTGCAGTGATAACGCAACATTATAATCTTAATACTGCGATAGCCTTTAGTGTAGTATAGTATTTGGATAGTATCATGAATATGATACAACATGATCGGACATAGTGGTGTTTGGTAGTGGTGCTGTATTGGACTGCTGCCTTCAATGCTGCTATATGACGACAAAGTGCCGAAGAAGGTATAAAGTGACAAAGAGATAGAAGCTGAGTAGCTGAAGCGAGAGAGTCGGAAAGCACGGAATAGTTGACAAATTCAGGCTAGCACACATTCGTATAGGAAGTAAGGTGATGTTAAGTACGTATAGTATGCACAGTGCTAAACCATGCTTTGGGATTTTGGAAAAGATATTATCCGTAAAAAATAATGTCGCGTGGCAGAAAAAACTCCAGACACCCAATGGGGTTGCTGCGTGCACCCCGAATAGTATATAGCAGCAAATCCAGCCTCCGCGGAAAAAAAAAGTTTGAATAAAAGCATTGACGGGCGACGTGGGAAACAGACGAGCTTTCTCCTCTTTTTCCCCTACTCTTTCCCAAATTGCCCCGTCCGACAATTTTTTTTGTCCAACGTAAATAATAACACCATCACCATCATCACCGTCCATTTTGTTTATATACCAGCATCAAAGCAGCACAACACAGCACAGCACATAGAGCAACATGGGTCTGGGCAAAAAATACAGCAACAACGACGCAGCAAAACATCTTCCTCCCGTAGACCTCCATATCGACGAAGCACCCGTCTATTTTATCGGCCCAGCAACGGCAGACAACCCCATGTCCCATGTGCGCACCCGGCTGATGGGCAGCGTCTCGTTCAACGATCCCAAACTCAAATGGAACCGGATCACCTTGCAGTTCAGCGGCAAAGCAGGCTTGGATATCCAAGCGCCTGTCTCAGCATTACCGCGAGAGCTTGCGGGCGATGATGCTGGCAACAGCAGTAGCAAAAATACGATGCGATTAGACTCGACCATGTCGCTGTGCAAAATCGAAAAGGAGCTTATCTTCACCGGCGAAAAGGTCATTGAGTTCGGTTTGCATTTGCCTACTACATTGCCACCATCCATCCGCGCCAAACACGCCTTTGTCGAATACACCCTCGTCGCCAACTTTTCGGCAGGCACCTTCTTTAAAAAGTACCGGATCCAGAAATCGGTCGCTTTGTGTCGCCACTACCTGCCGAGTCCAAGTGCAATGATACCCTGTATTGAATACAATAACGCACGCGAATGGTTTGAGTGGTCTGCAGAAGTGCCCAAGGCCGTCGCAATAGAGGCTGGTGAGGTCGTCATTGCGTTACGGTGGAGTGTGGAGAAGGAACTCGTCGAAGTGGATCAGATAGAACTTGCCTTGGAAGAGATAGAAACGTACAGGTAATGATTTAAGGGGGTTACATATGTGTGTACATGCTGTGTGTTTGATCGACATCATCGGCTCGTCATCGTGTGTGAACGTACACAACAGATGTAACAAGAAAAAAAAAGGCAGAAAAGCTTATCGTTATCTTTATCAACCTATTTTACTTTTCATATTAGATTTTCTACAAAGTCTGGTGTACATAACTTACCGCCTATGATCAGTCGATTCCCTGCCACGACATACCATCCACCATCGCACTCTGGCAATTCAGAAACACACTTTATCCGCACGCCACTCCCTATCAACACTCCCGTACACAAGGTCGCCCGTCCAGTCCGAACCCATATCTTTAATCCATTCCTAGACATTTCACATCGACTACGCCTCGTCATTCACTTCACAACATCCCCTTCATTACGCCCCGAACCAGTGGTACTTGAGTACCCGATTATTGTCACAGATTATCCCGCCGATCAACCCTCCATTTCGCCTGTTGTAGGTGGCGACGAAGCCGTCTGCGTGGATCTGGACCTGCCCGAATACACACCCCGCTACGAACAACTCGTAACAGAAGACAATGTCAACAACAACAACAACAACAACGATACCAACATTAGTAATAGCAGCAGCAGTAGCAGCAGCAACAGCGTAAGTGGGAGTGGGAATGGCGTGGTGTCTTCTTCGTCTTTGGCTACAGCAGCAACAGCAACAGCAGCGACGCGGTGATAATAGAAGAAGCGGATACACATATTATTTTTTTCCATGCGTGGCAAACTGCTGTACATCAATTCATAATACATATATTTTTTTACGTAAAAGAAACAAGCTGGTAGAAAAGAAGGAAGAGAGAAAGAAAAGAACGATGGAGCGAGTCAAGAGGCCGCCGGGACATCAGGCAATAGATACGTGGTTCGTCGAGTCATGGTTCGGTCGCGTTTCAAATGACGGATATTGACGAGCTGTTGTCTTGGATCGATGGCAGCGCTGGAGACGGCAGCTGCAGCATTGTGGTCGTCTTGTTCCTGGTCTTGACGGTTGTTGTCTTGAGCGGTAGGCTGCGGGTTGAGCAAGAGACGGCGTAAAAAGTCGCTAAGGTTCATGACTGCTGCTTATTTCTTGAAAGGAAGAGAAGAGTGGTTGCTGGTGAGATAGAGAAAGAGAAAAGGAAGAAAGACAAAAATGAGAGAGGCAAAGTAATTAATTTCCAAAGCATGAAGCACTTCGGACCTTTTTTTGCCAGCACCAGTTTGTTGTTCTGCCTCTCTGCTACTACTACGTACGCCCCAAGGTAAGCGTGTGTGCTCCGTCACCCAACCACATAGCGAGGGTTGCTCTTGTCACCAGCCCGGTATATAGACGTTCCCAGCACCCTGTATGCACTGATCGAATCCAGGATCCACGCACTGGCCAGTGGGTGTTTGTGGTACTTGGCAAACATGCGTCCAGACTCTTTTGTCGTCATCCTCGCGGTGCAGATGATAGTGCCCGATGGCGGCAACGCGTCAGGCGACGACACGAGTCGGCCCCCCGCCAGCGTGATGAGTGATCCGAGCTGTTCCTGCGTTGGCTGTGTATAGCTTCCGTGGAGATAGAACACTGTGTCTTGGAACAGCTTATTCTATTGGACAACAGTACAATCAGTTTCCATCCAATATTCCTTATGTTGCAATGCGCCCGCTTCCTTCCTTCCTTCCTTCCTTCCTATTACCCCGTGCGCAATATCTTCTCGTGCTCGCTCTAGAACGTTGTCGTAGTTGATTGTATCGCCAAGCACCTGGTATGGATTGGTCGGAACCATCTGGCCTTGCTCATAGCATGCAGTGATCCCTATATCAATAATGGTCGTGGTGGAACCCATGTGAGCGTTCACTTCCTGCATTCAATTGCATGCCCTATTCATCATGATGTGCTCCTTACAGTCCTGGCTCACGATGATTTTTCCCATGAGCATCGCTTGCATATACTTTATAGTCCTGTGCGCCCTTCTGTTTACATCTGTTTCAATATTACACCCGTCGCAGCACCGCCCAAAAAAACAAGTGAGTGATCCTTTTGCTCGCTTGACACTTCAACAACAACCCCTCCTACTGCACCACACATACCTGCGCCAACCACCATGCAGGTCACTTCTTCTGAGATTTCCTGAACCCTGCGCACGTTCGGAAGTCTCGTCGTTAAGATATTTAGGTAATGGTGCTACATACAAAAAAGAACGCAAATGTTTGGTAAACAAATCGCCCACAGTCTGTGTATCATCTCCTCCGTCTCTTCCTTCCTTATATGTACCACATTGTTGTCTTGGATGCCTGTGCATGCAATGATGTGTTCACATGACAAGTGCTCTTGTTGTTGCTGGTCCCGTTCACCACCTACACATTTTTTCATTGAAATGTTAGTAATTGCATTGATGAGCGAACCGAATGATCATTTTTGTGCAACCTTTACCTTGACGTATTTCAAGTGAAGTGACATCAGTTGCATCTGTATCCACTGTTTGTGGGATTGGTCCATCTTCTTCATTTGCTTCCACAGCTTCTGCTGCTGCTTCTTCTTTGGTATCCTGATGAAAGGTTGAGTCCGTTGATCCATTTGGCAGCCCATAGAGTTTATTCTCTTCCCTCACTGCTAGTGTGCTTTCTTACCTTGGTTTGTTCCTTGGTTGGATATGGGAATTGCTGCGAGAGGTCAGATATCGGATCCGCGCGCCAATCATGAGCAGGGACCTGTTGCGATAAATCTAAAGGCATACAACCTTAAGCATAGACACACTTGCTTTACTCCTTATAATAACAGTCTTACCGTGCCCGCTTTCTTGCTCATACGCGGCGCGCAGCTGCAAAAATTCATGGACAATCAGATCCACTGAGCTGGCATCGTACAACCGTCGGCGATGCACCGGCTGCTTACACACAGGACAGCCTGTCATGCCCGATCGCAGTGCTTGGTGTATGCATTCCTGACAAAACGTATGACCACATGGCGTGCTTGTTGCTTCGCTTAACATTTGAAGACTATAATTGTAATAATGATAGTCATAAGTCCTCTTTTCTTTCCTTGGCTGAATTGCTAAAGTTTGTAGCAGTAATGAAAAAGAAACACTATAACATACCAGATCGGACAAGTCAGTTCACCTCGCATTCGCCACAGTAAACCATCAACGGTATCAGGCAGTTCATTGGCAAGGGCCGATCCAGCCCCTCCATAAGACGCCATCACAACAGATTGAAAATGGTTCTTAGGAATATAATAGATAGTTTGACAGGATTTGAGGAGCCCTCCTTATACGTGTGTGGTTTCAAACTACAAGGAGGAAGAAAAAAGCGCAATGCGTCGCTAGGATTTTAAAATGTATCGCCGGAGACGCGTTTTTACTCTTCTTACGCGTTTGTTCGTGTATCCACACGCATTTACCTTACACTTTCCTGACAAGCCCTTCCTAATACCTACTTCCTTTCTACGATGTACTTTTTTTAAGAGTTTGTCAAAGAAGCATTTTGCCTTTTATCCTCTTTCTTCCAATACTATTCCGTCGTTCCAACAAATTGAATGCAAACTACCATGATACCGAAGTACACGGAAGGTAAGAACAAGAATTTATTTCCCCGTTATCATATGTATGGCAGCGTTTTCACACCGGCTAATGATTTTTTTCTCATATATCTTTGTATGCACTATGTATCACCTTTTGCACAACATTAATCACTGCTTTTACAAAACTAATATCGCCAACATGTTGTCACTGTCAGGAAAGCCAGTTTATTTCATGATGAGCGATGATGGTCCGTCCTATATTTTGTAAGCAGCATTACTTTGAGAACGTAATAAAGCATCAAATCAAGCGTGTTTGTCACAATGTTCCGAGTATAGATGCACTAAATTCACATGATATCATCCGGTACAGAAGCTTTAGCAAACGTACAAACCTGCTGTAAAAATTGAGTGACTGGCATCGCAGAATAGCAGCAGCAATACCGGGAACCGGGCCTCGTGTAAGCAAGGTAAACAAAACCGATTACGAAACTCGGAGCGAATACTGGGTGCTGCGTAAGATGAAGCACTTGTTTATTTGATTACTATGTATAAAACTAGCAGACGATCTGGGGAATTGAAGAAACAGGGTCCAAGCCAGACGGCGTTATCCAGATAAATTGGCATTTAGACAACTTCATGAATAAGCGTGCTCATCTACACTGTACACACAGAACGTGTTACTGGGCATGGCTGCAGTATGTCCCGTAAGAATTTTGTTCCTGATCACGATAACTCGTTGCCACTGTTGACTGTGTTTGTCATAAATGTCTATGTTAATGAAAACGACAATAATGCAGCACGCCCGGGCATATGAACAATGTAAGGGTATCGTGAAATACAAGTTATTCGATCATAATGTCGCAACGGTTTTTAATTATATCAGAATAATACGCGCATGGAGTTGGTATCAAAGTATTACTGTATGTGTAGTACTAGTATCCCTGGACAAGAGAAATGGCTTGTGGTCGTGTGAAAAAGCCCACGTCTAGGAAAGCATGAACCATTGATTTTATTATCAGTGTCTATCATATGTTATTAGATCCATGGATCTGTAGCTGTTTGTTTTTATTGTGCTTTCTCTTTTGCCGTGGCAGTGTTCTTGCTGCTTGGAAAGAGCTGGGAAGGATGTCAGGACATAGAGAAAGGGTATACATGGACGAAAGTATCGTGAAAGAAACTAGGAGACAACCAGTGCAAAAGTTGGACGGCCATTAATCAGCATATTAGAGGACAAGGAACTATGATGCGTCAAGGATCAAACGGCATATCTTGAGAAGGAGCTCCTCTCATTGCTGCTCTTTTTTTTCGAAAACAACATGTGATTATGATGTTGCTAAATGCTGATATATGATATCTTGTGGTTGTAAGGGAGCGGGTTCGAAAAGTAGTGCCGATGCAGATGTTTTAATCGTAATTTATGTTTATAAAGAGGAAAAGAAACCCTCAGTGAAGCGACACATGGCTTCCGACCTGCCAATTAATCTCTCTACTTTTCTCTATGGGGTTCCTACTATTTCTGAAAGCAGATCCTCCATTGTTGATCTATCTTCCCGATGCTCTGCCACAAGAAATTCACAGGAGTAATGACAAGGAAGACCGGACAAGAACAAGGTTAAGTGTCAGAAAAACCCTCGGATGAAGTAGAAGTAGTAATGATGAATCAAAAATGATAAGTTGAGTGTGCAAAAGGTGATTGATCAGCTGTTGCGGATGGATGGATTGAATAAGGGTTTGTTCTAGCATTATAAATACCAAGCTTCGTTCGATCCTGGATATCTCGTTACTCTTCAAACACTACTATTTCTCGTTTTACACACACACGCACACACACACACAACAGAAATGCATCTTTTAAATTCAATTTTGCCTGCAGCTGCCTCGGCACTGCAATCTGCGTTCCGCTGGTTCGCCAGTTTTCTTCCCTCCCCCTCCGCCTCCTCTTCCTCTGCCTCCTCTGCCTCCTCTTCCTCCATCGCCACCACCAAGGACGACAACCACAACCGAGACGCTTTTGAGCTCACTGCTGATGATATAGCATTGGTCATTAGCGCGGCGGTCTCGGTTGTGGAGACGGCGGTCTCGGTTGTGCAGGCGGCAGCATCGTTGATAAGGACCGTGTTCCTCATTACCAAGCTCACGGTCCGAACAACGCTGCTGCTAGCCAAGGCCACCCTCTGGGCTATCAAGATGACATGCTGTATTCTGAAAAGGTATCTATAGTCAGCAACGTTCTTCCTTTTGTACAATCGTCATGGTTATTATATGTTTGCTAATGCCAGTAACATTTGTTTTGAGCCTGAATTGAAAGGTTAAAGAAACAGCAGTCGGTCCACCCCAAATATGTGAGTCATTCGTAAATACCCACATAAAAGTCATCTCTATGTTGTATTGAGCCATAGACTAATTTCAACTTGACTTAGCAGCGCCACACTCTGCAGTAACATTTCTGCACTGGCTCGTCTCCGTCGGTCCTACGGTTATCCTTACTGCACTTTGGTTTATCTCTTGCCTCTCTCTCCCTCGCTTTCTATATACTTATCCGCGCGACAATTTTACCAAAAAACGTCAGACGGGGAATGGAACGAAGCGTAAAGTCGAAGCCCATAAACTTACTTGTAATAAGCATCAATTGTCCCTTACGACATTAGCAAAAAAACCTCCCCCAAAACCTATTTAGAAAACCCCTCCCCCGCCCTCACTCAACCACTGCAGTGCCACTACATTCAACCGCCTCCGGCACTGGCGGGATCGCGATACTACCACCTTTTTTTTGCTCATTTATCATATCGAAGAGCCTTTGATTTAAAATAGATTAAATAAATATAAAACACAAAAGCACCGTGTAACATTCCACGCCTTTATCGTATATCAGTGGCTGTTATGTGCCAGACTATATAGTGCGAGAGTCTTGGTGAAGTAATGGTTCATATCGATAACCAAGACTTGAGCATGGAGGTTGTACAATTAAATAGAGTCGTAGGCGGGTTAAAATTGGTATTTGAACTGCTATAATGTCATTGATTGCGAGCGCTTGAGATGTTCGGTGCTGCTAGTGCTATCATAGCATATAAATTATACCTTTCACGCGTTCACTTGCTAAATAGATGTACTTAGCAAGCTTCTTGTTACATTTGTATCTTAATTACGATATCATTACCAACAAAGATATTACTTTAGACTTAATATTGCTGCAATGACTAGGTCTTAAATAGCGCTCTTACACTCAGCATCTTATACCAACTATGATACCGCTGGACAGCAATGTCTTCTGAGCCTTTGATCACTTTCTGTTCGGGCTTCATATTTGAATGGTTCCTGTTGCATGGGTGTAGGATCCAAGATAAGTATTTAGTATGACCACTATATAGCATTATTAGCATGCCCTCCATATTTTACATTTAATTCTTATTTTTTCCCGCTTACAGACAAGCAAGTAACCTCCAGTCAGTAAAAACATTCACCTTGAAAGCAGTGATATCTTCCCGACACTTATTAAATTGTGCCTGCTATTTGGCCGAGGAAAATATGCTCGTTTACATACATACCTATGCTGCGTCATAACGTGCGAGCACGCAAACCTTCACAGTCTTCTTGATTAAATATTAATTTCTCGAACAACATTCGTGAACAGATGGAAAATTGCCGACATTAAAAATGTCAACGCGAAGCTTGCGGTACAGTACAAAAAAATGGAAGCGTAGATCTGTCCATCTTTCTTGTGGTATTTTTGATACTAGATCGATTGCATAGGAAGACGAATTAACAGTGATTTATATTGTTCGGATATGGGAATGTCTCTTCGCTTCGCGCACGCCTTCAAAAAGATGCTCAAGAACAATGATGTAGGTGTTCTTGCTCACAGTTGAAAGAAATAATTTGTTGTCCTTTAAAGAATGATTTTCCTAGTAGAAACAGTTGGGTATGGTCAAGCTATCGGGTACCAAAGAGCAGCATCTTATCAACGGTTCAACGCACAATGGGTACTCACAGCCAGAGTGAACAGACATGTTGCGGACCAGTTACGAAGTCAAACGCATCCAAGTGCGGTGCCTGAAACACACCGCATGAAGACAACATGCATGTACATAGCAGTAAAATATCATATTGGCATGAATGTATACAAGGTCATCCAATGAGTTTGATGGTATTAAACATGTTAAAATTTTATTGTTATGATTTTTGCCTTTTGCTTTTGTATTGTTTTGATTGATATTTTTCAACACGAAGGAAAGATAATACATTCTAAAGCTGTTGCATGCTACCCAGCATGGCTTGTGTTCGCATAATCTACATACTACCAAATTTAAAATGCTACTGTAGTCCGGCATACTAGTGGATACAGCAATTTTCCCCTTAAATGCAAACAGCTGCGCCATAATAAAAGCACCTAACTATTATGTTCCGCGTTTATTGTTACACTTCCACTGCAATGAATTGCTTTGGATAGCAAATCATTCTAGTAGCCATATCACTTTCCAACGTACAGTACATAATTCTTTTTCATAAGTAATTTCCTTAAGAGCAAGTACACTTATCTGCTAGTGTTACTGATAGTGATATGTAGTATGGCTCACACGTTGACTAAATAAAAGAGCAGATGATTGATGATGTATGTTACCGAAAGAAAATGATTTTGGCTCTTTATAAGCAAGCGATAAAAATAATATCATACTCTCTTGAATCTAATAAACGACGCGGTACCGGAAAAAAGGTACACACAAGAGCATACGAAAAGGTCAAGGAAGAATAAGCTGGCACCCATGTATTTTATCTTGTAGGTCTAAATTGCAGTCGTATCATACTAGGCCAACAAGTGAAATTCCAGCCCTAACATGATTAGCTAATGTATCCTTTACAAGCAGTGGTAAGTGTAAGTATCTGCATGTCAGACTTGTCAATGTATATCCCGTTGCAGGTGTGCCACATTACTTGACTATGAGAGCCTACGAAACAGAAACAATGAGAGCACGCGCAAGCGTTGTTATCAGCACTACTATGCATTGTGAGGCTCATTACCCTCTTTGTAGTTTCATTCAAAGAGCTCGGAGATGCAATGGTTTTTCTATACTACCTCGACATCTTCTTCGGTAGGGTTGTAGGACGTGATATCCCGTAACATGCTGAAACAGAGTAAAAGTTCGTCCACAAGTGTCTAAGGCGCGAAACACGCTCTCAATAGAGATCACGGCAACAAAGATTGTCAGGAAAATGGGAACATGTCGGTCTAGGTTATGTGATTAAAGTAGAAAACTTTATTTTTTTGACAGCTACTATTACTAATAAAAAGAATTATGCAGCATATTCAGCCGTCGCAAATCGACGTTCCCAGAGAGCACGACGAGGACGTAATGCTGCTTGCTCTCCACTCTCTCCCCAGTAGCCATGCTATAGCCCGCCGTGGCCTTCCACTGGATCCAGAAGAGCCGCCATCCATGTACTATGTCCAGCACAGTCAGCCATAGTCCATGGATAAGCGATTTTAGCTTTTGTACATTGCATGACAAGATGAACCCACTCACAACCTGCTACTGAATTTCTGTACTGGCAGTAGAGGTTGCGTAGCACACGCCTTAAGAGAACCACGGACCTATCTCATGACGAGCAGAGTGCTGGCCAATCTTCCGGTTAGCCAAAGGAGATGTGAAGCCACGATCTGAGCAGCCGCCTTCCAAGCCCCGGATTTCGAGTTAACCTCGCCATTCACTGCTGAATATAAATGCAACGATTTGAGAGTGTGACATTGGCTCTTTGTGAAAAGAGGCAAGCACCGGTCTCCACGAAGCACCAGGGATTAGCAAGAGAATGACCGCGTTAGCTTTCCCATGCAGAGGGAACGTGCAAAGACCGTCTGCAAGTGAACACGAGAGGAGGGTCTGCAATGGATCCAAACAAGTCACATGCAAGGACAGAGCGCCTTTCGATTCAGTCAGACCGCGGACCCTGGCGGCATCCTACACAAAATAAGGTTAGTTGTCTGCTGTATGAACTGGGTTCTCCATGTTCCTATGTTTGCTGCCCCTTTATTTAGCTAAAAGACCTACCATGCCAATCGGAATGAAGTCACTTGCTTTGAGAACTACTGTGGCCGCCGATTTCTCTCTCGACTGCCCGTCTCAATATCATCAATGACCACCAACATGCCAGATCTCAAACTTTCCGTCGAACTGCACAACCACTAGGGAAGGCGAACGAACTGTGGTCGACTTATTTGACATGAGGGCTTTCCATTGTGCTAGATAGAAAGACAAGTACAGCCAAAAGAAAAAGATCGGTTTTTGATTGAAACCCTGGAACCCTGGAGGCAACCTAGATGTTGTAAAAGAGAGACAACCTGATAAGCCTGTTCCATCGCCAAATGCTTGGACTCCGCGATGAGAAGCCAATCGTCCAAGTATGCTGAGATCCTGATTCCTAGAGAGCGCAAGTGTTCTAATATGGGCCTGCAAACTTTGGTGAAGACAAAGGGACTTGTGGACAAGCCGAAGGCGGTCGTACAATATTGGTAAACTTGGCCTTTCCAAGTTAGACGTAAGAACCTTCTCGAAGCTGGGTGAAGACCTATGTGCAGAAATGCGTCGGACAAGTCGATAGAAACTAGATAATCGTTGGGTTTGATCATTAGAGCCACTTCCCGAATAGTTTCCATCTTGAAATGAGGGGCATCCAGATATTGATTCAGCCGTTTGAGGTTGAAGACTGGTCGAACGCCGCCATCCTTCTTCGGGATGACAAACATTGAGCTGTAAAAGCCTGGTGTTTGACGGACTTCCGTGTTGGAAACGGGTTCGATTGCTTGCTTGGACAATAAGTCTTGGATTGCCTGATCTATCAATGGAGTCTGTTCCGGGCCAAAAGGCTGGATGGGCGTTGGTGTTGTTGTCGTTGGTGGTTGTGTGTGGAATTGAATTTTGTAGCCGTGTGCGATTGTGGTGTCGACGAATGAGTTGATTGAAATTTGAGTCCAATGTGTATAAAACTTGCTGAGCCGACCTCCGACTGGGTCGGATGTTGCTGTTGTACGAGCCGTTGTTGAGATTACTGACGAAAAGGGTTGGTGTGCTTCTTGTTGTTGTAGCTGCTGTTGTTGTTGGCACGAAAGGTGTTGTTGTTGTTGTTGTTGTTGCGGCCGCTGTGGTTGCTGTTGTTGGTGTTGTTGTTGGTGTTGTTGCTGTTGTTGTTGAAACCACCCTGCTGAGAGGGTGGACCTGATCGAAAAAACTGCTGGTCGGGAAAACTCGAGAAAGAACCAGAAGATTGAGAGTAGTCATTGGGAGCCCGACGACGTTGACGTTTATTGTTAGTCGCTTCTCGAGTAGCCTTGCGTGCTGTAGTTTGTTGAATCAATGTGTGTTGGAACTCGTCAAAAGGGAGCGTGTAATTGACCTCGTTACCAGCTTTCAACGAAAAGGAAGGATTGATGGCACGAAGAGCGATATTGTTACGAGCGTGAGTCATAGAGGCACCGACATGCAATAAGAGCTTGCGGATATCACGAAGCATTGTACAATAGCGTTCCAAATTAGGGTTGTCCGCTTCAGAGGTGACCAATTCATGACTGAGAATGTCAAGAGGGCGGTAAACAGCTGACAATTGATATTGCAGTTGCTTTAAGGAGTTGTCCTCATAGCGCTGACCTTTGTTCATTGCACGTTCCGCTGTGGGGATAGTAGCCGGAGCCTTGTAGTCCACGTGCGCCATGGGAGGGTAGGACTCGATGATGGTTTTACGTTCTGAGTCAGAGAGTAGCGACGAAGTGTGCAATGGAACATCCAAATTCATCAATTCAGTAAGACCTTCAGAAGGAGACCAATCGTAATGGGGTCGAGTACCCATGGAGTGTAAGGGAAGGGTAGCAGTGTCATACGCTGACTGCATAGGAGTAGTAGTAGCACCGTGGAGTTGTTCCTGTAGAGCAACAATTTGTTGTTGCATCATGTGTAATTGTTCTTCCAGGGGCGACATTGGGAAGTTGAAATTGAGAAAAATGGAAGGGATAGAATAGAGATGTGAGGAAGCTGGTAATGACCGAGCGAAAAAGAAGATTAATGTATATCAATTGGATTTATTGCCTTTATATATCTTTGAATTCGCTATGAAATAAAGGTTCGAGAAGAATTTAGCATAATAACATTTCCTATTTTGTTCTGACGGTCTCAAGAGATTCTTACGAGAAATTTCTTTCGACCTAGAACTTATCACACTACCACTTTCGTTTAAAATCAGAATTATGTAATCACATTATGACTATGAAACGTTCTTCATTGTGTCGAGTAGACAAAAAAAAATTAACAATGCTCGTGCTATTTGTCCTTGTCCTTCGTATGGATTGGGGAGGGAGGGAGCCTAATAAGTTCATGTTAAGTGCTTGATTCCTTTTTATCATCCGCCCTATGCCCCTATCCATCCTAAGCTATATCATTATGCTTACCCGCACTACGTCTCCAGCTGGTGCTGGTAATGTTGGTGCTGGTGGTCCTTTAAGCTGGTTGATGCGTTGTGTTGAACGTAATTTCGATTTCGGCAAACTGTTGAGAAGGTTCCTCAGCCTGCACCGTGTTCAGGTGAGTCAGCAGACCGAGCCACAAAGATCCCGGGCAGCTGTGGTACTCTCTTAGACTGAGATTTCTCATTACATACAACATTAAGCTATGTAGAAGGAAACACATTGAAGATCATACTTACAGTCGCATCCGAGCTCTGAATTTTGCCCTAGACCCACAAAATGCCAACGTAACAATATTTGAACGACACGATCTTCTGTATCGCGGTACTGGCGAGCATCGTGAGACAAAATCTTCAAAACACTGTATGATAAGAGCAATAATAGTCCTGCTCTTAGAAACTATGAACACGTTGTTAAGACGTATGGTCACGGTGTAAAACAAAATAGTTTCTTTGTACCCAAGAAGCATCCAGATGTGGATATACGCATGCTCGCCATGTATATCCTGACGAGCAACAAATCTACAGTTCGTGCATATTAAGCGTCTGCACTGCCAAATGCAACGGTCGACGCCTTTGCCGGGTGCATCGTGCGCTGCTTTCCGCACGTTTTTCAAATGCGAGCATTTGTGTCGCTCGCGTGTTTTTTGCTACTGATCGTCAGTGTTTTGACATCCGGGACGTTCACTTCTTTATACGCTGCCAAAACTTCGCTTGGCGATCACCATGTTCGTTTCGACTGTTTACAAAACCGAAACGCTCGTACTTCTTGAAAGATTTATATACTGGTTAGTTAAGATAAGTAGAAAATGAAATATGTGTGAGCGGAAAGCAGGCAGAAAGAACTACGTGGAAATCGCATAAGAACAAAAAAGTGTAGTTATGGAGTGGAAAGCACGGCAGAACGAACTACGTGGACATCGCATAACGACAAAAAAGTGTAGTTATGGAGCAGAAAGCACGGCAGAACGAACTACGTGGACATCGCATAACGACTCGGGTTACAACGAGTGGGAACCAAAGCAGAACAATGTGCTATGGGTCCATCAAGAACCCTTTGACAATAATCGTAAGCGGTAATTAGGAAGAAAAAATCTGTTTTATACTAAAAATAAATGCAAGCGTTAGTTTTAGCTTTGATTCCAGATGACATAACGACGATCCCTCCATCCTCTTTTTTTTTTAATGTAAAATTCAAGGAGACCATAACTTACACCTTCCCTTATCAATACGATGAACCGGCACCAATGCGAGAGAATGTTAATATACTATCAAAAAAAATATCAGAAAAAGATTTAAACAATATTACTCTATGATAAGAACTCTCTTACCAGTTTGAATGTGTTGTTGTGTGGGTGAAAAGAGAAAGAAAAAACCCAATTTTGGTGGCGGTGCAATTTTCTCTCAAGTTGGGGAAATCGGATTGTGTGCTTGCATATTGTTGCTCCGTTAAAATTGCATCAATCATTTCCATGGCAACCGAAGAAGTTGATAAAGGTGGGGGAAACAAAGGAACTCATGTAGAAGAGCGCCTTTAACGCGTAATAAACTAAATTATATTTTTTACAAGTTATTCGCGATTACCTGCAAAACGAACAGGATCCTAGCATCGCTGATTTCGTTGACAAAAATCTCGACTTCATCACTCAAAACACTCCTTTTGGGAAATCGGCTGACAGATTTTGGTCAGGAATAATACAGAAACAAGCACACCAATTGAACAAGGCTCTGGTAAGTACTTTTCTGTGACAGATCTGCCATATATTACTATAACAACATATTAAATCAATTAAAATACATAAGACCAAAAGCAGAGTCAGCTGGAGAAAATTGTTCGGTAAGCTTTCGTGTATGGTTGGTCTTCTTTTGTTCTCGCGTTCTAGTTATTATGCCAGTATTGATATAAAAGCTGTGTCGTGGCTGACTTACAGCGGTTTCGATTAGAAACCAGCGTCAAGAAGTATTGGTCAGGTTGCTGAGCGGATCTATCATTTATCTGGTTTTTCTTTTCATCGTCACAGACCCTGGTCGTGTATAAATAGCTGTAGAAAACAAGTGAAGGATAGTTCATTCATTCTTTTTGAATTAAACAGCAATCTCGAAGACTTCTAGTCCCTTTCTATTGTTGAACACCACATTTTTTCTTCAATTTTGACTACCAATCTATCCTACCACTATGAACAGCCAAGCCACTTTCGATTTCAAGAAGGCTCAAGCCACTGAAGACCTTACCATAGAGGAAGTTGTTGGCGAGTCGTCCCGTTCCCCAGGCATCTCCAGTGTCGAGAAGGACATCTATGCCCAGCCTGTAGCAGATGGTAGCACCACCGCCATGTTATCGAGCTTGGAGTCCAAGCATGCTGACCCGCAGGTCATTGCTTGAGACTTTTTGAGGTCTATAAGGCCCAATTAGAGCAACTTTTGTTGGAAGCACTTCGCCTCGAGGATGTGCAAGCACCCGCTGAGCAGAAGGCATACCATCAACGCCTTGTTGCTGCTGCCACTGAGCGAGCCCGTGTGTATAAAACGCCGGTGCCATTGTGAAGTGTGTCAAGCAGGAGAATGGACCCAAGATTCCTTTGAAGGATCTGCCCGTTTTCCAAATCAAAAACAGTGTCAGAGACAAGACCAAAGAGGTTTTTTCATCTGTCAACGACTTTTTGACCAAGTTTGAGGTCGTGGTTCGCTACCACAATGCTTCGCCAGAAGATTGCTGGGAAACCACCATGCTGCCAACATTGTCGACCGAGCAATTGTCTTGGTTCCAACGTCACTTAGCGGACAAACGTCTGTCTTGGTCGCAAGCCAAGAAAGCATTCAACCTGAAATATGGTGGTGCTTCGTAAGCAGTTGCCATCTCAGACCAGTTGCATGCAATGAAACTTAGACCAAGAGAGAACTTGATCAAGTACACTGACAAGTACAACAAGCTCATGCACGATGCCGAGGAGGAGGACAGCAAGACTTGGGGTCAAATCTTTGTCCGGTCACTCACTCCAGAGCTGCAGATGGCCGTGAAGGTGGCTTACGCTACCTCTACCAAGGATCAGCCTCTCAATGTTGCAAAGGCGACCGAACTGCTGAGCATTGTGTACGACGGGTACAAAGATGCTGGCCAAGACGTCAACAATTGGTCACTATCTGATGATGATGGTGAAGAACATGACCGCAGACCTGCTAAGAAAGCAAGAAAGCAAGAGTCGCGAGTGACCAGTGTCGTCGCCACCCCACATCCAACCACACCAATGGCTAATGTTTCTCGAGAAAGCCCGAGTCCTCTTCTCAAAAGAGAGACAAAGGTAAGGAACGAGCCGGAACCAAAGTCAATGAAGAACACTGCTGGTTTTGCAGCCGCATTCGTGTCGATGGTCACAAGTGCAAAGAGTATCTCGAGCACAAGCAAGCAAGAGAAAACAATATGAACAAAACAACGACGTGCCCAATTGGAATAGGAAAGGGCTCAGTCCGCAACCTCAGCCGCCACCATAGCAACCCAACCAGCAGGACCTCCTTCCGGTCACTGACATGGATTTGGATTTCACGCTGTCATTGACAAGGCAAATCAAGGTATGCAGCAGCGATCCTTTATATGAGATCTGGCGCAAAAGGGATGAGCGTTCACAGAACAACACTAACGATTCTATTTTCGTTCCTATCACGGTACAGAATAATAGAACCTTGGGACTCTGTGACAGCGGCGCAAATTTTTCTAGTCTGAGCAATAAATTTTGCCAACAAAATAAAATACATTTTACAAAGCAAACTGTTCCTATCCATGAGGCAGCGAAAGGCCATATCGCTATGAGCAATGGCATCACTGACCCTGTGACAATCATTCACAATGGTATTCAGACAACACATCGATTCTATGTGCTTGATATGACAGATGACACAGAGGTTTCACTCGGTCTTGACATCATGAACAAAATTGGAATTTTCTCGGAGGTTTGGCCCGGTCATGGGACACCCCAACACAGGTAGTTGAAAACACCGATGAGTATCAAACTCCGGATGAAACGCCTGCTGGAACCCCAGAAGAAAGAGACGCCTTTTTCTCTACTGTTTCTCCCATTCTCGAAGCCAACAAACGGATACCACCTGGAGCATTTTGCAATATCCCAGAAGCCGTTGTGCGCATCAAAACAATTCCTGGAAAGACAGTCTACACGCGACAATATGATCTTCCACCGAAACTTAATTCTCTTCTGGATGAGACCATATCAAAATGGCTCGCCGATGGTCTTATACAAGAAGCACCAAGTAACACGGAGTTTAACAACCCAATTATCTTTGTGCCCAAGAAAGACGCTGCTGGTAACCTCGTTGACAGAAGGCCCTGCCTAGACTTGCGCGCCCTTAACAGGATTCTCATTGAAGATGATCGCTTCCCATTACCATTGGTGAAAGACGTACTTCAGACTCTTAACGGAGCTAAAGTGGTGACACGACTCGATGTCAAGTCGGCATTTCACAAACTGCCTATTCCAGACCCGGTTGACCAGTCCAAACTAGCCTTCACTCATCGAGGGAAGCAATGGGTCTATAAAGGTGGGGCTTTTGGCCTAAAATTTTTGAGCAACCAATTTTGTCGGTGCCTTGCTACTATCACAAACGGAATGCGTTGTATTTCCTTTGTGGACGATGTATACGTTTATGATACAGATTTGGCTTCACATAGCGCCAATGTCGCAGCTGTGGTATCCAAACTGACCGAATGCAATTTGCTACTGAATCACGAGAAATCTGGCTTTGCACTATCACGCACCAATGTTTTGGGTTTTGTAGTAGGCGAATCAGGGATATTCTTGGATCCAAAAAAGACATCCAATATACAATCGATTGACAGACCTCAAACAGGCAAAGAGGTGATGCGTTTCTTGGGCATTGCAAATTATATGCGCACCCACCTGCCACGATTTTCGGATCTGACAGCACCTTTGGACAAGCTACGCAATGTACAAAAGATCGGCGATCTATGGACTCATGAGTGCCAACAGAGCTTTGAAAACATCAAGCTAGCCCTTACTCGAGCACCTACTTTGAGCCAATTTCGACCAGACTTGAAATGCTACCTTGGTACCGACGCGAGCAATGTTGGAATTTCCGCAATCTTATTCCAAAAGCATCCGCGCACAGACAAAGATGGTAACACACAATACGTCATCAAGTACATTGGCTTTATGGCGCGATCTCTTTCTCCATCCGAGACCCGCTGGAGTGTAACTCGACGCGAGTTGCTCGCTGTGGTATTTGGCTTACAGAAGTTTCATAAGTATCTCTGGGGCACAGATATTCCATTCGAGATCCAAACTGATCATCGCGCACTTGTCTATCTCAACTCCCAAAAGTATGCCAACAGCATGATGATGAATTGGTGGGACACACTGCTTGATTACTCTTTTACCGTTGTACACATCCCAGGAGTTACAAACGTTATTCCCGATGCCTTGTCTCGCTTATTCCCGCCTAACGAAGAGCTGGTGGGGGGTAATGACGTGAACACATCGAACTCGAGGACAAAAGACGCTCTTGTTACACGTGCTGCAAAGACAACGGTACCTGAAGATGCTATGTCACCACCTGATACTGAATCACGTAACCAAGTTATTAGTGATCTACACAACCACATCCACGAGCTATTTGATCCAGAATACAAAAGCTTGCCTAGTAATGAGCGAAAGGATTTGCTGTTGAAGAAACACTTATTTGGTCACTTTGGCGCAGATGCTATCGTGCGAGCTGTTCATGCTGACGGTCTCCACTGGAAGAACCTGAAACAAGATGCTATTGAAACAGTCAAGCAATGTAAGCAATGCATGCAGCACAATGTAGTCCAAAAAGGTTACCATCCACTACAATCCATCGAGAGCAATTTACCTGGTGATCATTGGGCAATTGACTTTGCGGGACCCTATGACCTCTCACATGATGGAAATTTATACCTCATGGTGATGATCGACATTTTCAGCAAGTTTTGTTTATTACGCGCTGTACCAGACAAAACTTCCCCGACTGTTGCTACACATCTTATCAAAATAATAGCTGACTTCGGACCAATGCAAATATTACAAAGTGACAATGGCCGCGAGTTCGTTAATGAATTGATGAACTTGGTATGCAAACAAGCTGGTATTGATAGACGTTTGATATCACCATATCATGCACGTGCTAACGGTGCGGCAGAGCGGATGGTACAAACAGCTAAACGAGCCATACACAAGATGATTGACGGCCAAGTCAAAGACTGGGATCGACATGTACCTTTTGTTCAGTTGGCCTATAATGCACGAATCGCGCCCATACACAATTCAGCTCCATTCTCACTTATGTTTGGAAGAAGGATGAACGCGTTCAAGGACTATCGGAGTGATACACCCAGTCCTGAGGAGCCACTTGCCCCATATGATGACACAGACCTGAGGAAAAGAATTGATGCCATGGCAAAAATTGTTGTGCCAGCCATCAGCCAACGCATCCGCAACGTTCGACAAGCTGCTCAAGATAAATTTAACAAGACCCATCGACTCATCGAATTCCCCATCGGTTCCCTGGTTGCAATTGAAGACAAAATACGCACACGTAAAACGGATCCAAAATATGAAGGACCTTTTGTGGTACATTACAAAACAGACACAGGGGCATACATCCTCAAGGATAAGACCGGTGACATTATCAGGCCGAGCTTCCCTCCAAGTGCGTTAAAGAGCGTATCTGAGGATCCACTCCTGAGAGATGATAAGCATTATGTGATCGATTGTATTATAAACCACCGTGGCAAACCAGGAGAATACGAGTACAAGGTTCGATGGAAGGGCTATGATTCATCTGAGGATACTTGGGAACCACCAGAGAGCTTCGACTCCCCGTTCCTTATCCAGCAGTACTGGCGGAGACGTAATGATCCCACCAGAAATTCTATTGCCGAACGAGTTGCAGGACGCAAACGAAGACGCCCGTAATCGACCTACTTTCAGATCACCACTTCTTCTTTCCGGTTGCAACAACCTGGAGGGGGGTTATGTCGTGGCTGACTTACAGCGGTTTCGATTAGAAACCAGCGTCAAGAAGTATTGGTCAGGTTGCTGAGCGGATCTATCATTTATCTGGTTTTTCTTTTCATCGTCACAGACCCTGGTCGTGTATAAATAGCTGTAGAAAACAAGTGAAGGATAGTTCATTCATTCTTTTTGAATTAAACAGCAATCTCGAAGACTTCTAGTCCCTTTCTATTGTTGAACACCACAAGCTGTAACTATTGCTACTTCTTTTGAAACCATCAACAATATAATAATAACAACAATGCAATGCGTACAGCTTCCACACCCAGCAATAACAACACGGCTATCTCGCCTATTGCACCTGTTCCTAGTTCCTCATCACCTTCGCATCTATTGTCATCCTTTTCCTTACCTACTCTAAAAGCAAGAATCTGCCAACAAGATAAGGATGCCTTACGTGAACGTTTTCGAAAGTTCATAGACGTGCATAAAAAAGACTTCTGGTTATTGGACTCCACAAAGGCATAAGCAGCAGAGGAAGGAACTGATCTTGTGTCCGTAGAGGAAAAAGTTATGGACTTTGCACTGAAGTGCGATTTTTATCAGTAAGCAAAAAACATTATCTTTGATTTGAATTTAATAGTCAGTTGATAAATGATTTTTACTGGTCTTTTTTTAGCCCGTCTCAGAGGGTTAAGCACTATGCCTATAGTTGAGATTTTATAATAAATTATATATAAATTATTGAATTTTTTTAACTTCAGAGTTTTAAATTATGCATATTAAAAAAATTTATTTAAAAAAAATTGAATTTGTTTTATTATATAAAAAGTATTATCGTAATGGTTTGTCTAAATGAATTTCTACCACTCAATCACATTCAGCTATCTTTATGTTTACGTAATGAATTAGATACCTTTATACAATCTGAATTTGATCATTTTATAGAACAAAATATAATTAAAAATATTAAAAAAAAATTAATAAAAAAATAAAGGATTTATTTTCAACAGACTATTTTCTATATCTTTCTATAGATAAACTGGTCCCTCCGCTTCGCTTCCGGACGATGTGAGCCCCTCCGCTTCGCTGCGTGTCAGCATCTGTCCTCCAGGGACCAGTTTACTGGGGCTCTGCCCCAGACCCCGGGTGGGGGCAATGCCCCCTACCACCCCCCTTTTACCTTCAAACAATGCTGAAAATTTGTTCTGCTTGACAGGAGTGAGAATGGTGTTTTTTATAATTTTGGTCTTGAAGTCATTGTCGTCACTGCACTAAAAATGCCTAAAGGCTCTTTCAGATTAAGATTATGTAGCTGATTACTGTGTCAGCTACTCGAGTTAATGCACTCCGAACTCTCAGACGATTCATGTCCAATACCCGGGCAATCCTCGCAACTGAACAGATCGTGTTCAGCTTCTTCGTAAAATTTACAGGTCAAAATCTTAGAGGTGGAATTCTCTTGCTCTTGAAACGGGTATTGGACAATTGTTGAGGTGGAAATTCTGGGACATCATGAAAGGTGTGATTGTTGCACCCTATACCTAGGCCGTTGTGTTCGCTCTATCATACTTACTAAAAATGTGATTGTTACACCCTAAAATAAGCACGCTTTGTTCGCTCTACCTACTAAAGATGTGACCGTACACCCTAAACAAAGCTCGCTTTGCTCGCCCTACTTACTTACCAAAGCAAAGGCCCGAAATTCTATTATTTGTTACGATCTAGATGCTTTTGCTAATATGACATTGATAATTATATTTGCAGGACGTTCCCTCCCGCTGACCCTCCCGTTAGGGCGCTGCCCCGCTCTAAACCCGAAGCTGTAAAAGGTGGGGCAGCGACAGCAGGAGAAGTTGGTGGAGGCGAACTGTTGATGATAGGTGCAGGTGATGGTGGCGAGGTAGTAGCTATAGGAAGTGTAGCAGGAGGATTGTCAGTAATCTTCAGCGAATATTGCATTATCACCAAAAAATTAGTAAGTACACAGTACCGCAGTTGATAGGGTTAAGTGGGCATTCTCTATGATTACGCCTACTGCCTACGATGGGTGCTCGAGCCACAGATACAAAACGTAGGCGCAAAAGTTTTTACAAAAACGAACTATCTGTAGCTTTATAAGCAAACAGCTGCAGCAGTAATATTCAAATACACATGGTTAAAATATGCGTTGCCTATTCTACTGAAACACTGCGAGAATGCACTGGACATGGCTCATTGCGATCCGAGCCACAGTGACAGACATGATCGGTCGACTGCTTTGTCGAGAAATGTGCAGAAAAAAAATAGTTAGTAAATTTGTAGCTCATCTAGAGCAGTCTGTCAGAATCCCGGCTAACGGTGCAAAATGCTCAACGATTTTTACAGAAAGACATCAAATGTCGTTGATGGCAAATGAAATCAAGTAGCACACCTCTTCAGAGCTCATATTGAGAAATGCAATGTGGTAATAGTCTAGGAAGACGGCACAAAGTTGAAGTTTACCCAAGTCTCCCAGGAACGTGCAACGTTAAAAAAGCATGGCCGTTACAAAGTGAAATTTCCAAATCTGGATTTTACGCTGGGATTGAAATCGTAAGCACCCTTCCCTATTTAATAGAAGATAATAGCTTCTGTACTCATAAGTTTAAAAGAGGAAAAGATGAAGGTAAATTCTGTGGAAAAAAAATACCTAAAAAAGGTGATAAAAAGAAATTTGTTTGTAGGAAACATAACCGAAATCATATTCTTGAAAAAAGAAAAAAAATTGAAAATTTTATACAAAAGGTAGATGATCCTATCATGAAAAAGAAAAAAAAAACAAAAAAGAAAACTAATAAAAATAACTATTGGAAATCCTTTTTTCTTATGTTTTAATAACATTTTACCTTAGATTTTATAATTCTATATCAATGTTATGCTTTTCAATATATGCTATCAGTAAATCTTTTTCATTAAATTTATCACTTGATAACCAACTATTATGTTTATGCCCGTAATTTTTCCATTTAATTGAAAACATATATGTATTATTTTCATATTTATGCCTAATAATCTGTTCGATTTCATATGACTCACTAGAACTTCCTATATTTCTTATAGATTGTATATTATTTTCTCTTTCTTTTCCTTTACCTTTTCTTCTTCGTTTCTTTTCATTGAATTTTGGTATATCATCATTACTACTATCTTCTTTATTTTTATCACTATAATCATCAACTTCCATTCGTTCATTATTTATATCTAAAGATAATAAATTTTTTTGTAATTCTAACATTTCATCTTTTCTTTTTGCTTGTTCTATAGAATTACTAATAACAATATCTATTAATTTAGCTTCAAATGGAAATTCAAAATTTTTAGTTTCCCATAATTTGTGATGAGGTTGTATATTTATATTGAATTTATCACTGAATTTCTGTATATTTTTTAGTAAACATGCTAAACGGAACTGTAGATTATAGAATTTAATATTATCTATTTTGGCAATTGAATTACTACTACTAAATCTATTAAATTTATTACCTATTTCTGAAAATTGATTTTCAACTTTTGAACGAAAACTTCCAAAAACATCATTAAAATGTCTTTCATCAGCATTCAAATCAATATTAACTTCCTTTCTAATAGGATATATAAAACTACTATTATTGAAATCAATACCTTTTTCACTGGATAATTCAATGAACTAGTTGATAAAAAGTGTATAACCACCATCCATTGCTAAAACATCATAATTATTTAATTTATTATATAATTTCATATTTAAAAACATAGATCCATCAGAACTTTCTGCACACATATCAGATTTTGAAATATATAGTACCATATCATTTACATCACTAATAATTTATGTTCTGAGACCATTTTTTTAAATTTATACGAAAATAATTTTTCACGTTTTATATCTGTATTAACATAATTAATTCTACTATCATGACCATCAATTATTAATGTTATATGTTTAAATAGTGATGGATTATGTTTATGAGCTAATAATACTCTTAATTTTATATTTGAAAACATATTTAATAATGATTTATTTATAATTTTATTTATTCTTTTATAATTTTCTTCATCTATCCAAAATTTCTTATAATATTTATGAAAGCTACTTTGTGGAAGATATTTATTTATTTCTATTCCAGAAATACCTGAAACTAAATGATACAATAAAAATAATCCTTTTTCAATTTCAAAATATGGTCCCGGATATTCCTTATTCGTATAAATTACTGTCAAAAAGAAGAAAACTACAATATATCCTAATTTATCTACTAATTCTTTTTTTATTTCATCTATTAATTTTATATGTTTTATTTCAGTTCTATGTTTATAATTATATTGTATGATAGGCCAGTTTTTATCCAAAAATCCCCAATTATTAATAACAATTTTATCTACTTCATTATTTATTTGTTCTTCAATATTATATTCTGATTCCATATTTAATTACTTTTTTATTATTTATTATAGAATTCAATTTTGAAAATTCTCAACTACTAGAATTAATCTCAACCCTTTAATAATTCTCAAGTCTTTGTTTACATAAAAAACAGCAACTAAGGTTTAACCCCCTCAGTCGCTAATCTTGGACCTCACTGACAAGAATTGGCGTTCAGTTTTCACCGAAGCTGAATTGAATGAGATCATAAACGAAGGTGGGCCACTTCAATGTCAAGAACCAGAATTTCTTAAAGAATACTACAGAGAATTAAAAGGCGTCGTATGTATATATGATAATGAAAAAGAACAACGATAACATCAGCAACAGTACTATATGCTTATCTTTCTCTATAAAGAAAACAAGTGTCGAAGTTTTTAAATATGCCAGGAGCATAGAAATCGATGACCCTTCCACCGAACATCTAAAGGTGTGGTTCGCGACGGAACTACAAAACATTGCACGTCTTTTTCTCAGAACCAAGTCATTCAGCATTACCAATATGCCCGAAACAGATCAGCAGTACCTTCCATTTGGGCTGCTTAATACTATATTCCTTGGGTCTGACGTTGTAGCAAAAGGGTAAGATATTAGACGGCTGAAGATAGTAGAGCAAATTACATACAATCTAATAATCTTTTTTCGTTCTACAGCACCGAGATTTCGAGCGAAGCGAACGCCAATGCCATCAATTCATCCCGGCAATTATCATCAATCACTGCCATCTCGAATCGAAGGATGGGTCGCAGGGGCGATACAATTTTTAAATATGGATCGAAAGAGCTGGGATGCTCTGAAGTTGGAGCCGCTCGTGATCAAACGAAAGCGTTCCGTGACAGTGCGATCAAGTTGCCTTTAGTGCTAATAGACATGCTGCTTTCGGTCACTTACCATCCAAGTCTTCTTTATGCATGTCACGTCACTGGATATAGTGTTTCAGGTCAATATACTTTTTGTACCAAACTCCTGGATAAAAGATGCTACTTTATACACGAAGCATGTATTAACATAGAAGTACTTCTTGATATATTCATTAGGTGGTAGTGCAGCACTTTTGGATGTCGACGTCCCTGCTGGACTCATTACACGCATAAGAAAAACCGAGCCATTGGAGTTTCCCCACACCGACTCAAACTTGATTTCTCGATTACTCCCGCTAATGACTCTCGCATACAATGGAAGAAGAATTGTAGATGAAACCGTTGAATTGTTAGATGATGTCGCTCAGCCATTAACAATGTCAACAGGTGGCAACCATTGGTGCCTTCCCCCAAACTTTCTTTTATCATCATCATCATCGTCATCATCAACACCATCATCATCATCAAAAAAAAGAAAGATATCACAATGATTCCACACTCACTTTACCTCAAGTTCAATGTCTTTTTCTAACACTGATATATACCAACAATTCATTCATTCGTTCAAAACTTACATCTCCAACATTTTCGACATCTCTCCTACATTTCGCCAACAAAAACAAAATACTTTAAAACGTAAAATGTGCACCGATCATACAATAAAAATTATTTGGTTATTATGATGCTGCATAATATTTCATGCTTATAAAATCATCACAAACGCTTCTTTTCATTGATGGCATGGTATATGTAACGTACGTTCTTGTCTTTAGGATGAAACATTACTGTACATAATAACGAAGCATATTGTATATAACAAATTATGGCAGATGGCTCTTATATGATATCTAATAGGACCAGTGAGGGAGTAGCATTTGAGATATGAAGAGCTATGAGATGATAGTGTAACGTCTTAGTTTGTGTAAGAGTTACGAATCCCGTTTAATAGGATGGATAGTATAAGAAAAGTTGATAAATCTGGATGAAATGCTAAGTATTAAGCAAAAGAGATGAAATAGAAGTAGGGGTCGCAATCTGACCCGCGGGTCAAAACCGACCCGCGGGTTGAGGACGGGTCAATGGGTCAGGTTGATGCTTTTCTGACCCGCGGGTCAACCCGTCTAACCCTTGACCCGACCCGTTGACCCGTTGTGACCCGTGTATACATATGATATCTATGAGGTACTTGTATTCAAGTAGTCAATCTTCTTGTTGGAAAGGATCATTATATTAAAGATGTAGTTGTCAATATGTCTGCTATAGAACTGTAACATAAAACGTACTTATATTCTTTTTCATTGTGGGATCATATTTTATATTCAAAAGTGTAAGATAAGTAAGCTATAAGCAATATATGTAATAGTAGTAAAGAAGTAGCAAAGTAAAGAAGCAGCAAAGTAAAGAAGTAGCAAAGTAAAGAAGTAGCAATAGTACAATGAGAATAGACAATAGAGAGTGGCAGTGAGAGACGAGATTTGACAAAAGACGTAGAAGGAATTAAGAAAAGAGAAATGAAAGAAGAAGGAAGAAATGAAAAGAAAAGGGAAAAGGGAAAAGGATTAGGGGCATTTAAAGGAAGTCGATTTTTAACCACACTTTAACCATTATGCTTTCTTTAATGCATGTGAGCGCAAACGATTTCTTTTGTTATGGCACAAACCCTTTACCTTTAAGAATAATCACACAAAACGTAGATATTGCTAGCAGTGCTAGGAATTTGTGTGCCATCATCCTAGAGAGCTGTGTATACATGTAGTTTTGCACTTCCAGTGCTCAAGCTCAGGTTGATTGACACCTCCTTTGTCACCAAATCAAAATCAGTAGTGACCCGTCAACCCGAGTTTTGACCCGTCGGGTTGAACGGGTCGGGTCGGGTCAGTGTTTTCTTGACCCGTGGGTCAACAGGTCAGACCCTTGACCCGACCCGACCCGTCCAATTGTGACCCCTAGCCCTATCCATCCTAAGCTATATCATTATGCTTACCCGCACTACGTCTCCAGCTGGTGCTGGTAATGTTGGTGCTGGTGGTCCTTTAAGCTGGTTGATGCGTTGTGTTGAACGTAATTTCGATTTCGGCAAACTGTTGAGAAGGTTCCTCGGCCTGCACCGTGTTCAGGTGAGTCAGCAGACCGAGCCACAAAGATCCCGGGCAGCTGTGGTACTCTCTTAGACTGAGATTTCTCATTACATACAACATTAAGCTATGTAGAAGGAAACACATTGAAGATCATACTTACAGTCGCATCCGAGCTCTGAATTTTGCCCTAGACCCGCAAAATGCCAACGTGACAATATTTGAACGACACGATCTTCTGTATCGCGGTACTGGCGAGCATCGTGAGACAAAATCTTCAAAACACTATATGATAAGAGCAATAATAGTCCTGCTCTTAGAAACTATGAACACGTTGTTAAGACGTATGGTCACGGTGTAAAACAAAATAGTTTCTTTGTACCCAAGAAGCATCCAGATGTGGATATACGCATGCTCGCCATGTATATCCTGACGAGCAACAAATCTACAGTTCGTGCATATTAAGCGTCTGCACTGCCAAATGCAACGGTCGACGCCTTTGCCGAGTGCATCGTGCGCTGCTTTCCGCACGTTTTTCAAATGCGAGCATTTGTGTCGCTCGCGTGTTTTTTGCTACTGATCGTCAGTGTTTTGACATCCGGGAAGTTCACTTCTTTATACGCTGCCAAAACTTCGCTTGGCGATCACCATGTTCGTTTCGACTGTTTACAAAACCGAAACGCTCGTACTTCTTGAAAGATTTATATACTGGTTAGTTAAGATAAGTAGAAAATGAAATATGTGTGAGCGGAAAGCAGGCAGAAAGAACTACGTGGAAATCGCATAAGAACAAAAAAGTGTAGTTATGGAGCGGAAAGCACGGCAGAACGAACTACGTGGACATCGCATAATGACAAAAAAGTGTAGTTATGGAGCGGAAAGCACGGCAGAACGAACTACGTGGACATCGCATAACGACAAAAAAGTGTAGTTATGGAGCGGAAAGCACGGCAGAACGAACTACGTGGACATCGCATAACGACAAAAAAGTGTAGTTATGGAGCGGAAAGCACGGCAGAACGAACTACGTGGACATCGCATAACGACAAAAAAGTGTAGTTATGGAGCGGAAAGCAGTGGCAGAACGAACTACATGGGTTCATCGCATAACAACAAAAAAGTGTAGTTATGGAGGGAAAGCAGTGGCAGAACGAACTACATGGGTTCATCGCATAACTACTTGGGCGCAGACAGGAGCGGAAAGCAGCGGCAGAACGAACTACATGGGTTCATCGCATAACAACAAAAAAGTGTAGTTATGGAGCGGAAAGCAGTGGCAGAACGAACTACATGGGTTCATCGCAGCCTACTCGGGTTACAACGAGTGGGAACCAAAGCAGAACAATGTGCTATGGGTCCATCAAGAACCCTTTGACAATAATCGTAAGCGATAATTAGGAAGAAAAATCTGTTTCATACTAAAATAAATGCAAGCGTTAGTTTTAGCTTTGATTCCAGATGACATAACGACGATCCCTCCATCCTCTTTTTTTTTAATGTAAAATTCAAGGAGACCATAACTTACACCTTCCCTTATCAATACGATGAACCGGCACCAATGCGAGAGAATGTTAATATACTATCAAAAAAAATATCAGAAAAAGATTTAAACAATATTAATCTATGATAAGAACTCTCTTACCAGTTTGAATGTGTTGTTGTGTGGGTGAAAAGAGAAAGAAAAAACCCAATTTTGGTGGCGGTGCAATTTTCTCTCAAGTTGGGGAAATCGGATTGTGTGCTTGCATATTGTTGCTCCGTTAAAATTGCATCAATCATTTCCATGGCAACCGAAGAAGTTGATAAAGGTGGGGGAAACAAAGGAACTCATGTAGAAGAGCGCCTTTAACGCGTAATAAACTAAATTATATTTTTTACAAGTTATTCGCGATTACCTGCAAAACGAACAGGATCCTAGCATCGCTGATTTCGTTGACAAAAATCTCGACTTCATCACTCAAAACACTCCTTTTGGGAAATCGGCTGACAGATTTTGGTCAGGAATAATACAGAAACAAGCACACCAATTGAACAAGGCTCTGGTAAGTACTTTTCTGTGACAGATCTGCCATATATTACCATAACAACATATTAAATCAATTAAAACACATAAGACCAAAAGCAGAGTCAGCTGGAGAAAATTGTTCGGTAAGCTTTCGTGTATGGTTAGTCTTCTTTTGTTCTCGCGTTCTAGTTATTATGCCAGTATTGATATAAAAGCTGTAACTATTGCTACTTCTTTTGAAACCATCAACAATATAATAATAACAACAATGCAATGCGTACAGCTTCCACACCCAGCAATAACAACACGGCTATCTCGCCTATTGCACCTGTTCCTAGTTCCTCATCACCTTCGCATCCATTGTCATCCTTTTCCTTACCTACTCTAAAAGCAAGAATCTGCCAATAAGATAAGGATGCCTTATGTGAACGTTTTCGAAAGTTCATAGACGTGCATAAAAAAGACTTCTGGTTATTGGACTCCACAAAGGCACAAGCAGCAGAGGAAGGAACTGATCTTGTGTCCGTAGAGGAAAAAGTCATGGACTTTGCGCTGAAGTGCGATTTTTATCAGTAAGCAAAAAACATTATCTTTGATTTGAATTTGATAGTCAGTTGATAAATGATTTTTACTGGTCTTTTTTTAGCCCGTCTCAGAGGGTTAAGCACTATGCCTATAGTTGAGATTTTATAATAAATTATATATAAATTATTGAATTTTTTTAACTTCAGAGTTTTAAATTATGCATATTAAAAAAATTTATTTAAAAAAAATTGAATTTGTTTTATTATATAAAAAGTATTATCGTAATGGTTTGTCTAAATGAATTTCTACCACTCAATCACATTCAGCTATCTTTATGTTTACGTAATGAATTAGATACCTTTATACAATCTGAATTTGATCATTTTATAGAACAAAATATAATTAAAAATATTAAAAAAAAAATTAATAAAAAAATAAAGGATTTATTTTCAACAGACTATTTTCTATATCTTTCTATAGATAATAGCTTCTGTACTCATAAGTTTAAAAGAGGAAAAGATGAAGGTAAATTCTGTGGAAAAAAAATACCTAAAAAAGGTGATAAAAAGAAATTTGTTTGTAGGAAACATAACCGAAATCATATTCTTGAAAAAAGAAAAAAAATTGAAAATTTTATACAAAAGGTAGATGATCCTATCATGAAAAAGAAAAAAAAACAAAAAAGAAAACTAATAAAAATAACTATTGGAAATCCTTTTTTCTTATGTTTTAATAACATTTTACCTTAGATTTTATAATTCTATATCAATGTTATGCTTTTCAATATATACTATCAGTAAATCTTTTTCATTAAATTTATCACTTGATAACCAACTATTATGTTTATGCCTGTAATTTTTCCATTTAATTGAAAACATATATGTATTATTTTCATATTTATGCCCAATAATCTGTTCGATTTCATATGACTCACTAGAACTTCCTATATTTCTTATAGATTGTATATTATTTTCTCTTTCTTTTCCTTTACCTTTTCTTCTTCGTTTCTTTTCATTGAATTTTGGTATATCATAATTACTACTATCTTCTTTATTTTTATCACTATAATCATCAACTTCTATTCGTTCATTATTTATATCTAAAGATAATAAATTTTTTTGTAATTCTAACATTTCATCTTTTCTTTTTGCTTGTTCTATAGAATTACTAATAACAATATCTATTAATTTAGCTTCAAATGGAAATTCAAAATTTTTAGTTTCCCATAATTTGTGATGAGGTTGTATATTTATATTGAATTTATCACTGAATTTTTGTATATTTTTTAGTAAACATGCTAAACGGAACTGTAGATTATAGAATTTAATATTATCTATTTTGGCAATTGAATTACTACTACTAAATCTATTAAATTTATTACCTATTTCTGAAAATTGATTTTCAACTTTTGAATGAAAACTTCCAAAAACATCATTAAAATGTCTTTCATTAGCATTCAAATCAATATTAACTTCCTTTCTAATAGGATATATAAAATTACTATTATTGAAATCAATACCTTTTTCACTGGATAATTCAATGAACTGGTTGATAAAAAGTGTATAACCACCATCCATTGCTAAAACATCATAATTATTTAATTTATTATATAATTTCATATTTAAAAACATAGATCCATCAGAACTTTCTGCACACATATCAGATTTTGAAATATATAGTACCATATCATTTACATCACTAATAATTTGTGTTCTGAGACCATTTTTTTTAAATTTATACGAAAATAATTTTTCACGTTTTATATCTGTATTAATATAATTAATTCTACTATCATGACCATCAATTATTAATGTTATATGTTTAAATAGTGATGGATTATGTTTATGAGCTGATAATACTCTTAATTTTATATTTGAAAACATATTTATTAATGATTCATTTATAATTTTATTTATTCTTTTATAATTTTCTTCATCCATCCAAAATTTCTTATAATATTTATGAAAGCTACTTTGTGGAAGATATTTATTTATTTCTATTCTAGAAATACCTGAAACTAAATGATACAATAAAAATAATCCTTTTTCAATTTCAAAATATGGTCCCGGATATTCCTTATTCGTATAAATTACTGTCAAAAAGAAGAAAACTACAATATATCCTAATTTATCTACTAATTCTTTTTTAATTTCATCTATTAATTTTATATGTTTTATTTCAGTTCTATGTTTATAATTATATTGTATGATAGGCCAGTTTTTATCCAAAAATCCCCAATTATTAATAACAATTTTATTTACTTCATTATTTATTTGTTCTTCAATATTATATTCTGATTCCATATTTAATTACTTTTTTATTATTTATTATAGAATTCAATTTTGAAAATTCTCAACTACTAGAATTAATCTCAACCCTTTAATAATTCTCAAGTCTTTGTTTACATAAAAAACAGCAACTAAGGTTTAACCCCCTCAGTCGCTAATCTTGGACCTCACTGACAAGAATTGGCGTTCAGTTTTCGCCGAAGCTAAATTGAATGAGATCATAAACGAAGGTGGGCCACTTCAATGTCAAGAACCAGAATTTCTTAAAGAATACTACAGAGAATTAAAAGGCGTTGTATATATACATGATAATGAAAAAGAACAACGATAACATCAGCAACAGTACTATATGCTTATCTTTCTCTATACAGAAAACGAGTGTCGAAGTTTTTAAATATGCCAGGAGCATAGAAATCGATGACCCTTCTACCGAACATCTAAAGGTGTAGTTCGCGACGGAACTACAAAACATTGCGCATCTTTTTCTCAGAACCAAGTCATTCAGCATTACCAATATGCCCGAAACAGATCAGCAGTACCTTCCATTTGGGCTGCTTAATACTATATTCCTTGGGTCTGACGTTGTAGCAAAAGGGTAAGATATTAGACGGGCTGAAGATAGTAGAGCAAATTACATACAATCTAATAATCTTTTTTCGTTCTACAGCACCGAGATTTCGAGCGAAGCGAACGCCAATGCCATCAATTCATCCCGGCAATTATCATCAATTACTGCCATCTCGAATCGAAGGATGGGTCGCAGGGGCAATACAATTTTTAAATATGGATCGAAAGAGCTGGGATGCTCTGAAGTTGGAGCCGCTCGTGATCAAACGAAAGCGTTCCGTGACAGTGCGATCAAGTTGCCTTTAGTGCTAATAGACATGCTGCTTTCGGTCACTTACCATCCAAGTCTTCTTCATGCATGTCACGTCATTGGATATAGTGTTTCAGGTCAATATACTTTTTGTACCAAACTCCTGGATAAAAGATGCTACTTTATACACGAAGCATGTATTAACATAGAAGTACTTCTTGATATATTCATTAGGTAGTAGTGCAGCACTTTTGGATGTCGACGTCCCTGCCGGACTCATTACACGCATAAGAAAAACCGAGCCATTGGAGTTTCCCCACACCGACTCAAACTTGATTTCTCGATTACTCCCACTAATGACTCTCGCATACAATGGAAGAAGAATTGTAGATGAAACCGTTGAATTGTTAGATGATGTCGCTCAGCCATTAACAATGTCAACAGGTGGCAACCATTGGTGCCTTCCCCCAAACTTTCTTTTATCATCATCATCATCGTCATCATCAACACCATCATCATCATCAAAAAAAAGAAAGATATCACAATGATTCCACACTCACTTTACCTCAAGTTCAATGTCTTTTTCTAACACTGATATATACCAACAATTCATTCATTCGTTCAAAACTTACATCTCCAACATTTTCGACATCTCTCCTACATTTCGCCAACAAAAACAAAATACTTTAAAACGTAAAATGTGCACCGATCATACAATAAAAATTATTTGGTTATTATGATGCTGCATAATATTTCATGCTTATAAAATCATCACAAACGCTTCTTTTCATTGATGGCATGGTATATGTAACGTACGTTCTTGTCTTTAGGATGAAACATTACTGTACATAATAACGAAGCATATTGTATATAACAAATTATGGCAGATGGCTCTTATATGATATCTAATAGGACCAGTGAGGGAGTAGCATTTGAGATATGAAGAGCTATGAGATGATAGTGTAACGTCTTAGTTTGTGTAAGAGTTACGAATCCCGTTTAATAGGATGGATAGTATAAGAAAAGTTGATAAATCTAGATGAAATGCTAAGTATTAAGCAAAAGAGATGAAATAGAAGTAGGGGTCGCAATCTGACCCGCGGGTCAAAACCGACCCGCGGGTTGAGGACGGGTCAATGGGTCAGGTTGATGCTTTTCTGACCCGCGGGTCAACCCGTCTAACCCTTGACCCGACCCGTTGACCCGTTGTGACCCGTGTATACATATGATATCTATGAGGTACTTGTATTCAAGTAGTCAATCTTCTTGTTGGAAAGGATCATTATATTAAAGATGTAGTTGTCAATATGTCTGCTATAGAACTGTAACATAAAACGTACTTATATTCTTTTTCATTGTGGGATCATATTTTATATTCAAAAGTGTAAGATAAGTAAGCTATAAGCAATATATGTAATAGTAGTAAAGAAGTAGCAAAGTAAAGAAGCAGCAAAGTAAAGAAGTAGCAATAGTACAATGAGAATAGACAATAGAGAGTGGCAGTGAGAGACGAGATTTGACAAAAGACGTAGAAGGAATTAAGAAAAGAGAAATGAAAGAAGAAGGAAGAAATGAAAAGAAAAGGGAAAAGGGAAAAGGATTAGGGGCATTTAAAGGAAGTCGATTTTTAACCACACTTTAACCATTATGCTTTCTTTAATGCATGTGAGCGCAAACGATTTCTTTTGTTATGGCACAAACCCTTTACCTTTAAGAATAATCACACAAAACGTAGATATTGCTAGCAGTGCTAGGAATTTGTGTGCCATCATCCTAGAGAGCTGTGTATACATGTAGTTTTGCACTTCCAGTGCTCAAGCTCAGGTTGATTGACACCTCCTTTGTCACCAAATCAAAATCAGTAGTGACCCGTCAACCCGAGTTTTGACCCGTCGGGTTGAACGGGTCGGGTCGGGTCAGTGTTTTCTTGACCCGTGGGTCAACAGGTCAGACCCTTGACCCGACCCGACCCATCCAATTGCGACCCCTAGCCCTATCCATCCTAAGCTATATCATTATGCTTACCCGCACTACGTCTCCAGCTGGTGCTGGTAATGTTGGTGCTGGTGGTCCTTTAAGCTGGTTGATGCGTTGTGTTGAACGTAATTTCGATTTCGGCAAACTGTTGAGAAGGTTCCTCGGCCTGCACCGTGTTCAGGTGAGTCAGCAGACCGAGCCACAAAGATCCCGGGCAGCTGTGGTACTCTCTTAGACTGAGATTTCTCATTACATACAACATTAAGCTATGTAGAAGGAAACACATTGAAGATCATACTTACAGTCGCATCCGAGCTCTGAATTTTGCCCTAGACCCACAAAATGCCAACGTGACAATATTTGAACGACACGATCTTCTGTATCGCGGTACTGGCGAGCATCGTGAGACAAAATCTTCAAAACACTGTATGATAAGAGCAATAATAGTCCTGCTCTTAGAAACTATGAACACGTTGTTAAGACGTATGGTCACGGTGTAAAACAAAATAGTTTCTTTGTACCCAAGAAGCATCCAGATGTGGATATACGCATGCTCGCCATGTATATCCTGACGAGCAACAAATCTACAGTTCGTGCATATTAAGCGTCTGCACTGCCAAATGCAACGGTCGACGCCTTTTCCGGGTGCATCGTGCGCTGCTTTCCGCACGTTTTTCAAATGCGAGCATTTGTGTCGCTCGCGTGTTTTTTGCTACTGATCGTCAGTGTTTTGACATCCGGGACGTTCACTTCTTTATACGCTGCCAAAACTTCGCTTGGCGATCACCATGTTCGTTTCGACTGTTTACAAAACCAAAACGCTCGTACTTCTTGAAAGATTTATATACTGGTTAGTTAAGATAAGTAGAAAATGAAATATGTGTGAGCGGAAAGCAGGCAGAAAGAACTACGTGGAAATCGCATAAGAACAAAAAAGTGTAGTTATGGAGCGGAAAGCACGGCAGAACGAACTACGTGGACATCGCATAACGACAAAAAAGTGTAGTTATGGAGCGGAAAGCACGGCAGAACGAACTACGTGGACATCGCATAACAACAAAAAAGTGTAGTTATGGAGCGGAAAGCACGGCAGAACGAACTACGTGGACATCGCATAATGACTCGGGTTACAACGAGTGGGAACCAAAGCAGAACAATGTGCTATGGGTCCATCAAGAACCCTTTGACAATAATCGTAAGCGATAATTAGGAAGAAAAAATCTGTTTTATACTAAAATAAATGCAAGCGTTAGTTTTAGCTTTGATTCCAGATGACATAACGACGATCCCTCCATCCTCTTTTTTTTTAATGTAAAATTCAAGGAGACCATAACTTACACCTTCCCTTATCAATACGATGAACCGGCACCAATGCGAGAGAATGTTAATATACTATCAGAAAAAATATCAGAAAAAGATTTAAACAATATTACTCTATGATAAGAACTCTCTTACCAGTTTGAATGTGTTGTTGTGTGGGTGAAAAGAGAAAGAAAAAACCCAATTTTGGTGGCGGTGCAATTTTCTCTCAAGTTGGGGAAATCGGATTGTGTGCTTGCATATTGTTGCTCCGTTAAAATTGCATCAATCATTTCCATGGCAACCGAAGAAGTTGATAAAGGTGGGGGAAACAAAGGAACTCATGTAGAAGAGCGCCTTTAACGCGTAATAAACTAAATTATATTTTTTACAAGTTATTCGCGATTACCTACAAAACGAACAGGATCCTAGCATCGCTGATTTCGTTGACAAAAATCTCGACTTCATCACTCAAAACACTCCTTTTAGGAAATCGGCTGACAGATTTTGGTCAGGAATAATACAGAAACAAGCACACCAATTGAACAAGGCTCTGGTAAGTACTTTTCTGTGACAGATCTGCCATATATTACCATAACAACATATTAAATCAATTAAAACACATAAGACCAAAAGCAGAGTCAGCTGGAGAAAATTGTTCGGTAAGCTTTCGTGTATGGTTGGTCTTCTTTTGTTCTTGCATTCTAGTTATTATGCCAGTATTGATATAAAAGCTGTAACTATTGCTACTTCTTTTGAAACCATCAACAATATAATAATAACAACAATGCAATGTGTACAGCTTCCACGCCCAGCAATAACAACACGGCTATCTCGCCTATTGCACCTGTTCCTAGTTCCTCATCACCTTCGCATCCATTGTCATCCTTTTCCTTACCTACTCTAAAAGCAAGAATCTGCCAATAAGATAAGGATGCCTTACGTGAACGTTTTCGAAAGTTCATAGACGTGCATAAAAAAGACTTCTGGTTATTGGACTCCACAAAGGCACAAGCAGCAGAGGAAGGAACTGATCTTGTGTCCGTAGAGGAAAAAGTCATGGACTTTGCGCTGAAGTGCGATTTTTATCAGTAAGCAAAAAACATTATCTTTGATTTGAATTTGATAGTCAGTTGATAAATGATTTTTACTGGTCTTTTTTTAGCCCGTCTCAGAGGGTTAAGCACTATGCCTATAGTTGAGATTTTATAATAAATTATATATAAATTATTGAATTTTTTTAACTTCGGAGTTTTAAATTATGCATATTAAAAAAATTTATTTAAAAAAAATTGAATTTATTTTATTATATAAAAAGTATTATCATAATGGTTTGTCTAAATGAATTTCTACCACTCAATCACATTCAGCTATCTTTATGTTTACGTAATGAATTAGATACCTTTATACAATCTGAGTTTGATCATTTTATAGAACAAAATATAATTAAAAATATAAAAAAAAAAATTAATAAAAAAATAAAGGATTTATTTTCAACAGACTATTTTCTATATCTTTCTATAGATAATAGCTTCTGTACTCATAAGTTTAAAAGAGGAAAATATGAAGGTAAATTCTGTGGAAAAAAAATAACTAAAAAAGGTGATAAAAAGAAATTTGTTTGTAGGAAACATAACCGAAATCATATTCCTGAAAAAAGAAAAAAAATTGAAAATTTTATACAAAAGGTAGATGATCCTATCATAAAAAAGAAAAAAAAACAAAAAAGAAAATTAATAAAAATAACTATTGGAAATCCTTTTTTCTTATGTTTTAATAACATTTTACCTTAGATTTTATAATTCTATATCAATGTTATGCTTTTCAATATATACTATCAGTAAATCTTTTTCATTAAATTTATCACTTGATAACCAACTATTATGTTTATGCCTGTAATTTTTCCATTTAATTGAAAACATATATGTATTATTTTCATATTTATGCCCAATAATCTGTTCGATTTCATATGACTCACTAGAACTTCCTATATTTCTTATAGATTGTATATTATTTTCTCTTTCTTTTCCTTTACCTTTTCTTCTTCGTTTCTTTTCATTGAATTTTGGTATATCATCATTACTACTATCTTCTTTATTTTTATCACTATAATCATCAACTTCCATTCGTTCATTATTTATATCTAGGGGTCGCAATCTGACCCGCGGGTCAAAACCGACCCGCGGGTTGAGGACGGGTCCATAGGTCAGGTTGATGCTTTTCTGACCCACGGGTCAACCCATCTAACCCTTGACCCGACCCGTTGACCCGTTGTGACCCGTGTATACATATGATATCTATGAGGTACTTGTATTCAAGTAGTCAATCTTCTTGTTGGAAAGGATCATTATATTAAAGATGTAGTTGTCAATATGTCTGCTATAGAACTGTAACATAAAACGTACTTATATTCTTTTTCATTGTGGGATCATATTTTATATTCAAAAGTGTAAGATAAGTAAGCTATAAGCAATATATGTAATAGTAGTAAAGAAGTAGCAAAGTAAAGAAGCAGCAAAGTAAAGAAGTAGCAAAGTAAAGAAGTAGCAATAGTACAATGAGAATAGACAATAGAGAGTGGCAGTGAGAGACGAGATTTGACAAAAGACGTAGAAGGAATTAAGAAAAGAGAAATGAAAGAAGAAGGAAGAAATGAAAAGAAAAGGGAAAAGGGAAAAGGATTAGGGGCATTTAAAGGAAGTCGATTTTTAACCACACTTTAAGCATTATGCTTTCTTTAATGCATGTGAGCGCAAACAATTTCTTTTTTTATGGCACAAACCCTTTACCTTTAAGAATAATCACACAAAACGTAGATATTGCTAGCACTGCTAGGAATTTGTGTGCCATTATCCTAGAGAGCTGTGTATACATGTAGTTTTGTACTTCCAGTGCTCAAGCTCAGGTTGATTGACACCTCCTTTGTCACCAAATCAAAATCAGTAGTGACCCGTCAACCTGAGTTTTGACCCGTCGGGTTAAATGGGTCGGGTCGGGTCAGTGTTTTCTTGACCCGTGGGTCAACAGGTCAGACCCTTGACCCGACCCAACCCGTCCAATTGCGACCCCTATTTATATCTAAAGATAATAAATTTTTTTGTAATTCTAACATTTCATCTTTTCTTTTTGCTTGTTCTTTAGAATTACTAATAACAATATCTATTAATTTAGCTTCAAATAGAAATTCAAAATTTTTAGTTTCCCATAATTTGTGATGAGGTTGTATATTTATATTGAATTTATCACTGAATTTTTGTATATTTTTTAGTAAACATGCTAAACGGAACTGTAGATTATAGAATTTAATATTATCTATTTTGGCAATTGAATTACTATTACTAAATCTATTAAATTTATTACCTATTTCTGAAAATTGATTTTCAACTTTTGAACGAAAACTTCCAAAAACATCATTAAAATGTCTTTCATTAGCATTCAAATCAATATTAACTTCCTTTCTAATAGGATATATAAAATTACTATTATTGAAATCAATACCTTTTTCACTGGATAATTCAATGAACTGGTTGATAAAAAGTGTATAACTACCATCCATTGCTAAAACATCATAATTATTTAATTTATTATATAATTTCATATTTAAAAACATAGATCCATCAGAACTTTCTGCACACATATCAGATTTTGAAATATATAGTACCATATCATTTACATCACTAATAATTTATGTTCTGAGACCATTTTTTTTAAATTTATACGAAAATAATTTTTCACGTTTTATATCTGTATTAACATAATTAATTCTACTATCATGACCATCAATTATTAATGTTATATGTTTAAATAGTGATGGATTATGTTTATGAGCTGATAATACTCTTAATTTTATATTTGAAAACATATTTATTAATGATTCATTTATAATTTTAT